TGACCATCCAATCCTTCCAGCAGGTTCCAGCACATGCCAAGGTATACCAGCTACTTCCATGTCATAAAGGCTTAGTCATGTCTCTTGACCAAGCAATGAGCTGGTGCCCTGACAGTGGTTAGGGTGCATACCTGGCAAACCCTTGGGTATACATAAAGGGTGCAATATTTAACTGTAAACCTGGTGATAGCCACAAAAATCATGGCAAGAGCAACTTCGGAAAGAGGGTCATAAGTTCATGACAACGCTGTGAATGGAAATGTATAAGCGGAAAAAGGTCGGAGGAGCATGGAATTAATGTTGTGAAGGTGAGGGGCACTCGGCCCAACCGAAATCAGTAATTGAGGCATGTGAAACGTGGCTGGGCAGAGGGAGACGGTTAGGGCGCTTGGCCACGTCTTTTTGGCCGTGCTCGTCGGTCTTGCACTCCTCCTCGCTGCCCTCCTGTCCCCTAATGTCGACTGCGACGGAGAATCCACCTCCTATCAATACAAAGCGATCTCGCAGAAATGGAGTCATCAATCTCCCTGCACCGGACGTCCCTCCTTCACCACCACTGCCTCCCCTTCCTGCCAAATCTCCTCTACGAGCCCGCACTCGCTCCAGCGTCGACTCCGCAACCATAGCCGCGGTTCTGGCACCGACTACCACGACGTCAAGGCCATCCACGCTGTCAGCACCCGAGCGTGACCTTACACTGTCGTTCGTTTCTCCACCGGATGCCATCGATATCGCGATCTCCTCGTCCCCCTCAACAGTCTCTGGTTCAGCCGTTGGCTATGCGTCTCCCTCGACTACTTCCCTATCTCCGAGTACTCCATCATCGGTTGCTGGGCCATCCGGTACGTCTAAAAGGACACATGCCTTGCGGGAATTACTGGATACGGAGCGTGCATATGCGTCTGATCTCGCACTGGTGCGAGAGGTATACGTTAGGCTGGCTCGCGATCCGATGGATCCCTTCGCGGCTGCCCCACTACCCACAGGGCCGCCAACGCCTAAAGCCAGGCCATTGAAGAATCGAGGTCGAGCGTCAAGCGGCGGACGTCCCAAAACCGCAGGCGGTATACCGACAAGCCCCCCGTTGAGCTCACCTCCGTTCTCCCGCGCCCAGACATCTTCGGTCCTATCACCCTCGTCTTTTATACCTTCTCTGAAGCGCAAGGGCTCCAGTCCCTCATTGACGAATCAATCCGCCAAGCCTGATAACCCGCCGCCTCGGCACAGGCAACCAATGTCGGACCAAGATATCGCTGCTGTGTTTCTGAACATAGAGAAGTTGGCAGCACTATCCGAAGAGTTGTGTAGACTGCTGCATGTTGCGATACATGGTGATCCCTCACAAGAAGGTTATGCTGTTGGTTCGATCATGATGGACTATGTATGTCATATCAGCGTCATGCAGCATACAAGATCTAATTATGATATAGATACCTCGTATGCTGCCTTATTACAAGGTATACATCGCTAAGCACGATGCGGCCGCACGCCACCTCCAGGCGATTACCCCTACGATCACCTCATACCTCTCCACCGCTCGCGTTATCATTTCACCCCTCACGAATGCGTGGGATCTGCCTTCATTGCTTATCAAGCCCGTTCAGCGAATCCTCAAATATCCTCTTCTCTTGAGTGCGATAGCCGATGCAAGCCTTGGGGAGATGCCGGGCACGATTCAACTACGTGAGGCGAAGCGAGCTGCAGAGAAGGCGTGTAACGATGTGAACGAGGCAAAACGAAACTGGGAGGAAGTCGGAAGCCTTTTGAAGAGTGCTCGTCAGCGCAAATTGGCGACGTCAGTGTCGGGCTTGCCTAATCGAGTGCCTTTGCCCCCCGCTCTCGAAATGTGGGACCAGCGCTTGGAAACGATGGAGAAATCAATTCGACGGTTCGCAGGCGAGTCACGGGAATGGGTCAGGGGATTTCGGACTGCGACAGACAAGCTCGTCCTTTGGGCTGATGCTAATGAGCGCACAATGCGTGTCGGCATGATCGAAGGAGAATCTCACGATGGAAGAGGTCGCTGGTCCCGAAGTGCAGTCGAGGAAATCATTGGGGGCATATGGAGGCTGACAGTAAGCCCCCTCGTTACTCAAAATGCCAGGTTTTCCTGATTGGCGGTGTGTAGGACAGCAGAGTACAAGCCCTACTTATTCCCGCGCTGACCAAGCTGCTGGTCACCATATCTTCGCCTCGTCTACTGATGCAAGCTTTGCGCTCATCTTTGCCTGATTCCATAGCTGGCGCTGTGAGCACTCAGCTGCTGGCAGACCTTCCTCAGTTAGCACAGCTGGCATCAAGAGCATACACGTACTGCATCAAAGCGTTTGCAAAATGGCAGTGCGAGCTCTGGGAGGGTGTTCGTATTGCATGGGGAAAGGCTCTAGGAGAAGAGAGCGGAGAATGGCTTCAAGATCTCGAGGGAAGGCTCAAGGAAGACACCGTTGTGGTGGACCCAGCCTTACAAGAACAAATCCAACTAGCCACGCCCGCTCTCGTCCGCAATAACCACTTCACACTGCCTCCTCGAGAAACTCTGCCCCTGCCTAGGCCTATGACCCCTCCGGTCGTCACAACCAGACCCAGATCTATGGATGCTACAGAGCTGACTACCCAGCTCTATGGTCTTCACATCGTCCAAGGGGATGACTCCACTTCAAGGGCAGATATGTTTCCGCGCAGTATTACTTTTGACGATTTGGCGTTCTCACATGGCTCATTCCAGTCCCCGTCTGCATCGTCGCCACGAGACTCCGCGGATACCTTTTACAAGCAGCCATCGACTCAATCGTCGTCGTCAGAGATTCTCCCGCACCTGGCTAACGGAGATCCAATCTCCTCCACGCCATCATTGGAGTTGACCAGTCGACCATCTGCCTCTTCTTCGCTCGCACCGTCGGATAACTTTGACGAAGCCAGTGCTGGAACCTTCACGGTAGAGTCTGGAATGTTGCGAGGACTTCCATTGGATGAAGCTTTGCGCTCAGTGGGTGTCCAAGAAATAGACCTCGCAGACGATCCACAGGCACAATGGGCGGGTCTCTACCAGGAGCGTAAGCTACTATATGCTGAGGGCCACCGTTCACCTCCAGAAACACCAGACAGGGCAGAGTCCATGTCCCTGTCTGCAGTGAAAGGTCTCCAGCGATTGAAATCGTCGGCCTCAACCAAATCACTGACAAGGATATTCAACCGCTCTCGTGCTACCACACCTGAAAGAACCCAGACGCCGCCTCTCCCACCGACCACGCCCCCCATGGCAAACGCACAACTTCCATGGGCAAGTTCATATTCTTATCAGGTCCCTGCGCCTCAATCCGACCAAGCGGAACTCGCTCATTACAATTTCTATCCCATGCCTTCTCGAGGCGCAGAGGTACAACCGCAACCAATGCTAGCTCAACAAACATCCGTCAAGGATACAATGATTGCATATCGTCAGCATTCAAAGCAGACGTCAGCTAGTTCCACCGCAACTTCCAACCCCGGGCTATCTCCGCGATCGTCAGGCACAACGGGAAGTGTAACATCATCGCCTCCTGGCTCCGCGTTCGTACCACCGCCGCAGCCACGACGCGTACACTTTTTGGCATCGCCTATCACAGCATTCCACCTTCCAACACCGAGATACTCTACTTCCCCCTATACTTTCCACGGTCTCCCCTTCCTTACGCTGCGGGTCGGTGATATCATCACTGTTATACAAGAATGTGGCCGACCCACTGATTACCGCGACTTTCCGTTATGGACCGATGGTCAGGAAGATCGTTTGCTTGTTGCGCGAGCGGAAGGCGGGCACGAAGGATGGGTTCTAGCGAGCTTTGTCTTGCCCATTTCTGCTTAAGAGCGCGCAATCAAGTTGCTAGCGCTATCCCTTATACTCTCCAAGCTCATGCAATGTACCATTAAGTCATGTATTGAATATCCTATGCTAAGCTCAAGATGGTGTTGTAGGGATATATAGACGTTGGGCACACCAATCCCTGACAGTTAATGAACCAAATATCCAAGAAAATACGAACGATGACGTTTTCAAGCCGTCCCGGTTGCAGAGTCTCCACTCTCCGGGGAGGCTTCCAGAGAAACGATTTGTCTCGCCCTAGGAAATTCCTCGAATGGCCTATCCAGCCCTTCATCGGAAGGATCCATGACTGGCCTGCCGTCCTTTCGAAGGGGCCAGAGTGTGTGACGGAACAATCCGGTCGAATCATACTCCTGCTTCAACCTGCAGAGCCGCGTGAAGTTCTCCTCCCCATATGTAGCTGTAATCCTAGCGAGTTTCTCGCAACGCTCAGCGAACTGTGATATATCAGTAACGATTCATACACTGAATTGACCGAAACGCACGCTAGGAAGGGGTCCACCAGACGCGATGGGCCCCATCACATCTTGAATCCACTGCAAAGCTGTCAGACAGAGTGACAGGAACCTAAACGGCATGGCCATACCGCTTCACCCGTTTTGATACAATCCTCGTCGCCTCCGAAGCTAGGCCACTTATGGAACGCGACCACAGTGAATGCAGCCTCTCGGGTTGCTTGGGAGATGCAGCCCTCAGATAGGTCTGGTAATACTCCCCCGGCAAGTTCGAATAGCCAGGCTACTTGACAGTCAGAGGCAGGGAGATTGTGGGCAGAAAGGGACGTACTGCATCCGTCCGTAGTTTCAGCGAAACGACGAACAGTCTCGCTGATGACATCATCACCCAAGCCAGAGATCATTGCATTCCGAAGGAACCAGCTGCGGCCTTCCATCCCACCTTCCGCGTAGTGCTCTCCACCGGCTGATCGAAGCACGCGCTCAACGCTGTCTTGTTGAGAGAGGAATGATTTCTCCGCAACTTCGTTCAGAAGGCATGCTTCACCTGGAACAAAGTGAGTGGAGCACTTGGAGAAATACAAGATGGTTGTTACCGGGCCACGAAAGAATGGCATCCAAAATTGGCTGTCCTTCAGAACGAGGTCCAAAGAAACAAATTTGAATAACAACAATGCCTGGCAGACCTGGCGGACCAGCGGTGAGGAGAACATTGGCATACAATGAACGAGGCGACGACTTGATCGTATCACGATAATGCGAGATGAGAGAAGGGGTGGTCGCGGTATTGAATTTGCTGTTATGAGTCAACCTCGTGTTCAATGTGCTGAAAAGAAGTCGTACTATAGAAGATTCCCGGCGAAGCAAATTGGAATCGGGTATGCTTTGATCACATATCGCGTGACAATACCAAAAGCGGGTCCGCAACCACGAATTGCCCACCAGAGATCTGTGTCACAAAATGAGCCGCGAGCAATCCTTGTTTGACAGACACCTTACTAGCATTCTCGTTCTCATTGACAATGACGATGCGGCCGTCGGCAAGAACCATTTCAACCTCCACGAGACTGTCACAGCTGAGACCGCGCATGCGGCTTTGGAACCCGAAACCGGCCAGAAGAAGGACAGCACTTCCGACAGGGTGGGCCGCGAGAGGAGCATGGTACGGAACGAGGACGCGAGTGCCGGAGCTCGTGATCGCGGGGAGCTGCTGAGATGCTGTGTAGTTGTCAATGTGTTTCTGAGGGACTCCGGGAGATACCAGGATATATGCATGCGGATGAGGATAGGTTAGACCCAGGTAAGGCGTGCTGTTAGTCGCTGGCGTGACCGATGGGCCAATGTGCAACGCCGACGAAGAGGAACCGCTTGGGCCAGACGGCGAAGAACCAAAATTGAAAGGACTTGCACCATTGGAAGGCTCCGGATCCGAAGGGAAGAGGGTCCAGCTGGTGCCAGAGGGCATGCCATAGGGGTTAAACGGGCCTGTAGCCTGAGAAAGACTGAACGCGTCGAAGTTAGTGTTTGAGGATCCGAACCTGAACGGTCCTTGATTCAGAGGAGCAATCGAGGTGGAATCGTTCACGTAGCCAAATCCATTCCCCATACGCAAAGCAGATGGGGGGATTCTACTGATGAGATCTTGGCCGGATGCAGTGACGTGGTTGAGATGAGGCACTTCTCCGTCCGCGTGAGGTATCGCCGAACCATTTGGAACTTCGGTGGATTGAGCCATCTTGGGTCGTCGACGTCTTTCGTCGTCGTCATCGCCTTCGCTGTCGTTCCGGTCACGCCTATAGCCGGCCAGTGGTGCCGCAACAGGCACTTCTTTGCCTTTTAACTTTCCGTCCTTTTCCCATTCCCGAATCGTGATGCGATCTGTTGCAAAGTGCATGTCCCTCATGCCTCCGAGATCAATGACGACATCTCCAGCAACACTCCAGCCATGGGTTCCATAGCCGCCTGCTTTGGCCGAGGGGTATAATCCATGCTTCTTGCAGAAAAGAATCGTCCTAATACAACAGTAAGGACAGTCAAATCTTCATTTGATATGAGTACGCACACAGACACATCCTCAGCATCGACAGGTCTGACGACCAACTGGGCTGGAGACCTAAGGCCGCGATTAAAAGTATAGACACATTTATGGTACCTCAAATCGTTGATTGTCAGGGTAGGGAGACTTGGCGGCCGCAAGGACTCACTTTGGGTCATCTCGGGTGACAACTTCGCCTTTGACAGATCCTTGCAGTTCCAGAACCATTTCATCGGTAATAGGCTTGGAGTATGACTCATCATAGGTGTCAGGGAATGGCATAGTCCAGCCCTCAGGCTCAGGGGGCATTTCACCAATCTGCATTGTGGAGAATTGGGTATGAAGGTGATAGCCAAAGTGCAGGGTTACCGTAGAGGGGCTTGCGGTATGAGGGACATATTTCGCATTTAGGGCGAACGCCTTTATGCGTTTCCCGACACACGAGGAGAGGCTGCGGTGGGAGGGAGAGAGAGTCTCTTCGGGAGTGGTCCAATAGGCGGGCTCGTAGATATTACGTAATTCGTCACCGCTGTCTGTCCCTGAATGAACTTGGGGGCCCCTGTGCGCCTACCTTCTGCACGTCTAATTCGCTGATGGTTCACATGGAATGAAGTCAGCTGTCACAAGACGTTCATCATACACACCCTAAGGCACCCACATGTTGACGACAAGAACTTTATTTTCGACAATGTGAAAGGTCGTCATGCGGAATCCCCGCAAATATTACACGGGCCAAAATCTAAAGTAGCAGTTACCGTTGAGCAAAATTCACCTCATGTATTCCCATTGGCTTGGAGAGAACGGCCAAATTCGGCTCCAGACAATTGGGTGTCAAAGGACCATTGCGTGTGACTCTGCGAATCTTCTTCCGAGTGACGACCGAGTGATTATCTGGTTTGAAACGGTCGATGCTGTTCGTCGTACGATTCCAGCAGAGTGGGCCGTCATATCCCTCATTTCGGACACCGGCACGCTCCCCGTGTACCACTTTGATGTTTGTTGTTATTTGTATTCTTACTTCCCCACTGGTCGATGACACTAATGTGACAGATGATGAGAGCTGTGCGACGGTTACGTATTTGTACAACAAGATAATCAGTAAGAACCCAGATGTGAAGAGTGAGCCACTACAGACGCTGGAGCTGCTCCCGCGCAGCCTCGACAGCGGCATCAGCCAGCGCGTCCATGCCGCTTTGGGGTGATTTGTCAGAAGCAACGCTGCTTTCGCTGCTTCCCGGTCGATCCTCATCAAGACCATGATCATGATCATGCCGAGTGCAGTTGGCGTCGCACGTGAGATGCATCTTGACCTTCTTCCGTCTGTGACTGCGGACTCTCGGTTCATCATCATCATACGAACGCTTTCGTGAGCTCCACGGCGCCCTCGAAAAGGAAGGAGAAGGGGTGGTGCCGGTGGTTCCGGTAGACGGACGTGACCACCCTCCGCTGTAGCTGCTGGAAGATGGTCGACTAGAAGACGTTCGAGGTGGTGATGGTCGGTGGAGAACGGAGGGCATCGGGGAAGACTGTGGTGAAGTGACTTCGAGCGCGGTCATCGTCCGTCCTATCCAATCCATCCGCTGCTTCGCACGCTCGGCAAGTCTAGCGGCGCCGACTGCTTCGTCGAGCGTGTCAAGGTGTGGGTGTTGGGAGAGGATGAGTGCGCGGAGGGAAGGTGCGAGGGAAGAGGTGAATATTAGGATCTGGAGTGCGGCTGGGAGTGGTAGCGAGGGATGAGTGAGGAGGGGTAACGCTCGAGCAAGGTGTGTCGACAAAGGGGTGTATCGCGACTGGGAGTACGATAAGCGCATGTAGCACATGGAAGCGAGAAGATGCATACACAATGGAGTGTCATGAGCGACTCCCATATGTGCTGTGCTTCTGAGTTGAGGCCTGCTACCCCCCCTGGAATAGAGATGAATCCCTGTGCGGCACGACCTAGATCGTTGTGTGGCAATGCGACTGCTGATGTGCTTCTCTGCCTGTTCATTGATGTGAAGCGTGCTTCGTGTGAGTAGGGTGATGATGAAGTGAGATTTGGCCTGGCACTCAATGGCCTATGAGCCATTGTTGTCATTGTCGTTGTTGTCGTTGTTCGTGGAGTGTGAAAGGGGGAGAGAGACTGGCATGGACTGAGTGTATGCTATTATATACCATTCGTTCCATGTCGAGAGAGGGGGGAAGGCGGGCATCAACGAGGCTGGTCCTATGCGAAGTAGCAATGTGTCTGAAGCGACTAGGTGAGACGCGCCCACTTTCACCCACCCAATTGCAGCCGGATCTTTCCAGTCTATTCTGATTCCACACAGCTTTGCCCACGCGCGAATAGAACCCGCTCTCATACCATCCCCTCCTCCTCCTTTCATGCTCTCCAGTCGAGACTCATCTCACACTGAAATCCCTCAATGGGCTATGATGGCGCACTTGGCATGGTAACCCTTTTTCTCATGACCACAGAGCCTGACCGATCTTCTCAACGAGAACTACCCAGCATTTCATCGTCGAGCAACTCTCATCCTTATTTTTCGATCGTCTCGCCCCTCTTATCTCTCGGGGGCTGACTTCCAGAAATAATTTCTCCGGTTGCCTTCCTACCAATGAGACTCTCGTAAAGAAACGGCGCTCTTGTCTTGCAATCGGCTCTTTCCTAGGGAGGCGGTCTGCTCCACTGCTCAGGACGGCGCTCTTTTACGAGAGTCTTGTCCAACCCTGACGGTTTTCCTTATCTCCAGTGGTCAGCCTGCCTTGCCGTAAGGAACGTGCGGCAGAGGGGTACAGTGCCTACTTGGGGTGGGAATCCGTCTCACCAACCACGTCTTGCGAGTGGCCCCTCACGTGGCTCGCACCCATTTGGGTCTGTTCAGCCACCTTACATACCCCCCCCCCACTCCGCCTGGCATGCACTCAGCCCTCGTCATACCCGTCGCTCGTGGTCTTTCATCCCTCGGTGTTCCTCGATCCTTCCTGGTGAGCATGTGGCACCAGTCTCAATCGCAATGCTGAGACGGCACACGGAAAAATTCCCGAATCACCACATTTGCTTTCCGTGTGTCGATCTGTTCTCTGCATCAATTCATCTCTAGAATGCAAGTGCGGCACCGGCATGTCTCAGCCAGAGTATGAGAGAGGGGCCTCCATTCCGCGGCCGGCCTCCGAAATTGTCTCATCCAACCCGTTGCGGCAGGACACCGCTTGCGCGTTCTGCAGGAGCGGGAAAGGTGTGGAATGCACACGTATATTGCGCCGAGTACAAGAAGCATTCTTCCCTTCCTTCTCTGGGATGGCTGGCATTGGCCTTCTGACTGGGGAACGAGGTGGCCGGCGGCATGCCTTCCGCTCAGCAGGCACTCTTCTGGACATCGGTAGTGCCCCAAAAAGACATCACCTTCAGAGGGGCCGTCTGCGGTCTTATGACTACTGGTTTTCTGAGACTCTCGTAACAATGCATGGATATCCAAGATGCCGGGTCAACCACTCTGTACTTGTTTGAGATTGCGTGACTATGACCTTTTGGACAACACTAGACCACTTCGGGCGACTTTAGACCAACACCGGGTGACCGTACACCTTCTCCAGCTCTGCAGCAGAGTGGCCCAGTAAGGGATAGCGCCTCTGTCTTGCCCTCCGGGGAAATTCTGGACCGACCCGTGGGTCCACAGAGGGGAAACGTGCAATCGAGGTCCTCCGAGGCGGTCGATACCAGTCGACCAGCCACCCACCACTAACCGGCACTGCCGCTCATTCCTCGGGTATAGCCTCCCGTATGCCCATCATGTGGCACACGCAGCGCACCACCCCCGCATACCTCACGCTGTGTATGTCGCTCGATTCAACTGCACGGTCGGACCAGTCTTAACTGAAATACTGAGACCAGGCAGATCAGATCGCTATTGCCACCGAAGTACACTCATAGCAGTTGTAGGTGCGCTCAGAAATGTGTCGCCTGTACCTGCTGACCCGGACCTGACTGATTCAGCTAACGTGGGGGCTGCTTATGCTCAGAACACACTTGAGGGGCAACATCCCGCCGGCAGAATTGTCTGAGGGGCAAAGGATGGCATTCTGACCGTCGGTGGGGATAGGAGCGGAATGGAGGGAGGATGCCTATGCTGGCGGGCAGAAGCGCATAACATTAGACAGAAGCTGCACAGGTGGCTTGCTAGCTATGCGAGTCATGAATATGCATCATTGCTAAGGGTTCTCAATGTTGGATTGAACATGAGCATGGTTCATTGTTCGTCGAACTGCGATTGCGGTACAGTGTCCATCCTCACGCCCATGCTAGGCTTGACCTCCAGGCCCATACTCTTCATCTTGCCAATTTGAGTGCGCTCCCGTTCAACCTTCTGAAGCTCTCTAAGTTCCGCGACGCTCAAGAAACTCTCCTTGTCCTTTTCCGGCTTCTTCCGTGAAGCCCGCATGTCCGCCAAGTCCTTCTCAGGATCATAGGTTCCCTGGTCAGGCAGGGTCTCCCCGGCCCGGAGAGCGTTCATACGATGTTCGTACGCACGGAAGTTGTAGTACTTCTCGTGTGGCAGTGTGCCGGTATTGTAGTCCTCCATAAATCTACGGCATAACAGCATAAGACCAGAAGGTAGGGTATCTGTCATGACTAGCTCACCTGCCAAACTCCTTCTTTGTATTCTCCTTGCTGAGTATTTCGGGGTTCAGGAACCGCTCCTCCACGAGCCAGGAACGGAATTCTTCGTCCTTGATGTACATGCTAGCGCCGGTCAGGTCAAGGTATGCATGCCGACCATGCCAAACAACTCACTCGGATTCGGAAATAATCCCATATTTGCCCCACTCCACTGCGACAGCGGATTTCTTCTTTCGGAATTTGAGGCATAACACCATAGCACCGGAACGAACAACTCACCTTATCTTTCTTATCTTTCTTGTCTCTCTTCTCCTTCTTTCGTCGACTCCGCTCAGTGCTTTCCGCTCTATCCCTGTGTCTCCGCCGTCGTTCCCGGTGATACTCTTCTGAGTCAGATGATGGAGTCCGGGACACGGAGCGAGACCGCTTTCGTCTCCGTGGCGGGCTGACGGACCGATCATCCCGTCGCCGTCTGGGAGAGCGGGACGGAGAGCGCCCTCGACGGCGTGGTGGAGGGCTGTTAGAGGGGCTGCGGCGTCTGCGTGGATGTGGAGAGTCAAGTGAACGTCTTCGAGAAGGAGATGGTGAACGTCTTCGAGTAAGGGATGGTGAACGTCTTCGAGAGAGGGATGGAGAACGCCTTCTGGGGGGTGGACTTCTTGAGCGGCTACGGTATCGGGGTGCATCGTCTCTTCCTCTTGTATCATCTCTCCGTCGGGGAGGTGGGGAGGGACGGTCGCGGTCGTAGTGTGGTTTAGAGCGAGGTGGAGGTGAACGGTCGCGTCGTGCTGGACGTCGCCTGTAGTTCGGATCCATATGAGGAGGGATGTCGCGCTCCATAGAATTTGATCAAAAGTAGCGTCCACAAGATCTCAGGAGAGATGATTTTTCGCAGCAGGAGCAGAAGGGTTTAGGAAGCGGCCCAACAACAATGATGTTCCGCAGTTTGGGATCATCCACACTCCTGATGCAAGAGATAGATTTTAGGACCGAATACACCCAAGTCTACCAATATCAAGCTAGTATAGAGTCTTTTCCAGTATGAAGCGAGTAATAACAGTCGAGTTAATAAACAGTAAAGCAGAGTATACACGACGTCCTGTCGAGTTAGTTGGTTGATTATGAACAGCGACAACGGAAGCAGACGTGACACATTGTCGGACGCGTCGTGCTCGTGCTGAGCGCGTCTTCCAAGTCGACGACGGCGTCCAGCACCTAGCAAGTCCGCGACGATGCATATCAAGACTCTCACTATCCAAGGTTTTAAGTCCTACAGGGACCAGACCGCCATAGAGCCATTCAGGTGAGCCTATTGACTTAGGCATGATCTCCCTCTAACGCTTCATGTCTACCAAAGCCCGGGGCACAACGTCGTCGTTGGCCGGAATGGAAGCGGGAAGAGCAACTTCTTTGCCGGTGCGCTATTGTTCATTGTTACCCCACGGTTTTGCTGATTATGTCAACAGCTATCCGCTTTGTTCTGTCCGATGCATACACGTCCATGTCTCGTGAAGAGCGTCAATCGCTCCTGCACGAAGGACCGTCTATGCACACCACCCTCTCCGCCTATGTCGAGATCGTCTTTGATAACACCGATGGACGTTTTCCGACTGGAAATAATGAGGTTGTTTTGAGGCGCACAATTGGTCTGAAGAAGGACGAGTACAGTTTAGATCGCAAAAGTGCAAGCAAGGCGGATGTCATGAACCTTCTCGAGAGCGCTGGGTTCAGCAAGAGCAATCCTTATTATATTGTTCCTCAAGGCCGTGTACGTGCTTGTTTTTAACCCAAGGCAGAACTCCGCTCATATATGCGTCCAGATCACGTCCCTCACCAACGCAAAAGACTCTGAACGTCTAAATCTGCTCAAGGAGGTTGCCGGCACCAAGGTCTACGAGCAGCGTCGTACTGAATCATTGCGTCTAATGGAAGAGACCGACACAAAACGATCAAAGATATCTGAACTTCTCGAATTTATCGAGCAGCGACTGGCCGAGCTGGAGGAAGAGAAAGAGGAGTTAAAGGAGTTCCAAGCCAAGGATCGGGAGCGTCGGTGTCTCGAATACGCTCTCTACAGTCGCGAGTCAGAGGATGTCAACCAAGCCCTTCAAGATCTAGAGGACGAGCGGAGAACAGAAGCTGCTGATGCCAAGGAAAGACGCCAGGAGTACTCCGCACGAGAGCGACAGCTCGAGCAGCTTGAAGCCAATTTGACCGCCGCTCGGTATAAGCTTTCTTTGCTCGAAAGTACGAAGGCCTCATTGCGTGACGAACTGACGGAGTCGGTTCGCAATCGAACCGAGCTGTCTTGTATCGTGGATGATTTAAAAGCCGCTGGCGAGAGGAGTGAAGAGAGACGGGACGAACTACAGGAAGCCCTGACAGAGATCGAGGAGAAGATAACTGAGAAAGAAGCAGAACTAGAGGACTTGCTCCCTCAGTTCCAACAGATCACCCAGCGGGAGAGGGCGGCGAAGACTGAGCTGGAGGATGCGTCCGCACGACTGCAAGCACTCTATAGCAAACAGGGAAGATTGTCCGCCTACAAGACAAAGGCCGAGCGGGACGCTGCACTTCGCAAGGAGATTGCTTCTATCAACGCTTATCTCGCCAGTCAGACATCTGCGCTGGAACAAGCGAATCTCGATCTGAATGCTCTGACTGAACAAGCCGATGGGAAGAAAGAACGGGCAGAAAGGCTTCGAGCGCAGGTTGATGAGGAACGTGAGACTCAGAAGGGATGGACGGAGGAGCTCCGTGAGCTTGAGGAGAAGCAGGCACGGTGGCGAGAGGACTTGAAGGATCTATGGAAGGAGGATTCTCGCCTCGGAGTCACTGTTCAGCGTGAGAAAGACGATTTACAGGTTGCTGAACGCGCGCTTGCGAGTATGATGGATCGCGTACGTGCAATGTTATTATCCATCAACCATTTTTGCTCATTGCTTTGCAGGACACGGCCAATGGCTTGAAGGCTGTTGATTCAATTGCTCAGCGCCTGAAGTTGACCGGTGTCTACGGGCCACTTTATCGTCTCTTCGAGGTCACAGATCCCGTGACATACAACACCGCGGTTGAAGTGACCGCACGAAACAGGTAAGCGACCCTAAGCGTTTCTAGCAGCTTGACTCAGGGTGCGAGCAGCTTGTTTCATGTGGTGGTTGACAACGACGAGACCGCTCGCAAGGTCGTTGAAGTCATGAACAAAGAGCGCACTGGTCGTCTCACTTTCGTTCCTCTTTCCAAACTCAAGACCAAGCATATCAATTACCCACCGCCCGATCCCAATGGCCCGCAGAAGCTTATCGACAAGCTGAAATTCGACGCCAACTTGAGTCCCGCCTTCGAGCAAGTCTTTGGGAAGACGCTTGTCTGCAGGAATCTGGAGTCGGGCTCTGCTTACGTCCGCCAGTATGACCTGAACGTCATAACCACGGACGGCGATCGCATTGATCGCAAGGGCGCCCTCACTGGTGGTTATGTTGATATACGCAAGTCTCGACTGGAGGCTATCAAGACTGTCAAGACCCGGAAAACCAAGTTTGAGCAAGACTCCAAAGCTTTTACTGAAGGAAAGAAGGCTATCACTGTCCTAGAGCAAAAGAGGACGGAGGTGGCGGGCCAAATTGAGCTACTCAAACGTCGTCGCGCCAACGCTGGAGGCGCATGGGGACAGCTTATGCAAGAGTCCATTCTTCTGGAGAGGGACGAAGAGGTTCTGCGGGGTCGGATCAACAAGATGCAAGGGGAGATCCGCGATCTTGAAGCCGACATTCGTACAAACACCGTTCGGAAGGCAGAAGATGAACGCGAACTGCGCAGCCCCATGACTCGCACGCTCAGCGACGAGGAACAACAGGCCGTCGAGACAGTGGGCAAGCAGTGCGAGCGCTTGCAGAAGTCGATAGGAGAGATCAGCAAAGACAAGATGGATGTCAGTTTGAGGACTTTTCCCCTCGGGCTACACTGACGTCTTCTCCTAGATCGAATCCAAAGTCAGTCTGTCCAAGGTTGAATTGAACGAAGGCCTTCGTCGACGCAGAGAAGACATCAGGGCTCAGCTGGAAGCTATCGGCGATGTCGATGCGGGCGATAACGCGGGAGACGACCTTGTGAGTCGAGCCCATGAGCTAGAGGGGCTAAATAGAATGATCGAGAACCTCACGTTTCAGTCAAAAGGTGCGCTACTTGGTTCGCCACTACCCTTTCTTTCTAACATCTTCAACAGCTAATGAGACCGAGCTCGAGTCCCAACAAAGCAAAATTCAGACGACAGTCGATCAGATTGAGAAGCTTCAGCTGAAGCAGACTGAGGAAGGCCGTGCCCTGTCCAAGCAGCAAAAGGGTACTGAACGCTATGTTTCAAAGCGCCAGCTACTTGTGCAGCGCAAGGACGAGTGCACGAAGCAGATCAGAGACTTGGGAGTGCTTCCCGAGGAGGCATTCGAGAAATACATCAACGTCAAGAGCGAGCGAGTGCGTTCCTATATGCTACGAGCGCTAAAACATGATCTGATCGCTTGGACAGCTCGCAAAGCAGCTCAAGACTGTCAATGAAGGGCTGAAGAAGTTCCAGCACGTCAACAAAAAGGCTTTCGAACAATACAATAACTTCACAACGCAGCGCGACAAGCTGATCCAGCGCCGTGAAGATCTCGATAAATCTGCTGCGTCCATCGAGGAACTTGTACAAGTTCTGGATCAGAGGAAGGAGGAAGCTATCGAACGCACATTTAAACAGGTCTCGAAGTTCTTCGAAGAGGTCTTTGAGAAGCTTGTACCAGTTGGACGGGGCCGTCTCATCATGCAAAAGAGGATCGACCAGGACGAGGATGATCAGGAGGATGATGACGAGGGCGCACACCCAAGTGCCATAGATAACTATACTGGCGTTTCGATCAAGGTCTGTCCTCACGCCTTCTTGGCTAATATGTCGCTCATGACCCATAGGTGTCCTTCAACTCCAAACATGATGAGGGCCTTCGTATCCAACAACTCTCCGGTGGGCAAAAATCGCTCGTTGCGCTTGCCACGGTGTTTGCGATTCAGAAATGCGACCCTGCCCCTTTCTATCTGTTCGACGAGATTGACGCGAATCTTGATGCTCAATATCGTACCGCCGTCGCATGTGAGTTGTTAAGTGCCCTGTTCCTTCTTGGTGGCTAACATGTGCCAGCTATGATTCACGAGCTGTCCGAGTCGGCGCAATTTATCACGACGACATTCCGGCCTGAAATGCTAGCACAAGCTGACAAGTTCTACGGTGTGGTGTTTGACGCCCAGAAAGTGAGCACTGTGAGAAGCATCAGCCGTGACGAAGCGCAGATGTTCGTAGAGCGTGAAGCACAAGCGCAGTGAGGGTCTTCGATGTTGTACTGGTAATGTATTTCTGTCTGTGGTATTTTCTGTGTTCTGTACCGCTGTATAGTCTTTCTGTGATGATAATAATGCTGCTGATGATGATGATAATAATTTGATGCTCCTTCACCTGCCGTAGCCACAGAACCATTGATGCGAGTGAGGAACAGATCAGAAGCCCCCTGACGGAGCTATCGGGCTGCCTTGTTTCCCGATTGGACAATGAACTGACTGATTCTCTCTCTGCCCATTTTCACCTTTACATGCATTAAAGTTACCGCCAATCTGACACGAATAATAGCGGCATGGAGAAAAGCGCACAATAAGCCGGCTTCGCGGGCCGTTTATTCCGGCCATCCACTCGGGACGTCGTCGGCAGGATAACAAAGCGCTAGCCCCTTTCGACCCTTTCAATGATTTGTGCTTTGTATCTGGTCAAACAACTGGTCAAACAAGCGCATGGAACGCTGAGGCCAACAAACATAATAGGCGTGTGGAGAGAGGAGATATATGTGGATCCAATGAGGCCTGAGCGCAGAGGTGGCACAGATCTAATTGGACATTCCAGCTGAGAAGGAAAGGCCAAGATGCGAATCTTTCATCAATCCATGTCGCGTGGGATACGCCAATGGCATTGTGCGGAGATTAACAGGACACATCCGCAAATAAAAGGAAATCGACTGCGAATATACCTCAACGTCGCCGCTTTTCTCCTCCTCTCCTCTCTCCCGGCCTCTTCACTCTTCTCTCGACTATCACGCCTCTTTACGACGGGATTCAACACGTCGTGCTAGAGGAGAAGACTCGAGAAGACAAAGAAGAAGCGGATTACAGCTATTCCTACAGTATCGAGTCAAGGGACGGTGCCACCCTTGCTTCTGCCCGGGGCGCGTTCCCTCGACCACCTCGCCGCTTATTGTTCTCCTCATCTACGTCTTGGCGACTCTTGTTCTCTTCCACGATCTTGGATAAGAACATTTGCAACAGGTGTTGACAACTCGACCAACACTTGTGGCGATCTCAGTCACTTCTGTTGGCTTGTTCCATCGTCCACCGTTCTCCATCTTCCTCCTTTTGCGGTACGATGGGATCATGCACCTCCAAGCCAACGGGAGAGCCGCCCTCTCCGCACACAGAGACGGTCGAACTTCCCCAGTCTTCCCCAGATATGCGCTATTTGCGCCCTCCGCCTCCGCTGCAACCCGTTCCCCCCAGTCCGGTGCAGCAGGCCCGAAGGGGCTCCGGACCCAGTAACATTACCTCCCCGCCTCAGGGGAAGGGGAAGTCCAACGGTCAGGCCGCACGGGGTGTTGAGCCTTCCAGGGGGAAGAAGCGCGCTCCGGCGCAGAATGCAGAGAACGATCTGGACTCCATCACTCGCAACATCTTGACGAAGAGTAGGCAAGTGCTCGAGTCGGGAAAGGGAGGACTGGTTAATGAGCAGGGGTATATGGAGGCGAAGATCTTGTTGCTCGGTACGTGTAACAGTGTGTATTGAAAAGGTTGTTTACTGATCGGCTTGCCACAGGCTCCGGCGAATCAGGCAAGTCAACCATCCTCAAACAGATGAAGATCCTGCACGGCGACGGCTTTACCCACGCCGAGCTGCTACAATACAAGCAGATCATCCGGCACAATCTGATCGACTCTGCTCAAGCGCTGTTACGTGTGATCTTATCGTGGGGATACCGACCGGAGTTGAGTGAACTCCCATCTGGATGGGACGCAGGTGCGATATATGAGGAGGAGGACGAACACGCCAGACAATGGGGTAACAATGCTGTCATGGAGACTCTTCCCGGTACAAATGAGTTCTCCGTTCCCGTACGCCTTCCAGGGGAGGAAAACGACAGCCCACGTGCAACCCTGCGTCCTGCCAACGGCGAACAGATCAGCTTTAACGACATGATCAGGAATGATGTGGGACCGCTGGCGAGCAGCGCAAGGAGTATGACCAGCAAGAAGAGCAAGAAACGAGGTCTACCAACGGCCATCGATTCACCCCATGGTCCTTCCGGTGCGTTCCAGCTCGGTTCATCAGCCAACGTCCCACCCCTCCCTGGACAAGAGCTGGCACGACCAAATTACGACCCCTTGCACGCGCGCTCCCTCCAGAGCGTGTCTCAGACAAGCACTGTCTCGGACTACAACTACGCCGCATCATCCCCAACGACCAGCGCGTTCCACATCGACTCGGACCGCATGGGACCTGTCCCGCCGCGGGCGTACGGGTCCCAGCCAACGATCATGAGTACTGGCACAGAGAGCGGAGTGAGCGAGACTGTTCAGGCATTATTAACGTACCAGCTGCAGCATGGGAAATGTCCCCCACTCTGGGTTGCTCAGGCAATCCTCGAACTGTGGACAAATCAGAGCTTCATGCGCGATGTGCTGAGACGAAGCAGTGAATTCTATCTGATGGACAACGCCCCCTAGTGCGTTGACTGTTCTGGTCACGTCGGTATAGCTGATTGGATGTTGCAGTTTCTTTAAACATGCAGTGAGGATATGCAGCCCGCAATATTGGCCGACTAACCAGGATGTGCTGCGCTCACGGGTGCAGACTCGGGGTGTGACCCAGTCCAGCTTCGTCGCTGATGGCATGCGTATCCAGTATGCACATTCCCCTGCTGTTTGACTGGTTCATTCATTGCGTCTCTAGCATGTACGACGTCGGTGGTCAGCGTGCGGAACGGAAAAAGTGGATCGTCGCATTCGAGAGCGTCAAATGTGTCATCTTCACAGCTTCTCTGTCCGAGTACGACCAATCTCTACTTGAACATCCGGAGCAAAACAGGATGCAAGAGTCGATCGAGGTATTCAAGAACATCATCACGTCGCGCTGGTTCCAAAAGGCGACAATGGTCATGTTCTTCAACAAGATGGATGTCTTTGAGGAAAAGTATCATCGCAGTCCGATGAAAAACTACTTTGCGGAATACTCGGGGAATGACGTAGAGGCTGGCGTCAAGTTCATCATTTGGAAATACCGCCAGGTGAACAAGAACAACGCACCGGTCTATTCACAGTATGTCAATTGTATCTGTGTCATTTCGATCCCACCGCTTACCTACAAAACAGCATTACAACAGCAACAGATACAAATCGAGTAAGCAAACAGCCCATAAATTCTTTTACATGCTGACCATCAAATAGTGCTCCGTGGTGCTCGCCGCTGTCCGAGAAAATATCCTCGATGCAGCTATCCGAGAGTCTGGACTGATCTAGTTGCTTTGCTTGATATCTGTGTTACGATAAGTTGGGATGATGATGGTTCTTTATCTGTATGACAGTGTAGACTTCAGTCATTGGGCATGGTGTGACATCGGTATTTGACATGAAATGATATGATCTTGTTCAGTGTACAGACAGTGTTGTCTGAGGCACAGCTATATGTCAAGCACACCATTCACAGGCAACACGCGTGAGCGCTTCTGTAACCTGCCCAATGCTCTCCACCGTCGCCCACTCCGTGGCCGCATGTGCCCCGTTCCCATCAACACCAAATAATACAGAAGGAATGCCTGCATCGGCCAAGAGCGCAGCATCGGTCCAGAACGGTTCAGCGCGCCACACTGGTTCTCTCTTCAAAACATCCTTAACGTGCTTCAGCACCAACTGAGTAAATGGAAGTGCCGTGTCCGCTTGGAAGGGTGCACGAGAGGTGATTCGTTTGATCGAGAAGGCGAAGTTCGGCACCATAGCGACAAGGTTGTCCAGAATGCCACACAGCTGTGCTTCGACAACCTCGTCTGTTTCGCCAGGAACCGTTCTGCGCTCCACCGTGATCGTGCACTGTGCGGGGTAGGAACTAGGCTCCTCGCCACCCTTAACCAGTCCGGCATGTACCGTACCGTTTCCAAGCAGTGCATGGCCCTTGTCCTGAGCTAAACGGCTCCCGAGCTTGTCGAGTTCTACGAGGAAGTAACCTGCCTTGACAATAGCGTCGATACCCAATTCAGGCCGGGATCCGTGCGCCGCCTTTCCATGAATCGTGACTTCGAACCATGCAAACCCTCGATGCGACAATGTGACTTGCAGGTAAGAAGGTTCACTGATGATCGCGGCATCCGCTCGCCAGCCCGCGTCAAGTAGCTCTTCTGTGCCGAGGGAGAGATTCTCTTCGTCTGCCACAGCGGCGACAATAATGTCTCCCTTCAATCCGGAAATCTTCCCCCGTGCAGCAGCTATCATGGACGCTGCCACCCCCCCTTTCATGTCGAAGGATCCTCGACCGTGTACAGAGCCATCGATGATATTTCCGCTCAGTGGGTCGCCCTTGTAACCCGCGTTTGTTACGGTGTCAATATGACCGTTGAACATAAGGCTCTTGCCTCCACCGGCGCCTTTGGCAACGCCTACGACCGAGGGCCGGCCAACTGTCGCCTCCAGAATATGTACGTCGAACTCGCGATGGGCCAGCCAGGCAGCCACGTATTCCGCGATCTGGACCTCGCCCGCTCCGCCAGCCTTAGATAGATCAGGGTTGGAGCTATCGATTCGTACGAGCTGCTGAGTGAGTGTGACAGGATCGTCAATCGTCACGTCCAATGGTGTTGGGTATGTTCTGGCACCCTCCGTACAGAGTAGTGCGACGATGGTATTGGGGCCAAGACCGAGTGCTTGTGGTGCCAGAGCAGCAACATTCCGCAGGCCGGCAAGGGTCGAAGCCCCACACGGACCCGCCTCGACTCCGTACTTCAGCAGATCCTGTACGGCATGATGGGCCTCCCAATCTGATACACTGGTGCTCACATCCACGCCTCCTTTCAATAATGGCCATGCAAGGCTTGACACCGTTCCACAATATAATCCATCCATGATCGTTCGACTTGTTGGGATGGTCTTCATCTCTCCGGCCAAGAGACTCGCTTTCAGACATGCGGCCGTATCAGGCTCGACGGTGAGGATTCGCGCTTGGGGGTGCGAGGTGGACATGTAGTGTTGCGCCACAGCGTGCGCAAAGCAGCCCACTCCGACAGGTGACACGACCACGTCGGGTGTTCGGCCGAAAAGGGAGACACATTGGGTGTCAAGCTCGAGGAGCATAGTAGTATATCCATCGACAATCCACTAGAACCTGCATGAGCTGCAGCATGACTCATTGAGGAAATGCTTACCTTTGGTATGTCTTCATATCCTGGGAAAGACGTGTCTTGGATAAGTATACCTCCTGGCTTTTTCGCATCGTTATACACCTTCTCAACTGCTAGATCATAGTCGCCAGCAACAATCGCAAGCGTTGCTCCTTCTCCAAGGATAAATTCCCTGGTGGGAAGAGGAACCGTCTTTGGTACATAGATAAAGGCCGGGATGTCCAACAGCTTGCCCATCCTAGCGACAGCGCGACCATGATTTCCATCTGTTGCAGCATATAGAGCCAGCCCCTTTCCTTTAGAGGCACCAGCAAGCTCTTCCAGAGAAATATGTGTCGAAAGGTTGAGCGCATCTGTCACAGCACGGTACGCTGCCCAAGAAGCGCCAAGGATCTTGAAAGCTGGGAGGCCCAGGCGACAACTCTCGTCTTTCAGCAATACATGACCAACATTCACCTCTTTGGCAATGGTATCCAGACTAATGACCGGTGTCTGGACATAACCTGGAAGTTGTTCATGGAACTTGCTCGTGGCAGGATCTGGATTGCCAGAGAATGTAAACGAGGAAGCCGCTTGATTAATGTAGATACGCGGAAGATATTTTGCACTCATCTTCATAAGGCCACTTCTGCCAGATCAGTGATTATCCTCTAGCCAGTCCAAGAAATGAATGATTTTCAAGTTGACCGGCGTAAGGAAGGGCGTTCGGAAGTCGGCAGGGTCACTTCACTGCTCGCACGCTGTCACTCGCGCCCACGGTTGATGGCGACATTCCCTCCACAACGCCCACCGTAGCCAACAAACAAACATGGAAGACAGTGCGAAGGCCAGCGGTGCAATCCATTTATACAACGGTGTTATCAACCTGTTGTTTGAACAAAAATTCCTTGCCCAACAATGTCCCTACCACCGTTCAACGAGTCCTTCGCACCGAGGTACACAGAGTCACCGAATCCATCCTGGCAGTACGGCGACAAAGTTGGAGGAATCACTGCCGCTCAACAGTGGTTGGAAGGGGAGAAGCAGGGTTGGACATCATTAGACACATCGGTGGAAACTTCGTGCGTCGTTCTTATTTATGCAATCCCTAATGTCCAATTTGCTCTCTAGAAAACTCTATCCGATGATGATCAGCGGCATAGTTCCTCGGCCAGTCGCCTTTGTGTCCTCCATATCAGAAACTGGGGTGGAGAACCTCGCTCCCTTCAGGTCGGTGGTACTTCCATATCCCTATCCATACATCTGACGGACACCATCTTAGCTTCTTTAACATGGTCGCCTTCGACCCTCCAGCGATTATCATTTCTTGTTCGAATAAGCCGCGGATCAAAGACACTTGCCATAATATTCGAACTACCAAAGGCTTCACTGTCAATATTATCAGCGAACCTTTTGTGGAGAACGCGAACGTGACTGCCGTGGATTGCCCGGAGGGAGTAAGCGAGTGGGACGTGAGTGGGTTGACGAGGGTGTCGAGTGTGAGTCCTCCTGAATGTCTCGGCTTGATACGTGTAATAACCACTGAACAGGTTCTTGTCAAACCAGCTCGAGTGAAAGAAAGTGCTTTCAGTATGGAATGTGAACTGCTTGATGCGCATAACATCACTAATCCCTCAACTGGCATCGCGTCCAATACGTTGATTATTGGCTGGGTCAAGCATATCCATGTACGCAATGATGTGCTCAACGAGCGCGGGGTCGTCGATCCCACCAAGTTGAGGCCAGTTGTAAGGGTAGGAGATATCTCCTATGCGCGACTGGGGGACGTCTTCCGCTTAACGAGGCATGTGTGGGAGAAGGAGAAGGAGAAGATGCAGGGGAGCGCACAGAAGGATCTCGCAGAATCAGCTCATTTATAGATCGTGACGATTTCTGTATGTGGCGAACGACTCCTACGTTCTTGTCACTCATCGCTTTAGAAATGCATGAACGGTCATACTCCGGATCTTCCGGTTTATTGCCTGGTATGGAAGTTGCAGAGTGAACTATTTTTCCGTTGTGATGCGCATGATATCAACGCCTTCAAAGAATATGGATCGAGCTTCTGCTATGCAACGATTCGGCACGGTTTAGAGCTCTACTCCAGTGTTCCCGACAACACCGGAGTTCTGATCAAACCCGCAGTTATTCGTGGAGCTTCGCATGTGACAAAGTGAAGCACTGGCATTTAAAGCCTGCGCCGGGACATGGCTTGACCTACGAAGTACCCGTCGGAATGACTGTGCCTCCCTTCGACACCACCTTCGCCCCTAAGCATACCACCTCTCCTAATGCTGCTTGGAACTTTGGTGAACCAATTGGGCGGACCCCAACCCAGAAAGAATGGCTGGAAGGAGATAAGGCGGGCTGGAAGTCATGGAACACGGTCGAGACAGATCCAATGCCAGTGTCATTTCTTCCAAACACTGCTGTATTAGTCTGACTTTAGACAAAGGAAGCTTTACCCGTTGATGTTGGGTGGGATTGTACCACGACCCGTCGCCTTTGTGTCCACTGTTTCCACCTCTGGAGTGGAGAACCTGGCTTGTTATAGGTATATTATTAGATTTTTCTCACGTGACCCTTCGAAGTCGCTAATATGAACGTTCGTTTTAGCTGGTTCCAGATGATTTCCTTCCATCCACCGTCCATCATCATCTCCCCTGCCAATGCACCGAGGAGGAAAGATACAACTCAGAACATATTGGACACAAAACAATTCACTGTCAACATCATAAGTGAACCGTTTGTGGAGAATGCGAACGCATGTGCTATTGACGCACCCGAAGACTTCAACGAATGGCCGTTGAGTGGACTCACGCGTGAGCCAAGTGTAAGCAGGTTCAATTGTATTCCGAATGTCGTATGCTAAAGAAATCCAGACTTTCGTCAAACCTGCCCGAGTCAAAGAGAGCGCGTTCAGCATGGAATGCGAAGTGAGCTTTACTGCCTGACCGTCAGCTCTATGCTGAATATCTATACCAGCTCCTCCAAGCCATCGACGTTAGGCATCCTGAATATGACCGGCCCGACTTGGGCGACGGCCTGACCACTCTCATCATCGGTGTCGTGCGTTATATCCACGCACGCAAAGATGTCCTCAACGACCAAGAACTTGTTGATGTGGTCAAACCCCAGCCAGTGTCGCGGCTGGGAGACATCTCCTTTGGCCGGGTAGGCAATCTGTACCGGCTTAAGCGGTACAAATGGGAGGAAGAAAAGGAAAACATCAAGGCTGCGCTGAAACAATAGGCTCAACCATCGCAATTCGTCTCAGACCAAATGAGGGTATTAGAGCCTACGACCACGGAGAAGAGAATGAGATTGTCCCATACAACAACAACCCGGGACGCTGGCGTGACTAATACAATACTGATATACATACAGATGTGGTGCGATATGTTCAGTCCAAAAAAAATCAGTCCAAAGATGCACGTCTGTGCATTTGCGGATACTCGGGGAACGGACTCGTATCAGGTGTCTCGAGCCCACTTGGGCTGTAGTTCCAGGTAGCCTGGCTGTTGGGCGATCCGAGGAAGAGCGGTCGTTGGCTACTAGTGAGCCTGCGGTGGGCAGAGAAAGAGGAGAGACTGTTGTAGTCGAACGGCGGTCTTCGCCTGGCCCTGGTGACGGGCACGTACTGGGTGATTGTCTCCGCACGGACGCGGCGCATGTTGAGTAACAAGCGGCTACCGCTGATAGAGGCGATCACTTGGAACCAGGGGACTGCGAAAGACTGCAGAGAGACACGTGCAGCCACGAAGATGACGACAGTGATGGTGGATGCAACCGCTATGATGCCAAAATAGTAGATTCCATCTCGCATGATCGCTTCGCCAAGATGTGTGGTCACGTCTCCCTTTGCTATGAGAATCTGTGAGATACTTGTCCGAGGATATATGGAGAACGAACCATGAGCGTGTGCCCTCGCAATGGTAAGGACAAATACGACGATAGATAGGAACATCCATGGGGACCAGAACTGCCAGAACTGTACATGCGCAGTGAGAATAGCCACGCAGCCTGGAGCACCGGGGTTCTTGCTTGCTCCAACTTTCATAGGGTCAGCGTTGGTCGATATGATGGATAAGGTCACTCACCCGTCACCTCAGTCGAGCCGATTCCAATCAGAATAAACGAAGCCGCGAAGCACATCTATCCAATGTCAGCAGTAGAACGTACATCTCATGAACGGACTCACCCCCAACAGCGTCCACAGCACGATCTTCATCTTTTTGTCCCCGCCGTACAGCACCCATGCCTGGGTCATCAGAATAATTTCCACTAGTGCAATGCTAAAGATGGCGCCGAACTCTTCTAGAAGATACCAGAATACGCAGTACTAAGGCACGCGTTAGGTTGTGTGGGGTTAGAGCCGAGGAAGGGGAACGCACTTGGAGGCTAGGGTTGGGTGCGAGCGCACCGGAGAGATCGAACGCTAGTAGAAGGGGCACGAGATATCGATTCTATGACCAGCAATTATCAGTGATGCTGGGAAGACGGGAGCGAGAAACGCACAAGGAAGAAGACGACCACTCCAAATCCGTTCTTTGGTTCCCTCCATATGTACCTGACTTCCTCCTCAAAAGTCAAGGCATAATCTACATCACCACCATTAGCATAGACACATTAAGACAGTAGGGAAGGCGCACCATAGAAAAGCAAGGCGAGCGCCGCGACTGTAAAGCGAACAAAATGCGGATGGCCCGTCAATGATCAGCACGAGATCTGCACGAGTGCGGGGCAAGCCTCACCAGAAGCACGCTACACAACACGAGGCGACAAAAGTCAATATTCTATGTGGCGATAGTCCAGGACAGCATACGGACCTTCATTATCACAGCGTCGCTGATGAGCCAGACGGCGGTGGACGGATCCGGGATGCCGACCGTGGTGTTGGTACCCCATTGTGCTTCTTCGATCATTCTCTCTCCAGCGTCCAGCAGCTCCGGCGGGGTCGTTCGATGTGATGGTCAGTGTGAAGGGGTACAGTCTTGACAGGCAGAGGGAAAGGAGATGCTGTGGGTACGTTGACGGTGTGAGTGAATGGCAAGAGTCAGAGGAGGGCAACGGAACATGAGGTAGTCCGGTGATATTCAGCGGGCATATTTACCCTAAGGCCCGCGGCCCTTCGATGTTCTAGACGTGGTGGCTTTACACAGCTGGGGAAAGGTGATGAGCTGGGTGGGCCTGCGCGACGAGGAGCGCTATTGGCTCTTGAGGGCGTGTGTAAGGCCTTCTATCACCGCCATTACGGAATGGCGCTGGATGAAACCGGAATTCGAAGTCTAACTGACCCCTGGCCCGAATTCTCAGCTAAGATTGGCCTAGGAATTCAGTAGATAACGTGAAGGCGGTGAGGTCGGTAGGGAACTCCCCGGTATGATCTTGTTAGGTGCTTACATATGTACATGTGGGTGCACCGATGCGTTGCACCGTCTCTATGGGGTTGCAGCGCTCTGCACCGAGAGGCTGTGAGGTGTCCGGGATAATTGCAGGATTACCCCATTGTCATTGATTGATTATTAATGGATAAGAAGGATGCCAGCGATCTTCTCTGGAAAACATCGGCACCCAAGCGAAAATGACTGCATTTCCACTCGGACGGAAGTCAGGTACGTCCGCATAAAATCCGCCGAACAGGAACCGCAACTCTCCGGCATTCCAAGGTGCAACTGGCCGTATTAAATACAATTATCTGGGTTATGAAAGAAACGTTACACGTATCACGTTGTGATGATCACTATCAGCGATCTGTCACAATGTCAAACGATCACAGAATAGCAGCCCAACCGCCCTCACGCGTTCCTGGACAGTCCTTGTTGACCATCTGACCGGTCCATGACCCATGCTTGACATACCCAACTTACCGCTGCGCCTGCAGCGTCGGGTTCATCATCTTCGCAAGACTCTCGCTCACTCTGATACCTTCATGTACCACCACCGCCTCCTCAACCCACGGCAGCTGGAAGTTATCGCTTCTCCTGAGGTCACCGCGCATCCCACTCTCGTGGCCCATGACCGTCTTGAGGTCGCGTGCTTGAGAGGATAGCCATCGTTCGATAAAGTGAGCGGGGTCAGACGCAAAGGACTGTAGGAAGTCACGCTTGAGCTTGCTGTGCCGGACGGAGACTACTGCGAGGGAGATCTGCGGTTCAGGTAAGAGACAACGCCAATAATCTCGAAAGAACAGCGCACCTCCTCATCCAGCTGCTGGATCTGCTGTGCCGTCTCAGGGGACAGTGCGGCCATTACCTCTCTGACACGCATTTTCTGAGCGAAATCATCCACATCAATTTCAATATCAAACGCTTTGAGTTCCCCCACAGTCGTGCTGTCCATTCTGTACACTGAATGAGGAAACCGGTCTGATACCCATCCGAAATGCGCTTACCGAACAACATAGGGTATCACCACAGGATCCGCTGGGGAGAGGCACATCTTGAGCAGCGCTGGAATCTCATGGAACATGAAGTTCTCCCTCTGTCCCATCGTTTGCAGAATGAGGGGCTTGAGTGCGGCATCTGGGCGGATCTTGCGCCGATCACCCTTCTCTTGCAGGCCATTCTGTCTGATATAGTTCCAGAACATGTTCTGGATAGTCTGCAGACTGCCCTCTTGCAGGCCTATGACGGCTGCCAGATCGGGGTTGACCTTGAGCCTCGGCGGACTGTGTGCAATGTCTAAGATGATTTTGCACTTTACAGTGGAGTCGCCCATCCGCTTGATCTCAAAACCATCCTGTTCCGCATCAAGGGTTTGTGCTGTACGGTGCCACTCGATGATGTTTCCCTCTGTGAAGGAAGGATCGCGGTCAAGCTCGACGACAAGTGAGTTGAGATAGTGAGTGAACTTTTTCACAGAGCGCGCCGCGTGTCTTGAGGGAGGGTCGAGAAGACGACCTTCGATGCGCATTGTCCAGGCAGGTGGACTAATGGAGGAAAAATCCGCATCAGGGCCAGTGTCACCTTCCGCCACTTGCCAGGACTGGTTCGATAATTGGGTAGACAGGAAAATGCGAAGGGTGCGACTCGTCTACGCGTCTGTAAGCACTTGTTCAACACGAACGAAAGCAGCAACGCACCTTTCCAGGCTTATTCAGAGCATCAGAAAGGTCAAGTTTCTTTCGTGCTATGACCCAGTCCAATTTGCGCTCCATCTCGAGCAAATCCTGATATAGCGCAGCCTCCTCTCCATCGACGCCTGCTGGGAGATTGCGATCGCCGAGCTTTCTGCGCCTGAGTGGAAGGAGTTTACGCATAAGTACCGCATTTGGATTCGTGGACATAAGCGAGAAAAGGTAAAGTAAGTTAGTAAGTGTACACACTTTGACGGTCTTCCGACTTGGTCCATCACGGGTTTTTGGTCTTATACTCCTGAGCGCAGTGCTGCCACTGGTCCTTCTTTGGTACGAATGAGCGCTTGGAGCGGCGAAGGATGATGAGTAGAAGGGCCTTAATTGCCGACAAGAGCGCAGAGAACAGTGATTGGACGCGCGGCGGGTGTGGCCGGCGCTTGCGAGGGTCGAATAAAAGAAAAGAGAGAGAAAAGCAGGCGCGTCGAATGGCGGATGACCAGGCCAACGCCACTCACTACACAGCAACGTGGACACAAGGAACTCAATTTTCAAGCTCCGACGGAAGTTTACGGGCGCGAACCTTGCCTACATGTTGGAGTCTCCTGTCCCCTTTACCCTCACCACGCTCTGTCATTTGATCTCATCCGCCGGAGCTATCAGGTTTTCTTTATAACCGAGATATCCCCTATTCTCGCCTCGTTGAGAGTCGACTGCGCAATCTGCGCTCAAGTTGCCCTGCACGAACTGGGCCAGGCGACATCCTATTTGGGAACGACGAGTTGCACGCTCGGAGTCGCCGGGAACGATGCCAATTCTGCTGATCCTTCCCGCACAAACGCCGGTAGCTCCATTATGGTCCGCTTGATGGGCGTTCGTCATCCGAAGATTTGCAAGAAAACTTGCCTGAATTCTTAGCTTCTTGGCAAGTGGACAGATCTGTGGCACACGAGCGTCGGACCTTGTGGACACCGACCGGGTTCGTTCCCATGTATGGAAGGCCCTTAATCCGAGCGTTCGTACTCCAAACGGTGCGATATATGTGCCGGAGCTTGATCCCAGGCGTAATACTGGCATTGATGAATGGTACAATGCGCAACACGATCAATACTCCGAAACAGGATATTCAAGCTCAACAAACTCTTCCCAGCTGGTGCCATCCTCACCCTCCCATGCCGCCCCTGGGAAGCCGAACCCAACTGCTCTGTAAACGCTCTGCGCTTTGCCGTTTCTCGTCTCGGTGAAGATGCACACATCCTCCACTTGACACTTCGCTCCGTCTGATAGGAGTGTAGAAAGCACCTCCTTCATCCCATGCGGACCGGAGAATAACCGCCGTACCACCTCGCCCACAAGGATGCGCGCCACGCCCTTGCCCCTCCAGGCAGGGACAGTATAAACGTTCCTGATCGCAGCGCATCGTCCAGTCAGCCTTCCATGTCTCACGTACCCTGCATACTCCTCCCCATCTGCTCCAACGACGACATACACCCAATACTCCTCCCACTTGAGGCCTTCCTCCGCTGCCTGAGCAGTGCCACGCGCCTCTTCCGAGTCAGGACCGTTAATGCCCTCCCTGAACTCGCGTATGAGTCTTGTGAGCTCCACAAGTGCCTGTGTATCTCCAGGAACGACACAGCGGATCGTATGCCCCTCTGGTAATTGCGTCCTAGCGAGAGGGCAGTCTATCCTGCTCCGTGGGATGTGCGAATAAACCTGCTCAGTGAGCGCAGGTTGCTGTGGTTGAATCCCGGAGAAAGCGCCGTAGGCCGTTGCGAACGCCTGAACTAGGGGAACCGGACCACGGAGGAATTTCACCGGCACTTGTTCACCCTGCGAGACGAGCTGATGCAGTGTTTCCCCAAGGAGCTGCACGCGGGGAGCAAGCCAGTCGGATGACAGAAAAGCACTATGCGCCGGTGCAGAGAGGATCGTTTGTTGCCCATGAGGGGTGAGAGTAAGGCTAACTCAAGAGTTAACCCGGTCAGAACACCGGCGTACATATGAATGCGCACTCGAGCTGTTTGCCCGTCCGCACGGCGAGCCATACCCCTTCCCCTGGAGCTGCGGGATCGGGTTTCGCTTCCGACCCCGCAAAGGCTTCAACGGCAGAGCCGAGGGCGACATTCATGTGCCAAGTGTCATACGGTAGGCAGGCGAGGAAGAAAAGACGGGGTGTGGAGTATTCCACTACTCTAGTTTCGGAGGACATCGTTGCTAATGGAACAGACTCGTGCAGAGGCTGATGCGAGACAACGGACCAATCATGCGGTCAAGTCGAGTCCAGTCACCCTTTGTCACTGTCTCAAGCATAAACAAGAGGTCATCATTCCCAAATCTCATCATTCCTTATTGTCTATTTTAACTTTCCCACTCCATCTACTCGACCTTGATCTGGTTCTTCGCCTCCTTCTCCGACGGTTCTCCGAAGACGCTGATATTCCACCTCGGGACGAAGTAATAGGGGATATTGAACCTCGTGTGCTCTTTCTCCCCAATCGCGGTAATCTTCTGCACATCCTCTGGCGACAGGTCAACTTGTACAAAGTTGCTCTCGATCCGATCGTTCTGGACCGATTTGGGGATCACGGTGAATCCACGCGCGACGGCCCAGGCGATGAGCACTTGGGCAGGGGTGGCTCCGATGGAGGATGCGATGGACTGGATGACGTCGTGTTCCGTCAGCTTGGGGACGTTCTTGACTGCAAGCGTGTCAGCTGCGTCTGCATGAGAACGCGGAGGGACGCACGGTTGTTCCCCAGAGGAGAGTAGGCGGTAAGATGCAGCCCCGTCTCCTTCGCATACTCTACCAACTCGTTCTGCGGGAGGTCTGGCACATAAGCACTATCATCTCAAATCGCACAACAGTACTCACAGGGATGGCACTCGACCTGATTCGCTGCAGGCAGTACCCCCGTAGCCGCCGTGATCGCCCGGATCATAGCGACACTAAAGTTGCTTACGCCGATATTCCGCACTTTGCTCTTGGGCAGCGCGATCATCGCCTTCCAAGTCTCTACAAGGCTCGTCTCGAGGTCGAGCTCGACTTCGGTATCCGCCTCGTTCGCTTTGGGGACGACGCCTCTGTTAGGTACGAACGCTACTGGCCAGTGGATGACTGAAGCAGGGCTTAGCGAGCACAAGGGAAGACGCGGAAGACGCACGGTACAAGTCGAGATAGTCGGTGCCGATCTGGCGCAAGGACTCGTCTAGCTGCTTCTCGACCTCCTCCGGCTTGTGCGCATTGTTCCACAGCTTCCCCCAAGTCAGCATGCATCCCCTGCACCGAGAGAAAGCACACCTTGCTGGTGATCCACAGGTCTTCCCGCTTGACGACACTGGGTATGACCTTCTTGAGCGCTGCACCGACCTCGTCCTGGTTCCTGTAAATATACGCCAAATCGAGGTGATTGTACCCCGTCTTAATAGCGTGTTCCACCTACACCCGGAATTAGAGCACACGGGACAGGAGGGATGGGAAAGACACACGCACGGCATTCTCTACTTCGTGAGGCTGTGAGAGCCAGGTACCGAGCCCGACCTGGGGCAGCTGGGTACCGTTCGAGAGGGGTACCAGACGACCTTGGGACATGTTTGTTGCGCAGGCGAGAGTGGGACCAAGTGTTACTTTCGAAAGTGCTGGCAACCTGCAGCTGAGTGCAAGAGCTATAGGCAATCTGTGCTAGAGTGGAGGGCGTTCACCGTCCTTCGAAAGTTGATCGACATTATCGGTCGGGTACCGCACTTGTCTTGTTCAGCATTTCCCCATCTGTGACTAAGAATGGACCGTTGTTGTACCGATCGAAGTCAGGCGGGATATCGGCCCGGCACACGTGATCCCGACTAGAATGATCGGCCATTGTTTGGATGAATGCCCTCTTGGAAGAACGCGATCGGGGACTTTCACGTCACAGGACCCTCCTCTTCCCCACAACCCCAACGGGCCGCATCATATACCCTCATACGAACAAAGATCAACATCCCAGTAAACCATGATAATCGCATAACATTTTTCAGCAATAGGCAATAATCCCCCAAGCGGGGCTGTACAAAAACGCAATAGAGTGGTAGAGAGAGAAGTGGGGCATTAGGTTCTTCCTGTCCGTCTGTCTGTCTGTCGGCTTTCCAATGTGTCATTTCCGTCCGTTCCGTCGTCGACCCTTCCTAGTTCCCTGACAGGGTACTCGGGTGGGTGGGGTCGTACTTCCGGTTAAGCAACGAGCACGGCACCGATGCCCATGCCCACGACGGCGACGATAGCGCTGACAAGACCGGTGACAGAGACGGGCTTAGCCATGCCCGCCGCGCTGGAGTGGGTTGCAGCCGGGCTGGAGGTAGCAGGGCTAGAAGTAGATCCCCCCGCGGTAGAAGAGCCGGAACCCGAGCCAGAGCCGCTAGAGCTAGCGCTAGAACCGTTCACGCTGCCCGAGACGGGGAGAGAGCCGGCGACGCCAGAGCAAGTCGCGTTCTGCAGAGCGAGGCCGGCGGCTATGTCACTGGCTGAACAGTTCGCCCCGAGGCAGTTGTTGGCCGCGGCCTGGAATTGCTGGCTATTTCGAGGAGTTAGCTAGGAGGGAGGGGAGGGAGGGAAGAAGCGTACTTCAGGCAGGAGCAGGATGTGTCCAGGAACGAGCAGTTGGCGACTGTGGACGCTTGCTGCGAGCAGGCAAGAACGCAGGCGGGGATGCCTGGGTCGTTATTAGCTCGCATTTCATAACAGAAAGAAAGGACACACCGCCAGTTGGGGCAGAACCGGCAGCGGAGGAAGTGGTATTCTGCGCAGCGACGGCAGCGAGGAGGGTGAGGAATACAAGAGCAATCTGCATTTTGCTACAGGAGATTGTGGTTGGTCGTCAGAAGAGAAAGAAGGGGGAGTGGAGGGCAAAGCGCTCTGGGGAACAGACCTTCACTCTTCGAGGTCTTTATATCCCGCCCATTTCGGCGAGTCTATTCTGTGCGGGAGAAGGCCTTGAAGCGGACATGCGACCGGGGAGAACCCTGTGGCGTCATGTGGGCCAATCAGGGTAGCAGGAGGAGCAGGAAGGGGTTTTTATCGTAGAACATCAAGCCTCTAAAGGGAGTTGTTCGTTGACAGCTGTCTGAGGTAGGATTTGGGGGTTGGAAGTTGTATTTGTTATTAATAGATGATAATCAGCACTTTGATTGTAGTACAAGATTTGGGATGTTGATCATCTATAATATAATATGATGAGAATGACCCAGCGGCCGCCGCACACACGCTGCGAAAGGCAGAAGCGATCTGCGGCCGAACCTCGGAACGCCTTCCACACGCGGGGCATCGACTTCCATTCTAAAACAAAGACCCTGATTGTTTCACATTGAGGTTCCTGACTTCTGAGGGATTCGCTCGAGAGAGAATTGATCGGCCAGGGATGATTGTCGTTATCACTTTATCAACTTGAATATTCTCAACAGGTTCGATACATTCCGACTAGTACTGCCGCATCGCTGATATCATTTATTGTCATCAATGGGTTCGAGTCACTTCACTTGCTCGTGTGCTCGACATTTGTACCAGGATCGGTGGAGTCATGTTCCGTCACAGATCTGCAACGCGATGTAGTGACTCGGTCTCCCTCAACCTATAAACCGCTCTCTTGGAGACCCACCCTCCTTCATACAAGCAAAAGATGACTACATCCCCCCGTCTGGTGAACTACCCCACCCCAAGCGCGTTCCTCCGCGCTTGCCTGCCATTCGACACATGGCACATGAACATCTCCCTAGGCCCGACACTGCAGTATCTTGCCGATTCTGGGGACTTTCAGCCTGCGCCGGGGGAAGCGAAGCTCTGGCTAGCTGTATGGACAGGAGAACAGCTTGAGTATGTCCTTCATTCCTATCCTATCCCGTTTAGGTCTAACGCATCACAGTTTAACCCTCGTACGGACAAGCAAGCTCGTCACCCTCTGTTCTCCACTTCACTCCTCCTTCCTCTCTCAAGCCTACCTCGAACCACGCATGACCCTCCTCGCCGAGTCCCTCCACGCTCTCATCACCTCCCGCTCCCAGCCGCCCCTCTCCACCCTAACAGGCCCAACAACCCTCGTGCAGGCTTTCGTTCCCGCTTACCGGGCGCTCTCCTCCCTCCAGCCAAGAGAACCAGCGGTGATCCATACCCTGCACACACACTGTCCCTCCTCGCGCGTATCCCCCGCCCCGCCCTTGCCAGAAGGTTACCAGATCCGCCCTGTCAAACCTGGTGACCCCCGCTCGCTGGAAGCGCTCGCGCATATGTTGCTCGACTTCCGAAACCTGTATCACGGGCCTTGGCCAGCGCTGTCCCTCGTCCAAGCACGGGAGCACGCAGAGGAAGCAGTAAGACTAGGGGAGGTGCTGGTCTATGTCGTCCCGTCCTCTTCAGGAGAGGAAGGGGAAGAGTTCACAGGGTTCGTCAGAGACGGAAGGCTTACCCGAAGGTTTGCAGCAGTGAGGAACGTCTTCACCCGTCCGTCATTCAGGAGACGAGGGGTTGCGGAGGCTCTGACCCGAGCGGCGGTCTTGCGGTTGCTGGGGGAACCGCATCGGCTTGCCACGCTTGTAGCGCCGCTACTATCTCCTGGCGAGGCAGAGCAAGAGGGCAAGCGAAAAGTGGAGGAAGTGTGCATCTTTGCGGAAGACAGTAACCTTAGTGCGCAAGGGATTTATGGGCGGGTGGGGTTCGGGTTTCCGTGCGGTGACTGGGGCGACAAGGAGAGAGATAGTGGGGAAGGGGAGAAGAGCTGGGAGGAGTGTGTAGAGGTGGCTTACCCGGAATAGAATGGAACGGGCGAAGGGGGCAGACGATCTACAGTCTTACGATCCAAGAACAAGGAACGAGAAGTAGAGATTCGTTCTTTCCTCTGTCTCAACAGAAAACATACTTCGCTTCGTGTCAATCCGAGAGCTTATGTAAGCGGGGATACCGGACTAATGCTCCGTGGCCGCTCGTTGCACACCTTTCTCCCTCTCATCTCAACCACCGAGAGTGTGCTATCAACGCGATCCTAATCTTTGTCTACGACTGTGGAAGATCCTTTGATCTCTCCTGCTTGGAGAGGACGAATATCTAGTTCTGGGATCATCCATGCTGCATGAGAGGAAACGTTCGCTGGTATGATCAGAGCCCACCTACGAACATCAAGGGTATCCTTTACTCCCAAAATGGATCAATGACTACATCACGACACAAAGCTGCTTGATGCACGTGCACTGGAGCCAATTTTTGCACTAGATCTTGAAGACTCTATGCCGGAGCTCTGGGATCGAGGATGATGGCCGTCGACCTGGGAAATCTTCGTCATGGACGGGCACTATGTCGACAAATATGATCAGGACGATCTTGCACATCATTGTTCCCCTCCTATGGATCACGGAATGTACTCCCTCTTTTCAACATCGTCGTCGTCACAACAAACTCAGTCACTCCTCCGTCCAGACAGCGCCAGTGTCAATTATTGTGGACGTACCAGCTCCCGAACCGCGCCTCGTACGCTACTCGAATCCCAGCGCCCTCTTGCGTGCGTGCCTACCTTTCGATACATGGCATATGAACATCGCCCTCGGTTTGATGTTGCAATATCTTGTCTTTGTGGGCGACTCCGAGCCGGGTCCTAGAGAACCAAAGCTCTGGTTCGGAGTCTGGACTGCAGATCAACTAGAGTATGTTTTTCCATGTTGTTTCTATTAGATGCAGCTGAATTGATATCCTATGTGTAGCTTGGTTTTTGTACGCGCCCACGGAATGGGCATCTTTTGCTCCCCGGTGCATTCTTCGCTCTTGTTCTTCAATTGGCTCTCAACGCGCATGCACCTCGTCGCCTCCGCCCTGCACACGCTGATAGTCTCGCATACACAGACGAGCTTGTCTTCCGTCTTCGGCGCTATAGCCCTTGTGCAGGCTTTCATCCCCGCGTATGCTGCGATCTCCGGGCTCGAAGTTTGTGCGTCTGTCGTGCGAGAAACTCTTCACACGCACTGCCCAGCGTCTCGAGTGTCTCTCGACCCGCCCAACTTACCGGAAGGCCACGAGATTCGTGTTGTCCGACTAGGGGAGAATGAGACCATGGATGGCATTGTAAAATTCCTCCAGGAATTTAGCGACCCTCATCGCGGACCAGTCGCCGCGTTCACCCTGGATATGACGCAGAAACGCGCAAAGTTCGGGGTATGGTTCGGAGATATGATGCTCTATGTTATCCGCTCTGAAGATGGGGAAGGTGAAGAGTACGCAGGGTTTGTGCGAGTTGGCAGGGTCACGGGCAGGTACGCGGCTGTGAGTAGCGTGTTCACAGCACCCAAGTGGAGGAGACGAGGTATCGCGGAGGCGCTCACTCGGGCCGCGGTGGTAAGGCTGCTAAGCCAGCCGAACAACATGGCAGACATTATCCGCCCGTTGATGCCTCCTCCCCAGGCTGGCGACGAAGAAGCGCAGCTGAAAGTCGCCTCCGTGTGCATCTTTGCGGAGAAGAGTAACGTCAGCGCTCAGGGCATATACACGCGTGTCGGGTTCGGGTTTCAAGAACGGGGCTGGGAGGAGGAGGGAGCGAAGAGCTGGGAGGAATGTATCGAGATGGCGTACGCGGTGAGGCAGGGCGCGATGTGACCCGAACCTGGAACGGGCATTATGTAGGGTGAGATTCGCCGTTGAATGGAATGCATACTATAATGCTGTCTATGAGCGAGTGTGCACGATATACTTATACTTTGATCGGCAGACAAAGTCTTCTTGAACATCGACAGATAACCAGCGATGTATGATAGCAGCGGTCTCTTCTATTGATATTATTACACATGTCTGGAAAAGGAAGGTCCGTGATCGGTTGAAGCAATATCTATTTATGGAAAGATTCATTCACTCCTTCCTCACTTACCGTGTGTTGTGCCTCACTTGTGGTTTGCTGTCATTCATTCACTCGTGGTTTACTGCTCCTCGCTTGCCGTTTGTTAATCCTCAGTTGTCGTTTGCTGCTGTTCAACTGTTGCTTCCTGCTCTTTCCGAGCTTTCAAGAACTCCTCAACCTCATCCTTCTTGTCCGTCCACATATATCTCGGCAGGCGGAACGTATCCCCCATTCTGGCATATGTGATATCGCCGAGCCTTGCGATGGGCCTGAGCTTGTTGGGGTCGACAACCCCGCGCTCGGTGAGCACATCATTTCGCACGTGGATGTACTTGACGGTAGCAATGAAGAGCGTGTTGATCGGGCGCGGTGTTCCGGGAGGGGTGATGTCGACAGATTGCGCAAGCTGATTTGGGTCAGTCGAAGATACCGGCTTGTTGATCAGATACATACCTCACACTCCATGCTGAACGCGCTCTCGTGTACACGTGGTGCCTTCACATACACCTGTCGTACAGCATTAACCCCAAATCGACCGCCGTGTCATCTTGCACACTTACACTCTTCTCCTTCGTCAGTCCACTCAGGTCCCACTCGCTAATCTCCCCCGGTGCGTCCAGCGCTCCGATATTGGCGTTCTCCAGAAAGGCTTCGCTGATGATATTGACCGTGAACTGTTTTGATGTTGCGATGTTCAGCGCAGTGTCCTTTACTCGAGGATAGTTGGTAAGACAGAGGATGACGGTGGCTGGATACCCGGCGATCATGTTGAAGAAACTTGCCACATGTCAGATGCCGCCTTTGACGGGATGGGAGAACACACCTAAAGGGGGCAAGGTTCTCCACTCCTGAGTCAGAGACGGAGGATACGAAGCCAACAGGACGGGGAATGACCCCACTGATCATTAGTGCGTACGCCTCGCTGTGTAACATATGAGAAGACAGACGACTGTTGTCTGGAGGTACGTACAGTGGGCTCATCGTGGAAGGGTCGATCACTTTCCATCCTGCCTTTTTGCCTTCTTCGAGCCATTGCTTGGCAGAAGCCTGAGCCCCAGCCTTTTCACCAAGCTTCCACCCCTCGTTGGGTGGAGTGGTATATTTGGGCACGAAAGAGTGATTAAAGGGAGGTAAAGCAGACATGCTGAGGTGTGTTTGTACTAGAACCTGAATTCCAGGGGTACTGCGGCTTTGCTCCCAAAGCCCGGCATTCCGCTCTTTATACATTCCAGAAAAGCCGATCCATGACGCTACATGCCGATGTCAGAGCCCTCCTGTGCCAGAATAGAATACTTCGGCGTTAAGTCGTGATAGGCTAACAAATGCAGAGGTGCAGGCTTGTTCCCTGGGTGGGCCGGTGGATACTCGGCGGTCTGCGATGAGCAACTATACAGTCATTCCAAATCACTAGTACTATCAATGCCCCGTGCGTATCTCCGGATGACAAAGCTGCTTCGGCTTCGGCCGGTATCAGTTTTTGCTTCCATTCTTCCCCATCCCTGTGTCCCCATGTAGTCCCCGAGCAGTCCTTTTTCTTTTCTCTTGCACTGGTACCACGTTTGTCTCTGGTACCATTTCTCTAGATTTTTGTATTGTCTTCCTGTCAAAAACTTTTCAACTTAGGGATGAACTGTGGACTCCGGAGTCTGCAGTTGTTCGAATGGGGTTAGATCTGGATGGGCGAGCGAGCAATGTCGCCGGAGCTACTGTGGTAGTCTCATTGTAGTTGTGAGTCCTCATCATGTCCACCTTTCCCTTTACCTGGACCGTCACATGTGTTGATGACAAACTTATTCACACTGTACGAGTACGGTCTATGGACCGTGTCGATGAGTGAACCTTTTCTACAACGGTAACTGAGCATATTCGATAACTTCCTACCAACCACCGATTCGAGAGCTATCACTAACATGAGATCAGTAGATTGCAATTCCAATTCTATGCTGTGACTTTGATCTGTTGGCATACGACTGTTCATAACATGAGCTTCTCTTGCTAGCATCATCGTAATGAGGTGAGCATCGTTTTGTACTTACTCCCTTCGAATCTCCTCTTCTGGATTTTTCTTCGAACTTTTTGATGACAAACGATATGTCCAACTGCTAAATGAGCGTCTCCGTATCGCGGGGATTCGTTGACAATACCATACCTCTACAACGGTATCTGAATAATTATTTCCTTCAACCGCGTATTGCATTGACACTCTATGCTGACCCTCTTCTTTCTTCGAGACCAAACATTCATATGGACATGATTCGTCTTGCCCTTACCCATAACAAAGAGACTGTGCGGTTCATCTCTCGATGAATACGGGTCTACACACTTTTGGGCTACGACTGGACACGAACGTGTTCACTCCCTTATGGGGTGGCATGCGTTTTGTTTCGTTGCACTTGTGCGGGCTTCGAGGCGACCCAGGTAGTCTTTCGGCCCTGTTGGCTCTGGGTCGGTTGTGCTATCCGCCGTCAATGTCTTGTTCTTTCAAAGTGACAATCCTCAAGGCCATTGTCAAAGCAAATGAAGCTGGGTGGTTTTGTGCCTCGTCTTTGCTTTCTGTGATCTATCTTCGTTCTGTGCAAAATGCCGGCTTTACCTCGGTGCTATCGTGGTTTTCGTGATGTGCCAGGTACGCGTCGCCGCAACCCGATTTTCACCCCTCACTCAACCGGTTTTCAGAGTAGCCTTACGGAATCCGTGCAAAGGCAATCGAACTGCGAGTACATGACTACAACTATCCAGGTCTCTACAATGCCATCCTGAGCCATATCTTTCAGACCAGCTCCACTCCCTTCAGCATAACGCCTGCATTCTTCTCCGGGCCGCGAACAGAGATCAGCATACCTCCAGCATCCTACATCATCTATCACCGAGATCGCCCCGTGTTGATTCTGCAAATCAACCCACCCTGTGGGATCCATAACCCTCTCTCCCGTCAACGTGCAGAGTGGAACCTGCGACGGCAAATCCAAACCCCCCTGCGTGACCAGTTCGTGACTCAGAAACTGTGGGCGGCGTGCTGCTTCGGCAAATGGGCCAGCTACTACGAGATTGCATATTCCGGTCCGGCACATTATGAATGGACGAGCTGGACCAGCAACCCACGGTTCGAAAAGCCTGATGCGGGGAAGGATAAGAGCCCGATCAAGCGACGAATGTCCTTATGCCCGATGGGAGGAAGAAGCTTTTTGATTTGGTTGATAAGGTGAAGGAGGTGCTGGGAAGCTTAGGGGATAAGGATGTGGAGCTCGAGGGATGGGAGGATGAGGAGTCGTAACTGCTCAGTTGGTGTTTCCACCGCATAAGAGTAATTTGGTCAACTTGAATGTATAACATGTTGTACATCTAGATAATGTTATTATGTCGTCTTCACAATCAGGGTAGAGTCAAAGATTACTGGAATGGTGTACGCTGGCTAGCTTACGCCCGACAGTTCCAAAAGTAATATGCCGGATGATCTATAGCCCTATTCTTGAACATCTTTGTCACTCGATTTGTCTGCCAACCACAGTGCGCCCAGGAGTTGCGGTCGGATAAACGCTGCAACGGCGTTCCAACAATCCTTTTCTTGGTCATATTGACGTCTGGACGTTCTCAATACCCTCTCGGCTTGCCCTCCAGTTCTGCGTTCACTCAGATGGCATCGATCTTTCGAGCGTACATGCACCAGTTACGCGTGCACACCCTGCGCACACAGATGCTCACTTCAGCTGTAGTCATGGGTCTGGGGAACATCATCACGCAGCAAGGAGTGAGCAAGCGAGGTTGGGATAAACATGATGTACGCCCTCCGTCTTCTACACCTCGTGCCGTACTGACATGCACTTGTTTGGGCATGCAACTAGTGGAAGGCAACGACGAGATTCGCCGCATATGGCTGCTTCATCTTCACTCCTGTCGCAAACCGATGGCACTACCTCGTAAACCGAATACAGTTCTCCTCAGTCATCGGCAGTGCGTTCCTATCTCATTCCTCCTCACTCAGTCACTCATCCATGCACAGCGACACTCACCAGGCTGGTGATCGACATGTCCCTCTTTGCACCCTTCGCGACCACCTGGTTCTTCCTCTGGATGGGCTTGCTGGAAGGCCGACCGCTGGGCGAGATCCGCCAGCGATGGGAGACGAACTTTACACGGATATTGACTAGGCAGTGGATGGTCTTCGGCCCCGCTCAAGCGGTAAACATGACTGTTGTCCCCGTGTATGCACGACCGCCGGTGATGAACATGGTCGGACTGGGGTGAGTCGAGCACTGCCTACCATCTTTCTATCTGTGTTCCATCTTGATGGGCTGACCATGTCAAGGTGGTCAACGTACCTCTCCCTGATCTCTGCGGAGCTGGAACGAGAATCTGCACGGGGCGAGATCCCAGAAACACTCAAAATCCAGAAATTGGAGAAGATCGAGGTCGACCGGATCTCTGCTGCTGTGATGGAATGATGTACAGTGATGGTGCTGGAAACGGGGAGGTAGAGCTGCCTAGGCAGAGGCAGAGGGAGGTAGAGTGTATTGTACGCCCGGATACCTGGCTGCTGCATATCCTTATTCGCCATTAGCTGGTTTGTAGACAAGATACGGATAGACATTAGAGGTATTACACAAGTTACAATAATCCACTATCCTTGAGATCCCCTAACTGGAGGGCAGCAGCACAGCTGTCTGCTAGCTGATATAGGCTGCGCTCTTCCTGCCCACCCTTCGCCTCGTCGACCTGCCCAGATTCCCCTATTCGCTCAACCATTCCCTGACCAACCTCTGCCTGCGCCTCCCCATCCTCCCCATGCATCCCCTCCGGCACCCACCCCTCCTTGGCCCACTCCGGCCACTCACTCTCCCAGCACCCTTCCTCAGTCTCATACCTCCAAGCATGCAAGAAGATATACATCTTCTCCGGATTCGGGTCGGGGTGGAGCGGCGCATAGCAGATAGGGCAGAAGAGGGTGTTGGTCGCCGTATCTAGCATAGGGTGGAATGGCTCCTCTTCCGCTCCTTCTCCTTCGGCGTCTTGGTCTTCGACTGCTGCAGTCTCATCCCCTTTCCTCTGCGTTAGACCAACCGCCTTAGCCCCCTTGGCTGTTAGGAAGCCCCCCGCGTCCCTAGCTCGAAAAACTACATCCCTCCACCGCGCCCAATCCTCGGACTTGTCCTTCTGGTCACGGAGGGATTTGATGATCTGGATCGCTTGCGGGGAGAGGGGGACGGGGGAGGAGAGGCCGATGTCTGCGCCGGTTTCGCGGGGAAGAAGGGCAGGGGCGGGGATTGAGGAGTGGGATTGGACGCCGTTGACGGCTTCGCGTGACGGGGCGAGAGGAAGGCCGTTAGTGGGATTAGCTGGCTCGAGGTCATAGATGTCTGATGCAGGCTTCCCGGGTCCGACTCCCCCTTCGCCTACCTCCGGCTGTAACCCATCCACCTTTCCTCCCCTTTCCAAGCCCAGCGCCCTCGCCGCCTCCTCAGGCATCACACTCGGCCCTATCTCCATCTCCCCCTCCGTCACCGGGCTTAAATCGATCCCTCCCCTCCCCCCCTTCTTCCCCCACACATTCTCATCCCTATACACCGGGTCGTTCGCAATAGGGAATCCTAGCCACTGGAGGTGTACCCGGATCTGGTGCGTGCGGCCCGTACGCGGCTGACAGAGCAGCAGAGAGGTGTTCGTCCTCGCTGAGTAGGAGAGGAGGCGGAAGTGGGTAAGGGAGGGCTTGCCAGATGGATGGACGACGACGAGCCCCATTTGCCGGTCTATAGTTAGCAGGGGCTCGGAGACGGTCGTTTCCCCACTTCAGGGGTCAGCGGGGAGTAGGAAAGGAGGAGGGAGACGTACTCTGGGAACTTGCCGGCTACCCGGGCGAGGTAGGACTTCTGGACTTTGTTTTCTGCAAATTGTTTGCATAGCTCTGATGCACGCTGGGGAGTGGTGGCGATCAGCATCAGTCCGCTCGTTAGTCTGTCCAAGCGGTTTACGGCTGCGCGGAGGGAGAGGATGAGCTGGTGCTTGCAATAGGGAGGGGGGACGTACTGTATACTTTGTCTAGTCCGAAATCGGACTTGATTATCTCGAGCAGGGAGTTCTTGTAGTATCTTCCCGCGGCGTGCACAGGCACACTCCCAGGCTTCATAACGACTATCAAGTCCCTCTCGCGCTCCTTCTCTCCACTAATAACCTGCACTCTTCCCGTTACAGGAGGCTCGTGTTTGTGCACCACATTCTGTATCCTGTCGCCGTTGCGTACGATATCCCCAGGCTTAGCCCGTCGCCCGTTGATAGTCGTCACCCCCGCTGCTAGGGCAAAGCGGTAGTACTCGAGCGAGCGGTCGCGGAATTCTGTACTGATGAGCTCGAGGATCTCGCGGTTCCACCACCGTCCTTTTGCCATGGTGGAATAAGCATGCCAGTAGGGGGGTACGTAGCGCAGTCTTGGGTCGCGTGAGAGTACTGGAGTGGTGGTTGATGTCGATGGTATGTGGGCGGTAGGACTGGTGGGTTTTGTGTAGACGTTGAGGGCTTCCATGAGTGCAGTGTGAGAGGCTACAATATGTCTATGTCGTGCTATGAGAGTGCGTATATGACTAGGTGAAAGATGCGCTGAATATGTTGGCATTCAACGATTTCCGAGTCATAAAAATAAGCGCTCGTCGTTGACAGAAATAATTTCATTTGTGGAAGTGGCTGTGTATCGGGGATATTTCGGCTCCGGTGAGTTGTTGTTCATCACTGATGGTTTGCGGTGGCACTTCTTTCTCCTCCTCCTCCTCCTCCTCCTCACGACCATGTCCCTCCCTCTCCCCCGCGGTCGTTACCGTCTCCTCCTCGCCGTTCCTCTCCTCCTCCTCGCCCTGTATATATTCTCACCAAGCTCTACCTCTTTCCGCCCATTCGGCATCTCTTCGCCTTACTGGTTACCCCAGGGGCTGGAAGGTCACGAAGACCTCATCGGACCCGTCGATATCGAGGACGACACCGACCTCAGCTCTGGGATTCCTGTTGCTGACGCTCCTACTTCTCCCCAGGGATGGGAACAAGAACGCCCTACAGTGCCCATCGAGATCTCCCACCCTGGCCTCCGTGTGCGCCTCCACGCACTCCTAACGCGCCCCGTGCTCCCAGCGGACGCAGCACTAGCGCACAACGCGCGTTCCTGCCCTCTGGCCGTACACGACAAACTCGTCAACCCTGATCAGCTTAAGGGACAGCGAGAATTCTGGGCTGGGGTGAGTGAGGACGACGTCCGCTCTCGACGGGAGGGGATCGTCCGCTGGCTCGAAGGGCTGGAAAAGGGAGGAGTGGACGTCGTCGCCCCTGAACTGGGATATGGGGAGCAGAGAAGAGGGATTGTTATCACTGCGGGAAATAAGGACACCCTCCAGCGCGCGATTACGAGTATCAAGCTCCTCCGCGGGTACTATATGAGCCCCCTACCAATCGAGTTGTTCTCCTTCCCTGGCGAACTACCCACCCAAGGCCTGGCAGAACTGCAAGCACTCCGTGTCACCCACCGTGTCCTGACGAACCAGCAGAAAGTTCCCGGAGCATGGAAGAACTTCCATATCAAGGCGCTCGCTGTGCTCCTGAGCGAGTTTGACGAGGTCCTGTACTTGGACAGCGACGTGCTGTGCTTGCGCGAGCCGAGCTACCTCTTCGAGGACGAGACGTTCAAGAAGACTGGCGCTGCCTTTTGGACAGACATCAACAAGGACCATCGTACGTCCCTCTTCTATCAACCTGCACTAATACTGACACATCTATCACCAGCGGAAAACGCCATCTGGCGCTTGCTTGGCCGGACTTGCGACCCCACAGAATGGGAAGTCGACAGCGGCGCGTTCCTCATCTCCAAGTCCGGCAACGGCGGGCTCAACCTCGCAGCGCTCCATATCGCCGCACACATGCAAGCCGAGCACGAGTTCTGGTTCCGCCTTTCCGGGGGTGACAAGGACACCTTCCGCTATGCCTTCTGGGCGCTCGGGCTGGAGTACGTCTCCGCCCCTAGGTGGATGAGCATACTGGGGTATGAGGACAACGGCAAGTTCTGCGGACTCAGTATGGTACACTACGACCTCTCCCACCCGCCTAACACTCTCCCTTCCACCCCTCCGTCCCCTTTGTTCGTCCATGCCAACCTGGTCAAGCACTCTCCTCCCCTCTCCCCAGCACAGAAAGCGTTCCAGACTCTCAAGCGCCCCTCGCCGGACTATCCCGCCAGCGCACCGATCCTCGACCGCGCACACTACTTTGTCTACTCCAGCAGGGGAGGGATGTGTCTCGACCTTGAGCTACTCCCTGCGCCTTCACCTGTAGAGGCAGCACAGGACTGGGAAGAGGAAGACGAGTATGGCCCACCCCTGGAGGGGAAGGGGCTCGAGATCGTCACAGAGCAATGGGCGCGGGTGGAGGACGGGGTATATGCAGAGTTTCCAGGGGTGTGGGTTGATGAAGGTGGGAAGGTTGGGGGTTGGTGAGCGCCCCGCCGCGCCCTCTCCGGTGTTCGCCTCCTGTAATGGAGAAATGCAAGGGAAGGCGCAAAGAAGGTAACGCATGTGTAGGATTAAGAAGTGCATATCTCTGCACTGCTGTACTACTAGACTCTGGACTCAAGGACGATCGTGTTGCATGTTTTTGTTCTTAGTTTTGTAGATGCACAAACGACAATCCAACACATGCATATGCAACAAACCGTCAGGCATACAGACTATTAACACTTGCGCAAGCTGGCACGAGGCTAGCGCGTGCTTACTGCCAGGCGTTGCATAAACTTGGGTTTCGCCCGGAGTAAGGAATGTACAATAAATATGGAGTAAGGAGTTCTTGCGGAGTGCGTTGTTTCCGCGTGTCCTTTAGTCATCGTCTAGCCCATCTCGCTCCCTTCCCTTCGCCATCCCGCCAGCACTCCTCTCCTCCCCTCGACTGGCAGCTTGACCGCAGCCTGACTACTGGAAGCCCCTCGCGGCAAACTTGTCCGCCTCCCTTCCTGTCCACCTACACGCGTCCACCTGGCGCTTCTCCACCATCACCTCGAGGAACAACGGATCCTACACACGCCCAAAATGAGGTCCAGCCTAGGACACACGGACAGGAAAAACACGCACGGGTTGCAGTTCCTGTATGTTACTGCTGATACGGGAGAGGAAGTCTTTGAGTTGTTCTACTTCCCCTGTGGACCAGTGGTGCGTGTGGCCGTTGCGCAACTTTGAGCTCAGTTCATAGCACCAGTTGCAGAATTTGTTCAGTCGTCTGAACGGGGTTAGTACATGTCAATGATGGCTGGTGAAAGACGCACTTCGCAAGGCCGTCCGAGATGTACGTCGCCCCTGGGCTGTACTTGCAGTCGAGGAGCCGGGAGATGAGCTTGGAGAGCTGGAGGTGGATAGGACCGATGTCTGGGCATGCCTGGAGCGCTCTTCCCGCCTCAATCGCCCTGTCTACTAAAGACTCCGGCAGGGCCGCCTCCGTAACCGTGCCTTCTGACTCTGACTCTGGTAAGGGAAGTCCCATCGAAGAGGGCGTGGCCTCCAGAGGTACTTGGACTTGTATTTGTTGACACCACGTCATCTCGTCCACGACTCCTTCCTCCTGTGGAGGCACGAAGAAGTAGCCTTGGCCATTTGGGTCTGGGACCACGTATATCGGCGCTGAGCTCGTGAGCGGATTGTATACAGCATGCTGATCGCCGAAGGAGACGAATGATTCCATCTGCGGTTGGGGTTTGTCGTTTGTTGCGGGTGGGGTTGGTGGTGGTCCAGCACGGGTGTGTCTTGTAGACAACGATGTCTCCCGCCTCATTGCAGAAGTGTTGTTCGCGTGGCTTCCATTTTTGGCAAGGCTCCGGGTGGGCGTGTCCAGCAGACCGGCACGAGTCGGAAGCGGGGGAGTTGACGGATTTACAGAGCTTTTGATCATCTGCGGCCAACACGGATCATCTGGTGAAGCAGAGCTGCCCCAGCAAGGTTTGACCAGGGCAAGGTACAACGGGTGATGAGGCAAGATGTGCTCCGGGCTAAGTGTCGATTCCGAAACGCATAATCCCATGAAGTCATGCTCCCCAGTTCAGCGAAGAACGGCTTCTGGAATGGAAGAGGGAAACGCAGTTCTGGAATCGTCATGACTTCTGACCCAGTCTTATTCAGCTCCATGAACATGTGATTGTAGAATATCACCATCCAGTGTAAAGCACATGCATAGCGCCAATCCTGAAATCGAGATAGCGCATTAATCTTCCGATAGTATTCCTCCCTTGTTAACTCGTTGTGTTGCCTTTGAAGCTCCGCAATTTCCTCCCCGCGGACGTCCGCTTCGACCTGGTGGATGGCAGCGCAAACCCAAGCTACATGCCGTCCAGCCATAGCAAAAAATAAATCCCACCGACCTGGTCGAGACGAAGGCCGATACACGAGATCCTTGGCGTCGTCAGTGCAGTTGTGTTCCCAGAAAAGGGGAAATGGAAAAGGTGCAAAAGGCTGAGGGTTTCGGCTGACCACGCCGACGCGAGTATCCCTTGCGTGTAGGGGGGGAGATGGCAACGTAGAAAATTCAGCCCAGGACAGAGGATTCTTCTGGAGGCTACTGTAGAATTCAGAAGCATGGTGCTGAATATTCCTGATACTGAGAAAATGCTCGTGTTCGGGGAGCAGTCCATGTCGACGACCACATCGTGCGGGATCGGGCGCAGGATCTTCTTCGTGGACGAGTTGCTCGCATGAAAGTTGCTCAGGAGGTGCCGATGGAGCACCAATCGGCGCTGTGGGAAATGATGAAAGTACACTGCAGTTCAAGTGCCTGGGAAAAGCCTTTGGTGTATCGACAAAGTCGTTGAGAGGCTCATGATGCAAGACACCTCCATTATAACTGGGTAGGTCTTGTACACCGGAGAGGATGGAGACAGCTTCTCGCTGCTTGTCGTTGTGTGCGGCATTAACCTACATGCTCAGATTTAGGAGTTGACAGGGTGCAGGAGAACCCATACTGACCACGTTCGCGTTTCCCTCACCGACGGAACTGCTCCTGGTCTGCAGATTGGTTCCCATTGGGGGAAGGACTGCTGGACCTGAGCCCGATGGTAGACGCATTTGTGCATCCTCAGATCTAAGCTTGTTGTCCTTATACTCGAACCAACCGGCGCCAGCCGCTCCGAAGTCCGGTGTCGGTAGGCTCGGATCCCTGACAGTTTGGGGCAAATGCTGCAACATGTGATAAGTAGCCAGTAGATCCTGTTGCTCACTGGCCGGCAACGGTTCTGTCCCTTGATCTTGACATTCGACACCGTGGTCTTGAGATATTGATGAGTTTGTCGCAACAGCAGCGTGCTCTTCCAATATTTTGTGCTGCTCTGCAAGGCTTAGATCGAGTGGTAGTGGCGCCTTCTCTCTATATTTGAGTTGCCGTTGCGAGAAGTGCTGGACAGGATGCTGCCGGGAGTGAGAGGCGCAACCGGTGCTGCCTCGTTGTGGAGCCGGGTAAGATGCGGAGCCGGTTTCGATCTGAGGCGCGTTGCCCCGGGCCCAAGGTCCACTGAACTGGCTTCGCAACATAAGCCGTGTGGAAGAATGAAGAATGTGGGTGGAAGCGCTGAGAGTAGTGTAGCTCGTCGGCGTTTCTCCTTCGGCAGAGACAATGGAAGAATCGAACTCGACCAACTTCTGAGCAGTATATCGATTGAAAGCGAATCCAAGTCAGCAAGCCTGATAAACTTCAGAAGCACAACTCGTATGTTGAAGTTGAGAAGGAGGAAGAGAGTAGAGGCTGCCTTCGGATGAGAGGGGGTCAACCGTTCTTGTAGCCAGGAAGGCCATAGCAGTCGGGCAGTCGCGGCACGATGGCGACAGGACTACAGTTGCCAACCCAGAGAGGCCACAAAATCACTGTAGAGAACATCACCCGAGCTCAGCGCTTTTGATACCATATTCGTCACAGTACATTATAATAAGAGATACAATTGTTGGTAAGAGCAGTGAAAGCGGAATCGGATGAAGCTTTTCCAACACCGCCTCATAGAAGAACAAAACTTTGATCCAATCATATGCTTCGATGATTGTAACCCCTGCAGGCTTTTGTTTCCTAGTGTTCACACGTGTGGCTTATGCGAAGTTGTCAGTTTTGACCGCCGATAGAAAAAAAGTGAAGATCGGCAAACATGTTGAGACTTTATTTATTCCTGTGGAGTATGGTAAGGATACATGTGTTTAGGCGCCGGCCGTATGTATACAGCGGGTATAATCGCGCGTCCTCATACATCGACACTGGGCTCATTGGTTACATCCCCCATATTGTCCACTAGATCCTGAAAGGCATGAAGCGCCTGTTCAACCCGTTCTAAATCCAAACTCTGCCGAGACGTGACGGGTAGTTTCCGTTCCGCAGCGGCCTGCTCGAATATATGAGGAGAGGATCGCGAGAGCAAGCAGAAAGACGGACCTCAACATTACGAATATGAGTCAGTTTGGTGAAGAACTCGCGTAGGCGTGGCTGATCTTCGATCTTAAATAATAGCTTTTTGCCTAATGTTCGCTCGCTTTCGATATCTTCGTACCATTTCATGAATTTGTCCAGGCGCCTGCAACAAAGTCAGACCCGCGTAGAAAACCACTCTTGTTTCGACGCACTTGAGAAATTTTGGGTTGGAAAGAGCTGTTCGTGTTCGCATCTCAGATGCGCGAGTCTCCATCAGTAGATCAATGAAGGTTTTGAGTTCTCTTCGAAAGGGCTCGCTTTCGGGGTATCGAAGTAGTGCCTTAGCAGCGGAGAGTGCTGCAGCCAGAGCGTCAACATAAGGAGCGGGACCGCTTGCGGGTCGTGGCATCATGTTATCTGGTTTCGTGGTATCTGGACGGGGCGGACTATATCGTGGCGGTATGGGTCGACTTGGGGTTGCGCGACTGCTACGAACGCTACGAACGCTGGTAGTTCGAGGTAAAGAGCGACGGCGGTGCTGGGTCATCGACTGTTGGTTATATCTTCAGCTGACGACAGGGGTAAGGGGAAAGAGGAGCCTGCCTGCGGAGGAGCTGTCGGCGGAGCCGCGTGACTTGGGTTGTATTGATCATCAGCAAGTGCGAAGACCAGTGTGTTGCGTCCTTCATCTCGAGTGAAATAGTTTGGGAAAGGCTGACTGTTGACCTCTGCGTGAGCAAGAATGTATTCATGGAAGCCAAGACCGTCGTATGTGACAAGGATCGGCGGAAAGGTCAGCCGTGGTAGGCGAGTGCTGTCCTGCCAGCGCGGAGATTCGTCGACTAGGCGCTGAAAGTCTAGGGGTAGCGAGAAAGGAGGCATGCACAGCACACCGAGATCCGTATAGCTCTTTCGCACAGTTTCCCAATATTGATCAAGAAAGGCAGTAGTTGCTACTTCGCGATCATGCTGTCGTCCGTGCAGCTGAACCGCGCTGTTGACAGTCCAGTAGGGCGAGGTGTTGCGGTACTCGCTCTGAACCAGTTGGCAGTTGATGTCGGCAAGAATGGCAGCCATGTATCTCCTTTTCATCATCTCGTAGACAGGGGCAACCTCAGGAGGTACCTCCATGGAGCCATGCAGATGCATGGGTTCCATATTGGGAAGGTGGAAAACAACAAAGTCGGACGCTGTCAAGTAGGACCCGCGTTTCGGAAGGAGGCAAAGCCGCGTTTCGGATAGTAAATGAGAGCGAGTTTGTGTGGCAAGCAGCAAATATTACGATGTGAGGGGCCGACCAGCGGCCACAGGGGAGGCGTGTGTGGACCCGTGGTGGATTATCAGTCCGTATTGGGCCCATTATAAGTCCCGACCAACAGAGGCCACAACACAGTTCTTGCCACAATGAAATTTTTAACAAGAAGCAATAGCAGGGCCAGTGAAGCACCAGAACTAGAAGGAGTGCGTGTTCAAGAACCCGCATGTGGATGTTTGCCGGAGCATGCACAAGGCCAGTTGCAGAGAACAAGAACAGGCCAAGTCAAAGGACAAAAGTCGGATAGGGGCGCAAGCACAGCACGCTTGACTCGTTTCGGATTCCCGCCGCCTCGGATGCCGTTCGGGTTCCACCACAAAGAATAGACATGGCCCATCATACGGGCTCTGTAGCAACCAATAGAACTGTTGAGCATAGGAAGAAAACGAGAAGAACAATGTTAGAGAGCAGCGCGGCGGGGAACAAAAGCCTGTAATACGCGCGCGGTGCCCTTATTCAGGCACCTTCCCAAAGAAGCCAATTGCCGAGCTTAAGGGGCTGGATTCCTGTACAATGGCAACAGTCCATACCAATTTACAATGATGTAAGAGTAATGGTTACACATTGTTACTACATCCTTAACTAATTCCGTGGTATGTGATCCTGAAGGCCCAGGCATGCTTGACCTTGTCAACCATTGTCGCATTGAGATGGAGAACCAGTGACCCGTCGTGGTCGATGTTCCACGGTATGGGTTTCATGCTCGCACCAAGCAGGTGAACAGTATCCTTTGGCAATATCGGAATCTGCCGACTCGCGGGAATAATGAGGGTCGAACCTTGGGGCTTCTCGAGGGAGATGATGCAGAAAGATTTGGGTGTAGTCGTGAACCGCACGTTGCCGACTTGAGGGCCGAGGGCGGAATATGTTGTGTTATAGATACACTCGCCCGAATGCTGGAGCCATCTTCCAACTTCGAGCAAACGCTCTCGCATAGGGTCGATGATGACGCCCTCGGCATCGGGTCCAACATTTAATAGGCTGCCTCGTGTCAGGGCACGGGCACATGACAAGCCAGTACTGGTGCATACTCACTAATTCCCGTTCTTGCTCACGATGTCCACGAGCGTTCGCACGATCACATCCGGGCTCCTATACTCTTCCGGCTTGGTTCGGCGATTGAGTCCATAAGTATGCGGGTCGATCCCCTCGCTCGTCTCCCACTTTCTAGTGTGAATCGCGCTGAAACGATCGAACTCTGGCGTATCGAAAGAAGCGTGCGAGCCACACCGATTGTTCATCGTCACCTGCCTTCCTTCGGCTTTGGCCTGAGCGTAGAACTCTGGCGCAAACACATGTGTGAGATTCGGCCCGCCGATGTCGCACCACTAGTCCCAGTTAGCGAGGGTCGAGGGTAGAACAGCACAAGCAGGGAAGGGGACGCACCATGATCTCCGTCTTATATTCCTGGGCCAATATCCTCATCTGTGCGAGCTGTAAATCCCACAAATAGTCGTCGATCGGCAATCGGCCCGTATACTCCTCCCACGTCGCCGCTTTGAAAGGGTGCATCGACAGTCCTCCCGGGAACCTATCGATGCCATATTTCTGATAGTCGGGGTTAAACCACTCCGGCATAGAGAAATACGTCCCCTTGCGCATCTTGAGCTGCCTAGCGGCGTCCATCAGCTCGCGTACAAAGTCCCTATGCGGACCCAAGTGCACAGAAGACCGGTGGGACGTCGACCTCGTGTCGAACAGCGCGAATCCCTCATGATGCTTCGTGACGATGACAAAGTACTTTGCGCCCGCATTCTGGAAGAGGTCGATCCATTGCGTGCCGTTGAACTTTGAACCGGTGAACTCGGGGATCCAGTCGTCGTACACGAGGTCCTATCCAGAGTACTAGTCAGCAGAGCTCAGTAGGCGCAGGAGAGGGGAGAGGAGAGCCGCACAGTCCCGTATGTCTCCTTGTGGTATCTCCATCCTTCTGAGCGCATGTCGGCAGGGTTGTGCAGCCACCAGTTGTACCATGCTGCATATAGTCCCAGAGGCGCCCATGCGGGGACACTATAGATCCCCCAATGGATGCTAGAGGCGCTTCAGTCACCTCGGCAGTAAGATATGAACAACACACAATATCCCAAACTTCGAGTCGTCCCACCACAGCGGCGTCTCGACTTCCCTATCGAACCTCCTCTCCACCTCGGTGACCCACCTGCCCGTCTCCCTCCCCTTCTCGTCCTTTAAAACGAGCTCCACAGGCAGCCTGCTCTCGCTCTTATCCCTCTCTTCGTCCACCCAAAGAACAGGGACAAGCACGCGCACCTCGTCCCCCGGTGCAAGGCGGTAAATCTCCACCAGCTCATGTTGTTTAAAGTGGTGGGAAGTGAGGTACACCCTCTGCGTGCTCGTTATCGGGAACTTGGCTCCCGGGACCGGCCGAGCAAGGGAGGCGAAGGCGATTTCCACGAGGGGGGCAAAAGGCGCTTCGGTCAACGTCTTGCTCGTCAGTCTCGCGCGACGCACTATCAAATCTCTGATTTCCTCCTCCTGCTCAGGCGCGAGCGCAGGCGTATAAGAGAGCGAGAACAGATGCAGCCGATTCCAGCTCCACATCGTTGATGGGAGGGTGATGCTCACTGCTGGAGCGCGGGTGGAGAGGGAGGAACTGAATTGATGGATTTGGGTGAGGTTGTAGAATGTTTGGGAGCGTAGGTGGTGGTAGGGCGCTTTGATGACGCCTTCGTTTAGCCAGTGTAGGTTCCACCAGTTCTTGACCGAGACTGGTATGCATCAGCGGCATCCTATAGATGTAGAAGAGAGAACGGACAAGCAAACTCCTCAGATGTACCGTCCTCGTACCCTACCGTCACTCGCTCAGTCGTCTCCCCATCGATCCAGTCACCGGCGTAAAGCATATGGAACTCCTTTACATACCCCACACCGGTGATATTGACCACCTGTTGCTGGCAGATGACATTATCGTACCTGTCTCCCCATTTAGCCGGTAGCTCGTACTATCCAATGTGTTCATATGAGCACGTTGAGCGATCGGATAAGGAGACTCACGCGGATCCCGTCCCATACCCACTCGCCGGTGGGGAGCACCTCCTCGGGGAACGTCCTCCCATTGCCGTCAAAGTTGCCTGTCCACTGACAGCAGGCGGCGTTATCAAACAGGTAGGAAATAGGGATCGGGTGGAAGGGGTAGGAGGCGTGTGATGGGGGAAGGAGGGAGTGGGGGTTGAGCGGCTCGGGGTTGGACCAGGGGAGGGAGAGAGGCAGCTGGGCGAGGGAGGATAGAGAGGGAAGCTTCATGGCCCTTTATTGAGCGCTCTCTTTTCGATTTCCTAATGTGGGACGATGGAATTCCTTTCTGGGCTTGGTGGTTGAGGTTGTTCCTGCGGGTTGACCGTGTTGACTGGCAGGACATACAGTGGCACTGCTATCAATCAGGTTAGAATGTTTGTTTATTCCTGTCCGCCATCGTTGTTACTTTTCGACGCCCAATATTCTTCAATATTATCCAACATCCAAACGCAATATTAATATTATCCCTGTTATCTCATTGATATCAACCCATTAATATTAACAATGCCATCAACAACCTCGACCGGCATATCGGCAACCCCGCAATCTCGGAGGGATCTCCACGTGCACACGAGACAAATCGCGTGACTGTTCCTCAAGGCAGGAGTTCAAGATCTTCCTGGCGGGTTTGGTGATTACGTGGACGAATCGGACTGGAAAACAGCGAGCGAAAGACTGTAGAAAGGAAACAACATCGGTTTATCCCGAAGGGGCTGGTGTGCTGCACTGTCGACGCATCGAGGATACGCAGCGGTCAGTTACCCATGGCCACATTTCTTCTCCCTCGGAAATTACATATTCATCGGCGAGGCGCAGCCGGGAGATAACCCCAGAAGGTGCGTTGAGCCAGGAAAGGTGACGACAGGATGAAAATGCGTCTCATGAATTTGCGGCGTTTCTGGTTTTGATGGATGTTCCCTAATTCATACGGTGATCTAATCGGAGTTCTTTATCGTCGCGATCGGAGTAAGACAGCTTCTGCCTGCGAACAAGCTGCGGCTATATATGGAGATATTTTCGTATCTAAGGTTGTTTGAGATCTCCTCTGAGCCTGTCCGCCGACGCACCTAGTAATGACGGTTCCGAATGTGAAGGAGAGAGGGGAAGAAGAGGTAGACGATCGATGACGTTTGTCTGTATCAGGCAGTGTTCCCCATTGTTTCCGCACATGCGCGTTGACGGAGGCAGATCAAATGCCAGTTATATATAGGGATCGCCACTCACCTCTCTCTTTGCCCTCTTAATGTCCGTCGTGAATTGATCATTCCCCTTCCCTCGGTCCATCACTCTTGTATCCACGGGTGAGACATCCTGGTCCGTGCGACACTATTTCAACTTTTCCCTTTCTCTCATAAAGCGCACCCTCCGCCTTTTCGCCCTTTCTTTTCTCCCACCATCTCCTCCTCCTCATCCTAGTCCTCTCTTCCTCTTGCTTCAACCTTCAACAACTATCTTCCTTAGCCTAGCATGCCTCCTCAGCGCGGTGGTGACCGCGGGTCCGCCCGCGGCTCTGGAAATCCTCCCTACACAAGGGGTGGTGGTCTCCCTCGCGGCTCCGGTCCTCCTCCCCGTGGTGGAGGACGCGGTGCCTCCCCCGCCGGTGGTGCACAGGGCGGCGCCCAAGCTGGTCGTGGTCCTGTTGGAGGCGCTGCACATGTCACGACTATTGCTGTTCGTCGTCCTGGGTACGGAACGGCGGGGAAACAGCTCCCCGTCATCGTCAATGCTTTCCCCCTCACGGTAGGTCCGTCCAATCGCCGCATCTTTGTTTCCTCATCGTGTTCGTTAGTGTCCTCCCATGACTATATTTCACTATGACGTCGGTATGTTCGTCATTTCTTGTTTGTGTACCGGCTGCTAACAATCTGTTAGTTATCAATAAGGGCGATGAACAGAAACTGCCTCTTAGGCTGAACCTGGAGCTGATCGATCGGATGCAAAGCAAGACGTACAGGGAGATCTTTGCTCGCTGTGCAGCGTCCTACGATGGCCGCAAGAATCTGTACACCGCTCAGCCGATTCCGCTCCCCGAGGACAGGAAGTTTTTGGTGCCTAGGGATGACGAACCTCCCGCACCTGGCGGTCCTCCACCGAAGATGTACACGATTATCCTCACGGAAGTCGCCCAGATCTCTCCACAGTACGTGTGTGTCTACAGCATACGTTTCATACTGACGTCTTTTAGAACTCTGGAGCGGTTCGCCGCTGGTCTGATGTCGCACGACGAGAACGTGACCACTGCGCTCACCGCTATGAACGTGGCTCTCCGTATGCTGCCCAACCTGAGATACCCATTCAATATCCGCTCTTTCTATACCGATAAGGAATTCAAGAACGTCGGCGCTGGTCTGGAAGTCTGGCGTGGTTGTATGTCTCAAAGCCCTCCTCCCTCCTTCTGAAGGTACTTATGCTTCCCCAGACTTCCAGTCCGCTCGATGGGGCGTTGGCCGCCTCTTCGTCAATGTCGATATATCCACCGGTCAGATGTATCAGCGGGGTCCCCTGCTGAACATCCTCATCGACATGATGCAAGACACCGTTGGACAAAACCGTCGTATCACCCCAGAGACCCTGTGCCAAACGAACAACGACCGTGACCGTATGCTCGCGCATAAGCAGATTGGCGGTACAGCCGGTGTGAAGGTCGTCAATCGGCTCTGGAGGGGACCTGGGAAGCCCCAGCCTAAGCTTATCTTGAAGGTGCTCCCGGAGACTGCGCGGACCGCGAGGTTCACGCTCAGAGAAGGGGGCGAGATGACTGTGGAGGTACAGTATCCCTGTCATCATCTAAGTATGCGTTTGCTAATCTCAGGAATAGCAATATATCAAGCAGACCTATAACTACAACTTGCGCTTCCCGCATATGTGGCTCGTTCAGGTGTACGTGTGCCTTCCCTAGCGCTGCTCTTTCTCCATCTAATTCATCTGTTTTCAGCGGAAAGAACTCCAAACTCCCGATTGAGATATGCGACGTCATCCCTGGTCAGCTCTGGAAGCGTCAGACGCCTCCCAACCAGATCCGCGAGGTGAGTCACCGTCAGGTACCTGAGATTCCCGTCTCACATTTGCACGTAGATCCTCGCGTTTGCCACTCAGAAGCCGCCGGACCGGTTGCGCTCTATCCAGAACTCGATGAACATTCTCGAGTATGGGCAAAGCCAGTATCTTGAGGCTTTTAATATGAAGGTCACCGAGCAGCCCATCAAGCTCAACGCCCGGATCCTTGATGCTCCCAGGTTGATGTATGGTAACAATGCCACCATTGTGCGTCCTTTCGCATCGGGTTCGTGTTCTCCGCTTACTCTGCTTACTCTCCTTGCTGTAGGCACCACGCGACGGTGCGTGGAACATGAAAGGAAAGAAGTTTATCCGTCCCTCGACTGTGAACGACAACTGGTGGTTCTGGAACCTGGACCAGCGCGCCCGGATCGACAACATCGTTGAGGGCTTGATCGAAGGTGCGAAGGAAACGGGAGTCGGTCAATGGGATAACAACCCTTTGGTCAAGCTGGAAAATGTCCATAATCGCCCGCAGGGGATGGCGATCGTGCAGGTCTGATACTTTCATTTTTTGGGCATCGGTCCTTGATCTGAAATTGCCGTGCAGAAACTTGACCAGTTGTTTACCGCGTGCGTGAAGGAGAACCAGGGAAATAAACCTATGATCCTTGTCGTCCTCCTCCCGTATGCGATGAACAACGAGCTGTACCAGACTATCAAATAGTACGCGTGACACCGCTGTTCCTGGCCCAGGCTGACCCCTGTATCTAGTTTGGGTGATATCCGCTGGAGCGTGCCTACCCAGTGTATGCAAGCTAACAAAGCGATCAAGGGCAACGCGCAGTATTTCGCCAACATCATGCTCAAAGTGAACGTCAAGCTTGGAGGGGTGAACGTCATTCCTGATCGGCGCAACGTCCCCTTCCTGATGGATCCTGCGAATCCTTCTCTGGTCCTTGGTGCGTTCTACACGATGATCACACATTTGATCGCTCCCTCACCCGATTCTAGGTGCGGATTGTATCCATCCGTCTCCTGGATCGGAGATGCGCCCCACATTCGCAGCTGTCGTCTCTTCTGTCGACACGAACGTGTCCAAGTATTACGCTCAGATGCGTCCCCAGGAATCGAGGGTGGAGATCATCGCCGACCTAGCAGACTACACCAAGGTCCGTATATCTTCTTTCCCTAGTTGCGAAATAAATGCAGGCGGCTAGATCGCGATCGACTGTTTCAGAGCGTATCGCACGAATGTGGAGAAGGTCGGTAACCCTCCCGCGAGGTTGATCTACTTCCGTGATGGTGTCTCGGAGGGGCAGTTCCAGCAGGTGCTGGACCATGGTGCGTCCTATATCTTGGTTATGATTACCCTATTCTAACCGCCTTGCTTGCAGAGGTGACCGCTCTCAAGGGTAAGAACTGTTGTAGGTGATCAATACTTGTTCTCATCGGGTGAAACAGAGGGTTGCCGTCGTCATAATATCGCTCCGAAGATCACAGCCATCATCGTTGGCAAGCGCCATCACATACGCATGTTCCCCGAGCGTGTCCAGGATAGCGATCGTAGTGGGGTAAGTCCCCCCGCAGCGACTTCTGAGCCTGTGGCTGAATCTTGGTAGAACTGCCCGGCGGGGACGATCATCGATGATGAGGTTGTCCATCCGACCGAGTTTGACTTCTTCTTGCAGTCTCATGGTGGTCTTCTGGGGACGTCTAAGTGCGTTTATCATTTTCCTGTGAACAAGAGCACTCACGTGTAATAGGCCTACTCATTATACTGTTCTTCTTGATGAGTCGAACATGAAAGCGGACGAGTGAGTTTTCTCGGTATCTTCGGGAGTCGGGAGTATCTTGCTGACCCATCCTAGACTTCAGCACCTGTGCTATTCTCTCTGCCATGTCTACCAGCGTTCCACTCGTTCAGTCTCCATCCCCGCCCCTACCTACTGTAAGCACCCCCCTCTCGCGCACACGCAACGCACTAACACCACACAGACGCCGACATCGTCTGTTCCCGCTTCAAGAACCATTTCGAGCCTGGCATGCTCACCGACCTGGAGCACACCAGTGGGCAAGGGTCGATCTTCAGCGGCAGTACGGGTGCGAAGCCTAAGGGCGTTACGGGTGAGTTGCTCGGCACGTGGAAGCAGCATTTTAGTATGCCGCGGGATTCTCAGGGCCGGGTGAGTGGTTATTGGCATGCGTGATGCTGTGGACTGATGGGGTTTTCAGGCTATGTACTTCATGTGATCCTCTGTCGAGCTACGTAAGGCCGATAAGCACCAGCGATACCATCTCCACCGATCCGCGACCATACACTGTGACTGTCTCATACCGCTGGTCATGCTATCGACTCACTTTCAATGCTGTTTCTTCTGTCATGACTAACATTTGCAATTGGCACGCGATATATCTGACCATCCTAGTTATACTGTTGTTATCGACTAGCTCCGTCAGATATTGTGTATTAGTATTACCTTGTGAATAAGAATGTCATTGTACTTGAATGTCTTTGTTGCTGTCTTTGTGTCGATGACGATGAACCCTGACAACTGTCAACGGTAAGTGCGGGGTAGTCTGCTCACCACCGCGATGAAGTGGCCCTCAATACTTCAACTGCCTCTCTATATTCCCTTCCAACTACCTTCACTCCCCTCGAACATCTACCCATCTCATCCGATCCCTCTCTCTTACTTATACGACAACCAAGCTGCCGGTATAGATGGGAACTTTGACGGCAAAGGGAGGAGTTTTCCCGTAGAGTTCCTGCCCGCAGGTGAATGGGCATGGCAGGGCGTGAAAGTACGTCCATCCCCTCCCCAATCCACGTGTGACTGAGAATCGATTGCAGTACACCCTTCCCCCCGCCTGGGGCGAGCAGGTGGACAACGTACTCTGCGCCGGGCAGGTGCTGGACGTACCCGGACTGGGGTATGTGAAGGAGCTGCATGTCTTGTATGCGGGGGACTGGATTGATGGAGAGACGACGGAGTCGTTCGTTCTCGATTTCGAGGACGGGAGTAAGGAGGGCGCGCAGTGTGAGTTATTCACCTTCCTGCTCGCTGTGCAGTGTATTGTTCTGAATGGTTATGATAGTGAGTGTAAAGAACTGGTGGAATTTGCACTGGTTAAATCAGGGAGTTATCAAGTCGTGAGTCTTTTGTGCTTCCCCCTGGTCTAGACTGAACACATCCAGGCCGTACCACCACGTCAACTCACACGAGTTGTCATACAACCTCACCCAGATCCATCAGTTCACTTTCCCTCTCCCGACCCGATCCCAGCTCAAGAGCATCACCCTCCCCTCCACATTAGCATCTCACAACCGGCTGCACCTGTTCGCGCTCTCCTACACTCCCGCGCTCCCGCCTGGTGTGGAAGAGAAAGCGCGGGATCTAGTGGTAAAGCATGCGAGGGTTACGAACAAGCGCCAGCCAGAAGCCCCTTTCGCTCCCCTATTGGAATTCACACTCGCAAGCCTGAGCCGCTCGGTGCCATACGCGAGCTTCCTGATCGACGGGTGGCACACGCTCCATCTCTCCTCGCGGCATTTTGTGCAGCTCGACCCGGGGAGGATATACAGGCTCGCAGCGGGGGATGAGGCGAGGGTGAGCATACCCGTGCAATGGACGGACGAGAAGAGGGATAAGGACGAGAGTTCCTTGCCTGTGAGATTGGAGTTGAGGGATTGGGGAGGGAGGGTTAGGGGCAAGTGGACGGTAGATGTGGAACGGAGGTTTGATAGAGAGGCGGAGACGCCTGTGTGGGTAAGCGAGCTTGTACAGTGTTGGAGGGAGAAGCTGAGCCTGGGACAGTGGGACGAAGCCAAGTTTGGGATATTGTACGTCTTTTGTGCTGAATGGAGCTGTGGTAACATTTTACGGGCAGCATCCATTGGGGCGTGTTTAGCGTGCCTGCGTGGGCACCTGTGGGATACTACGCAGAGTGGTACAAGTGCGTACAACGTCTCTGAGTATGCACGCTGCTGACCAAATTCAGTTGGTGGCTCCACAGCCCATGCGAGGATGGGGGAGCGACACAGAAACATCATATAGAGACGTATGGGCGCGTATGTGCACAAGTTTTCACTTGGGGGCGAGTACTGACAAAGAATAGAACGTGGTGTATGATGATTTTATCCCGCAGTTCACTGCTTCCAAGTTCAATGCCACGGACTGGATCCAGTTGTTTGAAGACGCCGGAGCAAAATACTTCGTCATCACCACTGTAGGTGTGCACCTCACATCGATGTAGAAGTGTAGCAAACTGATGCACGAACAGAAACACCACGACGGGTTCGCGCTCTTCGACACGCAGCACACTTCTCACCGATCGTCCTTCCACCTCGGGCCCCGGCGCGATCTCGTCCGCGAGCTCATGACCGCCGCCAATCGAAGCAAGCTACACACAGGCACGTACTTCTCGATGCCCGAGTGGTTTTCCCCCGATTACGCTAAGTACGGGATCGATCGGTTTCCCGGCGGGCTCGCGGAGGACCCGTTTAGGAAAGGGAGGAGGGAGGCGTATACGGGAAGAACGGACGTAGGGGACTACTTGAGGGATGTGCAGTTGAGGCAGATGCAGCTGCTTGCCGAGGAGTACGGGACGGAGATTCTGGTACGTGGCTGGCTGCGTATGCGTGATAAGCCCGGGTGATGTGAACCGTGACAGTGGTGCGATATCGGCGGGCCCAACCTGACCCACCTCTTTGCTCCCTCCTTCTATTCCCGAGCTCTGGCGCACGGGAAACAAGTGACGATGAACAATCGGTGCGGGTCACACGCGTCGTTTGACACTCCCGAATTCGCACGGTTCTCTAGTATAGTACGCGGGAGCTGGGAGACGAGCGAGGGGATCGACCCGTATTCGTATGGGTTTAATAGGCGCACTAAGCCGGAGGAGTATAGGAGCGCGGGGACGATCGTCGCTACGTTGGTGGATATCGTGAGCAAGAATGGGAATTAGTGCGTCCTTTTTTCACTCTGCTGGACGCGGTGAGGCTCATGCTGGGAAGCTTGCTCAATCTGGGACCGGACGAGGAGGGCACGATCGTCGAGCCTATGCGGGAGCGGCTGAGGAAAGTTGGGGATTGGCTGCGGCACTCCGGGTCATGTATCTACGGTGCAGTGCGTTCCCCCTTCTCCGTCCACCTTCTCGGTGCGAGCTGAATACCGCCGCTTGTAGACATACTCCTCCCTCGGCGCGGAACTGGGTTCTCTGAGGTTCACCCAAGCCCCAAAACATTTCTGTATCATCGCCCTCTCCCGTCCGGCAACAAATACGCTATTCATCCCCTCCTCGCGTGCTGTACCGCTGAGCGAAGGGGACAGGGTGACGCTCCTCGGTTCGGGGGGTGAAGCAGGTGCTCCGAGGCCGCTGGACTGGACGGTGGACGGGGAGGGAGTGACGATAAGCGCTGAGGAGTGGGAGTGGGACGCTGTGGAGTATGCGTGGGCTTTTAGGATCGAGTATGGAGAGGATTGAATGAAGTTCCCTGTGTAGTTTTTATCCTTTGGTTTGTATTGGATTGTATGGAATGAAGGTGGAATGTTGGAGACTTTTGGAGGTGTACGGAGCCGAATTTCCGGTGTTGAATTGATCTACTCCGAGTGGCGTATTGTAATTGAATTGAAATGTTCACTCAAATTCATTTCACTACACAAATTACAAGTTAATTTGTACACTTTTGTGTTGAGTGAATTCAAGTACTTTGCACTGCTTAACTCTTGACTACTATCTTGGCTTGAATTAACTATTTACTGTGGACTGTATTGTCAGCCTCAGTGGCTGACGTCTAGTGCCACGTCGATCACCTGACTGCTTTTCAACCTGTTCTTCCCTCTCTCTCCTCCTTCTCCAGCGCCGGCGATACACTCTCCTTCAACACCTACAACACCTACAATCACTATTAGATTGGGTGAACGCTCGCCGCTCCTTTCACCACTTCAGTTGAGGTCGCGCTCGCCCTCTCCTGCTCCTGGACGCCCACCGGACGCGCTGGAAGAACAGTTCGAAACGGGGAGAGAGGCGGCTGAAGCAGACGCAGACGCAGACGAAGCAGCAGAAGTAGAAGCAGACGCAGACGCAGACGAAGCAGCAGAAGTAGAAGCAGAAGCAGCTGAGGGAGAACAGAAGGGAAAAGATATGGACAAGAAACGGGCATCGGCTAACCCGTACTCTGTGCAGAATGGCTCTGCAGCGACGACGAACTCGAACACTTTCTCCTCGTCACGCGAGAGCTCGCGTCCTCCGCCGCTGTCCACGGCCCGGGTAGCAGCGTACCGTCCAGCAGCAGGGTCGTACATCACCTCCCCAACCTCCGTATACCCGCCAGCACAGCATGCCCACCCACTGCAAACCGGCCGGTCGTACACGATGCCGCACCAGCACTCACCCCCCGCCAGCGCCTACTTCCCATCATTTCATGACCCTACCTCCCCTGCGCCAGACTCGGCACCCACCGACGACCCGGAACGGCATTTCGCGTACTCGACTACGCTGAGGCGCCATCCGACTGTAGATGGGTACATGCCCCTCCCACCTGCAGGGACAGGGGCAGGGGCAGGTCACGAGACCTGGGTAGAAACGGCGCAACGTTGGCTTGGGCGAGGTATAGAACTCACGCGCAAAATTGTTGGCCTCAGCAAGCCCGAGCCGGTAGAGCGCGCTCCCAAGTCCCACGAACCTACACCAGCAGCGATCTTCTCCTCCCTTCCGTACACCGCCGCGCTACAAGAACACCGGTCTTCTCTCTCGACCGGGTTGTCCAATGCGGCGGTCCACCTCCTGCGGCAGGAACACGGGTATAATGAGTTTGAAGTGCCTGATGCCGACCCCATGTGGCTCAAGTTCGCGATGACGATATGGGAGAGTCACCTTATCCTGCTCTTGTTGGGCAGTGCCGCGCTCAGCGCCCTCTTGGGAAACCTGGACGACGCAGCGAGCATCAGCATCGCCGTGCTTATCGTATTAACTGGTACGTATCCCTCCCGCTGCGCAAGAGGACGATGCTAACCCCCCGTGGCGCAGTCGGATTCGTACAAGAACGCAGGTCGGAAGCGTCCCTCGCCGCGCTGTCCAAGCTGGTACCGCATCACTGTCATCTCCTGCGTGACTCTACCCCGCTCCACTTGCTCGCTAACGACCTCGTCCCTGGGGACGTCGTCTCCTTCTCCGTAGGAGATCGTATCCCCGCCGATATCCGACTCTGCGAAACCGTAGAACTAGAAGTGGACGAGAGCTCTCTAACAGGGGAGACGCGTGCGGTGCGCAAGTCTCCCGATCCGGTCGAGCAAGGCACGGACCTCGCGGGCCGTACGAGCGTAGTCTACCTCGGTACACTCGTGCGGAACGGCCGTGGGCGAGGCGTCGTCGTCGGCACGGGCACGCAAACGGAGTTTGGGAGGATATTCGAGCTCATGCAGAGTGTCGAGGAGAGGAGGACGCCGTTGCAGTTGAGCATGGACGATCTGGCTAAGAGGCTGAGTGTGTTTAGTTTTGGCGTGATTGGATTTATCGTCTTGGTCGGAGTGTTGCAGAGCAGAGGCTGGCTGGAGATGTTTACTATCGGGGGTGAGTATGTATCTCCTTCTGCAGGGATGGGTCATGCTGATTGGGGTACAGTGTCCCTGGCCGTGGCCGCTATCCCGGAAGGCCTGCCAATTGTAACTACCGTCACGCTAGCCCTGGGAGTTCTGCGCATGAGCAACCGCAAAGCGATCGTCAAGAAGCTCCCTAGTGTCGAAGCTCTGGGCAGCATAAGCGTCGTTTGCTCGGATAAGACTGGTGCGTCCGAGGCGGCGGCAAATGGGCAGTGCTGACGCGCTTTCTACTGCAGGGACGCTCACGAAGAACGAGATGACCGTCACGGAGATTTATACGGTTGACGAACTCACAAGCGTGTCAGATATCGCCGCTGCGGGGGTAGGACCAACGCAGCGCCTCTTGCCCGCTGTACACCAAACACTGCGCATCGGCAGCTTGTGCAACAACGCTTTCCGCAATGAGGAGGGCGTGTTCGTAGGCCAGAGCACGGAGGTCGCGTTGCTCAACGTGCTAGAGGCGTTTGGACTGGACGATCCACGGATGAACGTGTGTCTTCCCTGTTTTCTAGAGGCGCTAGACGCTGAGTATGCGTAGTTCCAGAGACTGTCAGAACGACCCTTCTCCTCCGAGCAGAAGTACATGGCTGTCTCTGGTGCATTTTCCTCCTCTGCAGACGCACGCGAGTGCCTCTACCTCAAAGGCTCGCTCGAGGCTGTCCTCTCCAGGTGCAAGACTTACTACGTTACTGAGGGCTCTACGCCCCCGCTGGACGCGAACATGCACTCGATCATCCATGCCAAGGCTGCTCAGGTCGCCCACCACGGCCTGAGGATCGTCGCTATGGCGTACGCGGTCGGGCCTGCCACCGCGGTAGACTTAGATAACCCCGAACGGTGTGCGCTCACGTTCGCCGGGTTTCAGGGCATGCTGGACCCTCCCCGGAAAGGCGTGAGCGATGCCATCTCCCTCCTCCGGCAGGGCGGGATAAGAGTAGTGATGATCACCGGCGATGCGGAGAACACTGCTACCTCCATCGCGCGCCAGCTGGGGATACCTGTTGGTGGAGGCCGGACGAGCGTTCTTACCGGTTCGGAGATGGATGAGATGAGCGAGCGCTCGCTCAGTGAGAGGATCACTAGTATCACCGTTTTCGCCCGGACGACACCGAGGCATAAGATACGGATCGTTCAGGCACTCCAGGAGAGGGGGCAGGTGGTGGCCATGACTGGTGATGGGGTGAACGATGCTCCTGCGCTCAAGGGAGCGGATATTGGCGTAAGTATGGGCAGGAGCGGGACGGACGTGGCTAAGGAGGCAGCGGACGTTATACTCGTCGACGATAATTTCGCGACGATCTTGCCTGCTGTCGAGGAGGGTGAGTGCGCTCTCTCATAGGTTGGGAGGGTACTAAAAACCGTGCAGGGAAATCTATCTTCCACAATATCCAAAACTTCCTCACTTTCCAGCTCTCGACCGCCGTTGCTGCCCTCACGCTCATCACGCTATCCACGACGTTCCACCTCGCCAACCCCCTGAACGCGATGCAAATCCTCTTCATCAACATCCTCATGGACGGACCGCCTAGCCAGTCGCTCGGCGTCGACCCGGTAGACAAAGCGGTGATGAAGAAGCCTCCGAGGGCGAAGGACGCGCCGATCATTACGCGCCGGTTGCTCGCGAGGGTGCTGTTCTCAGCATCGATGATCGTTCTTGGGACGCTGTTTGTATACATGCATGAGCTGAGCGACGGGCGCATGTCCAAGCGTGATCAAACGATGGTGCGCCGTCCTCTGACAAAGCCCAAGTCCTTACTAATACTAATCAAACCCACCCGCAGACATTCACATCCTTCGTCTTCCTCGACTTGGTATCCGCGATCCAGAACCGCGGGCTCAATTGCGGCCTCACACAGAACAAGATGCTCCTCACGACGGTGTCCATCTCCTTCCTCGTCCAGCTCACGCTCATCTACGTCCCGGTAATGCAAGCGATCTTCCAGACCGAGAGTCTGCCGAATCGGGATATGCTCACATTGTTTGCTTTGGCTGGGACGTCGTTTGCCGTGCATGAGGTCAGACGGAGGTATGAGAGGAGGCTGAATGAGGGAGTCGTCTATTCCCCCATGGACATGGAGGACATCGCTTGATGCTAGCGTAGCGTAGCATGTTCGTGCGTATACGTAGAAGAAGGTAACATATTGGATAAGTGTACCAATTAGAGCACACGAGAATCCTCTTCATCCCCCACCCATAAGCCGCAGAACAACTCCCCTCCCTCCGCCCAGCTACTCCCAAAGCAGCAACTCGACCCTAACCCCCAGTTCCCTGCCCAGCGCTCTCGCCCCTTCCCACCTAAGGGCGCACCTCCACCCTTCTCCCCCCACTCCCCCTCCACCGGAGAGAGGTCGGACAAGCAGCCTCCTCTCCCCCAGCTCGGCAAGTGTAGAGCTCATCAAAGCAGTTCCTATCCCTCGCTGGAGCGCTTTCCCCCGGGGAGGGAGATGAAGCGCCAACAGGCTGCGGAGCACTGCGAGCAAGCGTTCGGTCCCCAACGCAGAAGGACCAAGATCGCGCCCTGAAAGCCGGTCTTTCCCTTCCCCCTTCACATCCTTCTTCTTCCTTAACCTCGTTGCTCTGCCCCGCCGGCGCTTCCGTTTCTGCTCGGCTTGGGTCCCGAAGAGCTTCAGGTCTGTACGTGCTGGGTTTGAGGAACAGATGTAGGAGGCTAGGAGTGTCCATCTTCCTATTTCGGACAGGCGTGGCAGGTTCGTATTCCCATTCGCGGGGGCAGGGTCGGGATGAGGGACGTTGAGGTTGAGGTTGAGGTTGAGGTTGAGCCAATCCGCGGGGTTTCTTAGCCTAGGCACTCCGCTAGGGAGAGGAGGCGGGAGGCCCTGGTGTACCGAATGAGTGTAGGAAGGGGAAAACGTATACCGGATGAGCTTGATCACGTCCTGCGACGAAAGCAGGAAGGGGAGTCCGTCGTCCTTTTCAACCTTCTCTCCTGCTTCTCCTTCCGGGCTGGAAGATGGACGCTCACGTTCAAGGAGGTAACGCCATTCCCCCAGAACGGGACTGACGAACCATCCCCATCTGCTTACTGCGAGCCGGGCGAGGAGGAGCGGGCAGGTGGAGTAGGATGGGGAGAAGGTGCTGAGCAGGGAACGGGTGTATTCTGTCCAGAGGGGGAGGAGGGTGGGGTGGTAAGGTGTTGGCTGGGTTGTGGTTGTGGTGTTAGGGGATGAGCTGGGTGGGGAGGAGGGGAAGAGGGAACGAAGGAAGTTGGCTGTTTCTGTGTTATATTGAGTGAGTGAGTGACTGAGTGAGTAGGACAGAGGGGAGTGAGGCGCACCAGATATAGAAAGCGGAGGAAGGTAGAGCGTATACCCCTGCAACGCCTCCACAGGTCTGTAGGCATCCCAAGCACACTCACTCAATAGGAGCACGGAGATCCGACCATGGGTGAGCTCGTGTGCCCTGCTCAGAGTGATGAGGGCAGAAGGAGAGAGGCGGGATGGGTTGTCCAGTACTAGCAGGAGGGGAGTGGGAAGGTCGAGCAGCGCTGACCAGCCTTTTGCTGATGATGGTTGATGGGGGAGAGAACGGGTGATGGCTGACCAGAGATTGGAGGCGTCTGGGTACTCGAGGGCGTTGAGCACTATGTACTCTTCTTCTTGTAGGACATCCTGGAGTATCTGAAGTAGCCAATGCCTGAAGAGAGGTAGAGATATAGGAGCGTGTATAGCAGTGATTGGTGGTGGTGATAGTAATAAAGTGGTAAGAGAATGAATTGTATGTGAATGAGGAGGAGAAGGTGTAATAAATGGAGAAATGAACATTGTTCAAGTAGAAGTGTAAAATGTAATAAAAGTCGCGTCGCGTTCATAATATGTGGAATATTCACATGCATTCAGTGGCTGTGTAGACACGTTCTATCAAACAAGGGACAACTGTCTTTGTTTGCACAACTTTAACCTCAACGACGATGGACTTTCTCACTTCGACGTATTCACAACTACGCCAAACAGCGCAGTCACAGCTATCATCAGCACTCACTCCTCCATCTCAGTCACTCCAGTCAACCATAGACAAGCTCACGGATAGGCTACTCCAGTCATCGGATATCGCAGACAGGAGAGCCTCTTTGCTCGCTCTCAAGGGACTGAGCAGGGATGCTAAGCGGGAGGTGGGGGAGACGGCGTTGATGGCTCTTCTTGGAAGACTGGAAGAGGCGGAGGTGGATCCAGAGGGGGGGAAGGCGTTGTTGGAAACCCTTCTCGTTCTTTGTGAGAGGGACGATGACCTGCACTCCCATCCCCATCCCCACCCCCACCCCTACCCCCCGCCTCCTAACGCACGCGGGAAAGGAAGAGAAGACCTCGGACTGAGGCACACAGACGTCGTGCTTCAATCTCCGGAACCGGTGCACACCCTTGTCCACCTGCTTGGACAGTCGAACTTTTATGTCAGGTTCGGAGCGCTCCAGTTGCTCGGTGTGCTCTTGCAGAATAGGGCGGTGGTCGTCCAGGGGTATGTGTTGACGAGCCCGATGGGAGTGGGGAGTCTGGTGGGGGTGTTACAGGAGAGAAGGGAGATAATTAGGAATGGTACTCCTACCCCACTTGGAGTTGCACTCCTACTCCCGCGTGCTCACGCCCCTGCAGAAGCCCTCCTCCTTCTCCAGAACCTTATAAACTCCAACGCCGACTTGCAGAAAATCGTCGCCTTCGAAGGCGCCTTTGAGCGGCTGCTCGACATTGCCCAGCAAGAAGGCGGAATGGAAGGCGGCGTAGTAGTCCAAGACTGCCTAACGGCGATCGAGCTCCTGCTAAAGTTCAACGTTTCCAACCAGGTCCGCTCCCGTCCCCTCTAAACGCACTAACCTGCTAACCTGCACGCGGTAGAACTATTTCAGGGAAACGTCCAACATCCCCCGACTCCCGCCTCTCCTGCTCTTCCCCTCCCCGCCCCCTCCCCCAACCGCGCCTTCACCCCAATCCTTCGCCCTCCAATTCTGGGACACCCAAAAACTAGCCAACGCAATCCTTCTCGTTAGGCTCGTCCTTCTCCTACTGGGCGGTGCAGGCCAGGGGAAAGAGCAGAACCAGCTCGCCCTCCTAGCGAGTGGGATGACACGAGCGCTCCTAGAGCTAGGGCTGGCAAGTAACGCCCCCACATCTCTGAAGATCCACGTAACTCCCTTCCCCCCCTCTTTACCCGCGCGCGCTAACCGCTGCGTAGGCACTCAAAGCCCTCTCCCCGCTGCTAGCAAACTCGAAGCCGAACCAAGAACTCCTCGGCTCTCTCTCGCTCACCCCCTACGCCTGGGCAGGAGGGGACGAATGGGATCGCCTACCGCAACAAGCCTCGCTCGCCGCGCTCGTACGCACCGCCCTCTCCGGAGATCAGGGCGCAGCCGTCCTCGTAGGAGGGGTAGAAGCCGCGCGGGAAGGGCTGGAATGTCGTGCCGCAGCTGTAGGCGCGTTCGACTCCTTCTGCCAGTCTAACCCTGCTGGTATACACCTCCTCTTGGAGGAACTCGTCTTCCCCCCCTCTGAACCATCACCCTTCACCGACCCGCCCCTTCCCGCCGGGTCCCTACTCCTGCACACGCTTACCGCTCTCCCCGAACCTGAACGCGCGCCTCAGAGCCTAAACGGACTCCCTCCAGCTCGGTTCAACACCTATCCGACGGTGTTTGCCTGTCACTTGTTTGCCCACGTGCTCCGGTCTGGGGAGGGGGCGAAGGCCGCCGCCAGGGGAGTGACACTCCCCCTCCCTCCCCAAGCACAGCAGCCCGAGCCGGAGGACGAAGCCGACCACCCGCCAACGCTCATCCAGCTCCTGACAGGGAACGTCAACCTCGCCCTGCGGGAACATACCCGTGCGCGAGAAGAAGGCCGGGAGAGGGAAGCGAGGGAATGGGAGCGCGCGGCGTGTGCTTGGTTAGGGGTATTATGTGTTTGGTGCTGGGAGAGTGCGGGGAGTGTGAGGGAGTTCCTGGAGGAGGGGGGGAATGTCCAGGTTGTGAGTCCCCACTTCCCATTTCCTGGCGAGTGCCCCTGGGGTACAGATACAGATACTGACGGAAATGGGTTTGCTAGCTCGTGCAGCCTATTACTCAACCGAGCGGGATAGACCCACTCGTTCAGGGCCTGGCGGCGTTCTTGCTTGGCACGTGCTATGAGTATGATACGGATCCTGGGGAGGTGACGAGGTGTGTTTTCTTCTCCTTTCTTCCAGGTCTTCCCTTCCTCTTCCCCTCTCCGTTCCTCCTCCTTCCTCCCCTCTCCTTGCTCGCTTCCCCCCCCCCGTCTTTACAGATGCTGGCAGCTAACCCCGCGCACAGGGCAACCCTCCACCCCATCCTGCTCAAACATATCGGCGCAGACCAGTTCGTGAACCGTATGACACGGTTGAGGGAAGACGACAGGTTTAAACAAGTCACCCCCGACTCAGGGGTCGTCCTTTCGCCTGGACAGGACCTGCACCAGCAGGTGCAGGTGCAGGTGCAAGGGCAGGGACAGGAGCAGGGGAGGGAGGCGGAGGAAGAGGGGGAAGTGTGGTTCGATTGGGCTTTTGTAGAGTTCTGGAAGAACACGTACTGTGAGTCCTTAGCACTAGTATCGGTGTTGGAAGATACTGGATACCGGATACTGACAACCGGGCAGTCTCTGTCCAGCGCGCTATTACCTCTGACCCGAATGCCGTCAAGCCCATTTCTGGGGAAACGCAGACCCTGGCGCTTATCTCCTCTCTACAGGGGACGATCCAGTCCCAAGCGCAAGACCTGGAAACCATGCAGCGCAAGCTGGACGCCCTCCACCGAGAACGGGAAGAGGAGAGGGAAGCGTTAGGCAGTGAGTTGGACAGGCTTGGAGCGCACGTGGCGGAGATGGGCGAGGAGCTGCAGTTGGCTGCGGGGAGGGAGAGGAGCTTGGACCTGAGGGTTGGGGAGAGGGAGAGGGAGGTCGAGAGGTTGAGAGCGGAGTTGGTGGAAGCTGCTTTTGCTCCTACTTCCGCGCCCGCAGCTGCCTCTGTCTCTCCCCCTGCTCGTGGGGGATCTCAGGTGTCCGCTGTATCATCCCCCGGCACCGAGACGGAACTGAAAGCCCGACTGGCGGAACTAGACCGCGAGCTGAAAGCCGCCCAGGCGAAACTGAAAGAACAGGAAGAACAGGTCGAAGATGCGTTTGTGGCGCTGGACGAGCTGAGCCAGAAGAGGAAGAGGGATAAGGGGAGGATGAGGCAGGCGGGGTTGGTCGTTAGTGAGGATGAGGAGGATGAGGATAAGGATGAGGGGGAGGAAGATGAGTGAGGAGAGAGAAAGGCGTTGGCGCTTTTGGCAGTTATTAATTGGATAGAATAATCAAGGTTTTGTCCTCCCTGGAGATTTTCTCTTGCTTCGACTCGACTTGAGCACCTGCACATATTCTTTTCTGGGTGATGAACCCCGAGACTGTTGAACTGGAACGTACGCCCAGGAAGGGATGATACGCTCGGCGTTGTCAAGCACGTGGCCGGGTATCATCTCGGGCGGATAGGGTTTACCCCGCAACCATCACAGCAGGACTTGTCGAGTTGCTTCTCTTCGACCAGCTATATTATATTATATTTCTCATTTGCCTTTGGGCTCTAGCTCAATAGTTGCAGCCAAGATGCCCCCTCCTGTCAAGCTCAGTTTGTTCTACGATATCACCTCTCCCTGGTCTTATATCGCCTTCGAAGCACTACGTCGTTACACTCGTCCCTGGAACCTGCAATTAGACTTGCGTCCCGTCCGTTTCCCTCCTAATCCGTACAACTAAGCTCACGATTCGTTGATGCGTACGCAGATGTTCCTGGGAGCGGTGCACCTTAAATGCGGCAACCAAGCGCCTGCGTCAGTGCCCAATAAAGCAAAGTGGATGGCAGACGACCTTGACATCCTCGCTCAGCTCTACAGTCGTGCGTCTTCACTCATAAACTTGAGTTCGATTGAGGTTGATAAGATTCAGTGGACATGAAGCTTCCCCCGGGGTTCCCGTTTAACAAAGAGTATAACACGTTGAACGTCATGCGGTTTATGCGTGTGCTGAGGATGCACAAGCCCGAGGTGCTGGAGGAAGCTACCAAGAGGCTTTATGTGCGTTTCCCCCTGGGTCCGGTTCCTTTTCGGCGAATTTGCTGACTCCAAACGCTGCAGGAAGAGTTCTTCTCCCGGAACACGCCCACCGCTTCTCCCGCGTTCTTAGGCTCGCTCAGCTCCCCTCCCGCCCTCCTGACACCAGACGAACTCACGCATCTCACCACCCTCTCCCAATCTGCGGAAAACAAAGCTCTCCTCCGCTCAGAAGCAGAAGCGCTCGCAGACGAGGGCGCGTTCGGGTTCCCGTGGATCGTCCTCCGTAGGACGGACGGGGGGGAACACAGTTTTTTCGGCAGTGATAGGATGCAGAGTATCTCTTTCTGGTGAGTACTGGTATGTGGAACTGGGAGAGTGAGTGAGGCTGATTGGGATGTAGGCTGGGAAAGGAGTATCCGTATGTTGGAGTGGACCCGGAGGGGTTGAAGAGCAGGATGTGAGTCCGGTGTAGGGCAGGGCGGGTAGGAGTGTGCGAAGTGTAGGAGTTGGAAAGTTTCCTATCAACTGTAACAGGAATGAAAAAAAGGTGTATCGTACATTAAATCTCAAGTATCTTCCAACGTATGTACTGCTCCTTTGCAAAAAGCACTCTAGTGGAAATCCAACGTTCTCCACTGCGGTCCACTCTGACCCACCGGAGCCGAGTCACGTTCTCTCATCGGATGCATCGGAAATGAATCGGATATTTTTCCAACAAACATTTTCCTTTCCTTTTCTGTCAATTCAATCTATGCTGCATTCATCTTATCTTTGATATACTCAAGCTCTGTTGTAGCAATTTGTCCACGGCTGTCTTACACTCTGCTTGATTTGAGATACTATTGCTAGTGTTTAGCTCGATTTGAAGGGGTAACGATGTCCCGTTGGACCCGTCTATGTCACAGACCGCCCATACCCTACCGTCCGACCATACACAGGCTCAGTGCTCGGCGCAGCAGCACCCTCTCTGCCCCTTCACTCGAAATACCCACCCAACAACGAGGAGAAAAAGAAAAAGAAACAATCGCCCACCTACCAAAGTGCTCTATCTATCGTTGGGGTCAGGCACCTCCCACCCCGCCGTTGTTCAGAGACGTCGACTGGACTTGGAGGGAAGGGGAGGCCTGGGCAGTCGTAGGTACCGCAAGTAGCGGGAAAGGGGAGTTGCTCGATGTGCGCTCCCCCCCCCTATTACCTCCTGTTCCCAACAACTAACGCAACCAGACACTGCTAGGTCATCATCGACCCCTTCCCCCACCAGCTCAAGGCCCATTCCCAATCGTCTCCCACCTTCCTACCACAGCGCAGGAACACGCTCTGGCCTATGTGAGCTTTGCCACTCGACCCAGGGCGCTCGGGGCAGGATTTTATGATTTTTCGGCGAGGTACGGTGCTGTGAGAGAGGAGGATCGGGTGACGTTGAGGGAGAGCTTGGTCGAGGAGGCGGAGAGGGCTGGCGTTTGGGCGGGAAGGGACTCGGACGGGGATGAGAGTGGTGCGAGCACTGTCTCCCCTTTCGGTACGAGTGAAGGGGAGACACAGAGTCGGACAGTGGACGAACGCGAGCTGGAGGAGATAGCACACAAGCTGGATCTTGCACACCTCCTCGACCTCCCGCTGATCGCCCTCTCCAACGGGCAGACCCGGCGTGCGAGCGTCCTCCGAAAGCTCCTCACGAAGCCCGAAGTGCTGTTATTGGATGAACCGCTCAGTGCGTCCCTACCTGCTTCTTGGACGTATGCTGATCCTACGTAGCTGGGCTGGACCCACAACACCGGCTCTCACTCGTTTCGCTGCTCCATCAACTGCATACACACTGCGCACCCCGGATCCTCCTCGCTCTCCGCCCGCAGGACCCGCTCCCTGAGTGGGTGACGCATGTCGCTGTTGTCGCTGATGGGCAGGTGAGAACAGGGAGGAAGGAAGAATTCAGGGAGGAGTTGGCTAGGCATCATGTACTCGAGAAAGCGGAGAGGGCGGTGCCGGTCAGTGAGAAGAGTGTGCAGGAAGGTGAAAAGGAGCTGTTGGTAGATATGCAGGGCGTGAACGTCGCTTATCACGAGCGCAAGGTACGTACGCTTTACCCATTCCCGTCTTCCCAACTCCTTCCAACACCCATCCCAGGTACTCAAGAACATCCACTGGCAAATCCGCGCATCCGAGATCTGGCACTTGCGCGGGGCGAACGGCAGTGGGAAGACGACGCTGCTCTCCCTTCTGACGGGTGACCACCCACAATCCTACACACAGCCGCACCTGCACCTCTTTGGCAAGCCGAGGCGACAGCATGCGACTCCGGCGCTGCAGCAGCGGATTGGGTTCGTCAGCCCGGAGTTGTATAACGCCTTTCCGAGGCGGCTGGGCACGGGCGCGCTGAGTGGGAGAGACGCGATAGGATCGGGGTTCGAGGCGACGTATTCTTACCGCCCACGCACATCGGAGCAGGATAAGATCATCGATTCCCTCGTGGAGGCGCTTGCTCCAGAGTGGCAAATCACCGGGAAAGGGAGCGTGCTGGATCGCCCGTTTGCTGCTCTCAACCCTGGCGAGCAAACGCTGGTACTCCTCATGCGCGCGCTCGTTAACCGGCCTCCCTTGCTAGTGCTGGACGAAGTGTTTGCCGGAATGGACGATGGGATGGTCCACCGCGCCCGGGAGTTCTTGAGGGAGTATGTAGGTGAGGGGAAGGGGACGAGTGTGGTTTGGGTCAGTCATTGGGAGGGGGAGATGCCTTGGAGCTGGGAGAAGGGCGAGGTGAGGAGGCTGTCACTGTGTAATGGAGAGGCCGAGGTCTCGTGATTCATTGACATGGGGTGATGGTGGGGGTCATCCATTCTTATACGGTGACGTTGTGGTTCTTACACAAGGATGCTCGTGGGAACGGGTGACGAGATTGAGATAAAAATGCTATTGGACAATTTGACAAAGGAGACAATTTAGTCGTACATAGATTTTACAGCCCTAGGCCTTCTACACCGAATGACTTCCGAAACCGGAGCGTTGCCATTTTGACCAGCGCTCAGTACTTGACGGATGTGTTCCCAGTGCTCTTGTGCTCGAAGAAGTTCTGCGGATCCGTCAGCGTCTCCAACTTGGCCGAGGATCGGGTATACTACACACCTCCTTCTCCTTGGTCATGGCATGAAACCCAGCATAGACGCCGACGCAGCAGACGAAGGACACGATACCAACGAGCGGGTATGCTTCTACTGGGACTTGGGCCCAGAGACCGCGGAGGCCCTGCAGCTCGAGTCAGTTTGAAGTGCTAGAGAAAATGAAAACCCGACGTACCGTGGGTCGGGCTCCGGGCTTTGCACTGTAAAACCGGGCCTGCCTCACAGCAATTGGGCGGGCGATCCGTGCGGTCTGAGTAAGCTGGCGAGCGAACATCTTGTGTGGTGTTTTTGGACGGCGAAGAAATAGATCACGTGAGACAAGAGCGGCTGGGAGGTTCCGCGCTGAGGACGAGGGCGAAGAGTGCTGGACACAAGTCCTCATTTCCCAGGTTTTATATTAAATACGACCTGGACATGCGTTTGTAAGATCATCTGTTGGGCTGTACGCATGTCAGGAACTTCAGGGGGGCGGGACGGGCCTCCTACTCGTCCCGACGCTGGTTTGGTGGGGGAGCAACGTCCTCTCCGTCCCGCTGACCCGCATTCCGCTGGCACATGAACCAAACAAAAAGTGGAAGCCAATAGATCGTCGGGAACTTAGCGATTTGTCGGTGTAGTAGACAAATAAGCGCCCGGGGTCAGTTTGAGAGTTCCTACGTCTTGTATATTCCAAGAGTTCTATCCATACAGAAGTTAAGAAATACCAAATATGGTAATATACCCCCGAACTCTAGTCGGCCTCCCTTTTTCTCCCAACGGTGAGGGACCACGAATATTAACACTCCCAAAGGACGCAGAGTGCTACTGAGGTACTTGATGGCTCATATAGGGTATGGAGTCCACCCAGTCGAATGGAGGCGACGGGTGGACGGGTATGCGAGGTACGTTCAGTACCGGAAGACGGAGGAGCCGTGCCTAGCCTTGCTGAGTTCCTGAAAATAGAACCTCGGATACTGTTATCGTGGTCAAGTTATGAACACTACGAACCTCCGGAGTCATCAACCACGCCCTCACACCTGCTCCGATCCCGACCGCAGAGACCGCAGCGGTGCCGAAAAGCATATAGAGACCGTTGGGAGGGAGCTGGGACAAAACGCCCTGTTGTACCCAGTCAGGATTTCCCCAGAAGACCTCTGGATGTACGCACATAAGGCTTGACGTCACGTGCAACGTGGATGCTGCGGCGTGCAAACATGGGAGCACGCTGAGCGATGACACGGCTGGCGACTTGACGAGCAAACATCTTGTGAGTTTATATCGTGTAAGAAGGGAGTTGTATCGCGAGATAAGAGTTGCAGAAAGTCCTTGAAAAATGCTTCTTGGTATGAGGGGCGTTGGATCTGGCCCCAACGAGGATGGGGGAGTGCTCGTATTTATAGACGATTCGTCCTCTCAAAAGTCCTAGTCATAACACTCCGCATGTATCAAGTCGGAAAAAGCTCGTTCCCTTCCCGCCCGGGTCCTGTACACATGCGGATTGCCGTTTCGAGAGCCAGAATTCTTATAAACTCACATATCCTCACTCCACTGATAACTGTTGCGGATTGCCTTTTATGGAAATATATCCACCAGGGGTGTTGGGGTCTTATGCGAGCATACGGTGACCGGAAACTGCCTCGGCCGGCAACACCGGGCGGTGAATATCAAACGATACAGTGAGGCGGAGAGCGGCGATGGGCGGGTGATCAGTCAAATCCGAGTTGCTTGATATGTCGATGTATCCTCGTCGCCGAGTTCATCTCAGTCTGTACGGTGATCCCTGGCCGTTCCGCCTCGGGTCCAACCGCCGGTGACAGGAAATGAAACATAAGGTTGGATTCCGAGCGAGTCTCTTCCTTACCCCGCAAAGCCTATGACGGTAACGGCCTGCCGGGTTGGTGCATATGATGGATGACGGATTCCTTTCGTTCCTACTTTCAAATTACACTCTGCGCATGCAGCGGAACATCATATTGCCGACGCTTTCTCCTTACCCAGATACTGTGCCACCAATGCCCGTCCGTTGAGGCCTGTTGCTTTGAGTGTCTGCGGATCTCCGGGAACGACATCAATAGCGTTGTCGCTCCACTGCACCGTGTCCGTCTCGCCGGCCACATCGAGCCAAAGGCCCTTCACGGGGTGCCTCACATCCACCTTGACCTCATCACCGTCTACCCTGACGCTGAGGATCGGGTCGGGGAAATCGATAAGCTTGAATGGCTGGGGCCAGTCAACGTAGCGCGAGAGAATCTCCTTCGATTCCACGTCCACCAGGCGCGCAGAAACGATAATCGAGGCACTCAATGTTGGCTTCGGATCGCCGCCGGGGTACGTGTCGGGTTCGCCGCGGGGCCGGTGTGGGACCTCCTTCTGAAGCAAGTCGGTCGACTGGTTAGGCAGGAGGGTGAACGTGTGGTATTCCGATGCACGCCAGTTGGATTCGAGATCCCAGTACATCACCTCCAGAACGACGACTCGGGGGTGGAGGGTGGAATTACACCCCCAAATCTCCATCGTTGCGGAGAGAGACTGGAAAGCACCAAACTCGTAGAACTGCCGAGGACGATCGTTTTCCTTGTTCTTCTTGACCGTGCGCTTGATACCCACGGTGATGGGCAGCATCTCGCGTGCGGTTGCGTAGAATGTAGGTTTGGGACGTTGCTGTGATTTGTTCAGTAGATTCTTTCAGCTCTTTGGGAGTGTGAACTTACGAAGTAGTCACACGTGGCCCAAGAGGTCACGGGCCAAGAGTTGTTGATCTGCCACACGAGAGCACCCGCATTCTGGAGTCATGATGAGTGGCTACGTTATCCCGAACAACCAGTTGCCTACGTATTGCTTTCCAGGTCCTTTCCAGTCCCTCCTCCACATCCTGTACGCCGCGCCAACACCCTCGCTCTGCATCATCCGCGTCAAGAACACGTACCTAGATCCTTGTAAGCGACGAGAACAAACTTGTGGACAACAAGGACCCACGATTCGAAATCTCCCGTGATCCTAAAGTTCTCATTCATATAAATCGCAAGCCGACGCTCATGACTCCCAGCCTTATTATGCTGCTGCATCATCCTGCTCTGCGGGTACCTGTCTCCTTTCTCATCATCAAAGAACCAGTCGATCGTCTCAGGGTGAGGCATGGCCGGCAACCCGAATTCGGAAACGAATCGTCCACCATTCAGATCCCAGTTCTGGTAGAAATCCGCCCGGCCGGCCCACATCTCCCATTGGTGCTGGGCAGGTGTATGTGTTAGGGGGGATGGATGGACGGGTAAGGAGAGAACGTACGATATCCCCCATTGTGGGATCGGCGGTGTTCCAGTAGTCCGCGCCGCCCCATGGGGAACCGCGGTGGTAGGGGATCTCGGGTGACGTGAGGGCGGTGACGACCTGGGGGAGGATCTGTTCGTAGATTACCACAGCGGGCAATTCGGTGATACCCCACTGCTTCACCTGCTGATCTTTCATCAAACAATGTCAGCTACACAGTTCCAAGGTAGTGGCAGACGCTAACGTACAATCTTCGTTGTTCCCGCAGAGGAGCGCTAGGCTCGCATGATGCCTGAGCCTCTTGACTGCCAGTTCTGCCTCAGGCCTGACCTGGTCCAGAAACTCCTCATACGCAGGATACTGCCCGCAAGCGAACATGAAGTCTTGCCAGACGAGCAGTCCTAGTTCTACACACCAGCGGCAGGATCTCAGTAACTCACATTCGGAGGGGGAGACAGACAGACCATCACAAGCATCATAGAACTCATCACTCTCATATATCCCCCCACCCCAGATCCGGACCATATTCTGGTTCCCTCTCACCATCAGCTCGAGCCAGGTCCTGTACCTCTCCGGCGTAGCGAGCGTGAGCATGTTATCGATCGGGACCCAGCATGAGCCGCCTATGAACATGCGGACGCCGTTCACTTCGAACAGGAAGGTAGTGCCAGGCTGGTCAGAGAGCGGTTCCTGGATGAGGGCAATGCGCCGGAAGCCAATCTTCTGGGTGAGTTGGTCGAGGATTGTCCCGGACTGGGCAAGGCAGATGTCAGGCGACCCGGATCAAGGGGAGGAAAAGGCTTACTTACCTCGTCAGTTAAGATGACCCCGACGGTGTAGAGCGGCTGGCTGCCATAGCCCACAGGCCACCATAGGTCAACCTGCCCCTTCAATTCCCAGTTGATGACGTCGATGAGCTGTTCAGTGCTCGTAGCATCGATCTTCTCACTCTTGATCTCCTTTCCCTTCACATCCCTCAATACGACCTCAACATGCACCTTCCCACCCACGTTCCCCGCCAGCTCCAAGCTCAGCCCCAAACTCGGCACATTCGTCTCGTTAACCCGTGCCTTCGTCTGCACCTCACTCAAGCGCAGCCAATACCTCTCCAAGCGAACGGGCAACCACGGTCCAACGCTCATCAGTTCCGGACCCCAGTCCCAGCGCCAGTGATACTGTGCCTTGCGCACGTAGACGCGGCTCTCGTGCCCGACGTTACACGACCCGGCGGTGCGTTTCCCATACTGAGCCTCGAGGGCGAGGGCGATCGCGCGCGAGGATTTGAAGTGCAGCAGGAGGTGGTTGGTGGGCTCGAGCTGGGATGCTTTCAGAGGGACCTAGTGGACGTCGGCGAGGACTTAAATCAAAGTGGGAGGAGTGGACATACCCTCCATGGACGGAACATGTTATCAGCCTTGAGCACCATCTCTCCGTTAAGGTACACATCACAGTACGTGTCAAGACCTTCGAATACCAAGTCTGCGTTCTCTCCCTGCTTGAGCTCCCCTCCCTCTAGAGCGAACTGACAGGAATACACCCATTCCCTGTCCCCGATCCACTGGACCTGGTGTTCGTTCCATTTCTTGTACGGGTGCGGGATGGCCCCCGCGAGAGTGAGCTCTGCATACACGTCCGAAGGCATCTGTAAGCACTTGTGCCATGCATCAGTCAACAGTGAGGCAGCTGTAGCAGGTGCGACAGAAGTGAGAGATGAGAGGATAGAGCTTGCCGACGTGAACGGCGCTGAGAGGACTTTGAATGCCCATTTGGCGGTGTTGAGGTCGAGCGTGGTGCTGTTGTATGCCATGTTGACCGTTCACTTGGGTTGATGGGCTGATCTGGGTGGTGTTTATATATGATTAGAAGAGATTTCCCAAGTGGCCGGAATGTAGGCCGATATGAATATACACATGTTTGAGCACTCTGTATTGGTAGACGTCTGCATGGTGGGGAGAACGTAGGGACGATGAGCTCGGGTTGTATTCCGACTGGCTCACCGGACTTGACAATTTATCCGGATATTTTACACGAGTGCAGGTATACAATGTATTAACCAGAGTGTACAGGATGAAATGCTACAGAACTACTTTATAAACTTGTGCATAAACTTCCTATGGAACTCTGTCCGCAGCAAGTCATTCACAAATCCATTCCCTTTCTCTGCTCCATTCAGCGCCTGGTTCTTAAATATCAAATCTGTGTAGCGCACTCAGTCATTTGTCCAACCGTCGCACCAGGAAACAGATAAACATACCATCATCCCACCGTTTCTTCACCACAAATCCACTCGGTGCACCAAGCTTCGTCCCTCCTGCCGGTGCTTGGCCTAACGCAGCCGCCAGATTGAGAAGAGGGTTGCCTAGTGCAATTTCCTCATCTCGTTCCCGTTCGGCAGTCGCAGAGTTCTCCTTGTCTAGTCGCGCTTTCTCCTCTGCTCGCTCACGCTTGATCTTCTCAAGTTCGCGCAACAACTCAGCAGTCTCGTCCTCGTCATCATCTTCGTCGTCTTCGTCGTCCCTAACATATACGCGTTAGCATAACCCTCATATGTGCAGATCAGTACGCACTCATCGTCATCATCATCCTCCCGAGCACGTTCCTTCCCCTTCCCTTTCCCCTCCCCTCCCTCCTCACCCTCCTCCTCATCATCATCCCTATCCATCTCCAGCGCCTCCTGTAGCACCTTTCTCCTCTTACTCTCCTCCCCCTCTCCAACCTCTACACCCTCAACAAGTCCCAATCTAGGCTTCTCCTCCACCCCTTCTTCAGCCTTCCGTTTCCTCCTAGCCTCCGCCTCCGCAACCAACAGCTCCGCTCTCAGATCCCTCTTGCTCACTTCCCCAGCCCTGCCCTGCCCCGGCTGGCGGAACTTGAGCTTCGTATGCGCGGCCATGTCCCGCGCGCTGAATTGTCGCGTGTTCCCTCGTGAGGCCTTTCCCTGCGCGGGCGTCCAGGTTGGTCTGTCTGTAACCCAAAGTCAGATTATTCTCATTTGATACGCTGGGAAGAATAATGCGCACGAGCTGTGGACATGGTATAGGGTGAAGGAGGGAGGGAGAGGAGTTGAATGACGAGGAGAAGAGATTAATGCGTTGAAATCCAAGTTTTGATCCCGCCTTTCCTGTTTTGGTACTCCCGGAGTTAACATTTAATCCGGAGCAAGTTCTGCCAGCGCTGTTTCACGACTTTAGTTGTCAATGTGTGGTTTACATCAAAGCGTCCCCGTCAAACCAATCGCTGTCAAATACGGCATTGTACTACATATATCCTAGAACTTCTAACAACCCCGTCGCAGAAACAACGCATCCCCTCTATCCAGCGACAGCACAATGATCGACGCTCAACTGCGATCTCTCAGCTCTTCGTTATCATAGCTATTAATAGGAAACATACCACATTAGGATCCGGATTCCCCCACCAGATGGGGAAGTTCACGCCCTGTCCTCCAGCGCCAAACACCGCAAAGTTCAGGATGAAATAAATGATCGACGTGCCTCCATCCAGCGCTGCGGAAGTCAAGTCAGGGATAAATCAGTGGAAAGCGCGTTGGTAATATGCTAGACGCAGACGCACAGTTGTACTTCTTGTACCATCTTGGGTACTTGAGCCTCACCCACCACTGACTTGCCAAGCCAATCACCAAGGACGTCCACCACATCCCGTTTACAGAATACGGCAGCCATCCAAGGTACGTCAACAGAACTGGCATATTGAGGTAGCTCCATACCTGCTGCTTCGGAAAAAAACAGTGTAAGATATACAAGGGGATAGGGGCGAGGAAGCCGTATAGCAGGCCCATGGGGATCTGGAAATAGAGCTTGCCGGGGTTGTACAGTTCGGCAGAAAGAGCTCCCCAGGTAATTGCAGCAGAGTTCAGCTCTTGGGCGACCCAGCCAGACCAGAGCCGGGTTCCGATCGCTGACGTGCTTATGAGTACCTTGTGGCGGAAAGCAGAGATGGAGTGGGCCGGCTTACGATTCTGCAGATCCGCCCTGTGAGCATCTACCATCGACTTGTAGAGGATGTAGTCCAGCACTGCGCCTAGGACTGTACCGGCGCACTGGGCGACGAAGGTTGCCCGAGGTGGGATTTTGGCGTATTGGCCTAGCTTGAGATCGGACAGCAGGGCAAGGGTCTGATAGCCGGTGTTGTACCCATACAGCTTGGCATACATGTTCTGGATTGGTTGTTGTGGGTGGATGTAGGCCTGAAATCATACATGGAGTGTGAGGCATGTTCTTTCCTTGGAAGTAGGAAATCGCTCACTGCTATGACTTGCACAAAGGATGAGGTAGGGACGCTGAACCCCGTCACTGCTGCTATCACTCCTACAGCCCCATATTGATCATCCGATCTCTAGCTTCCACAGTAATGACATACCGAGGATAACTGCTAAAATGAAGGCAATGATCGTGAATACGATGACGGACCACCAGGGTAGTGTGTCCACATGACCGTATGCTGTACCGATGGCTACTCCCAAGCTGGCAAAGAAGATCAGAGCATACCACCATTGAGGGACTTCCTTATAGATCTTCATCTTCTCATAGTGAATGCTGCATTGGTATTCAGAGGGGATCCAAGCACAATAGGGAACTGAACTGACTCCTCGATGTCGTCAGCCCCTTGCATAAAACGGAATTTCCCAAATGCGTTCTTCAGGTCCCGGCAATGCTATAGAAGGACATGAGAGAACGCAGCGCCCGTCGAGCCGTAGCTGACAAGGAGTGACACCGCGTATGTTGTGGTCATATACCTGCCCCACGTCAGTCGGCGTGTGAACGAGGTGGTTTTGATCGGCTTACGGAGGCCCGATTTCAGCGAACTTGACAGGATCAAGCTGGTTATTTGCATCGAGAATAACTGTCTGGTCATAGCTCGATCCGTTGCCGGAAAACAGCCCGGTGGACATGAACGGCAGACCTCTTGAGTAGCCTTGGAATACATCGCCATAGTAACATGCCACTGGTGGATTTTCAACGAGGGGTAGTATAAACAAGGGACCGTTGACCTACTCATCACAATATAGCAAAGTGCCATACCAATCCATGCAGACACTTGGGTTTGAAGAGGCCAGTACAATGGATAGGCTTGGGAGATCAATACCCAGTCAAATCCAAATGAGAATAGGCCCAGTCCTTCGTTCGAAGAGCCTGCGCCAAAGAGATTACGTGTGAATGTGGACCTTCCTTCGTCGACGAGACAGATGATAGAGAAGGCGGTGATCAGGGGGAACATCCAAGTGGGGATAATTTCATAGCAGAAAATGGCAATACACACTACCATAATTTAGCACAATCTCCTCACGTTGGATAATATCACTTACCGATCCAAAAGTATCTCATCTTCTTCCGGTTCAATAAGCCACCAAAATGCATGGATTGAAGCAGAGCGATCTCGGGGAGTGTACCAGGATATAATGCATATGTCGGCCAGACGAGCAAGCGGCGAAGTATGCCAGCAAAACCGTAGCCGATCAACTGAGAGGCCCAGCTCTGAAATATAGCGGCGGCCGGACTCAAAGTGACGCCGTAGAAAAGGTCTAAGGTACCGACGATGCCAATAGATGTTGCTGTAGATGACGCTGTACTAGCCATAATGGTAATGGAAGTATGTTCCTTGATGTTGAAAGGACCAGGGTTGACGTAACGCCAGAAGCCGGTCGTCGGCATGGTGTAGTGCATCTAGAATCGTTGTCAGAGAAGACGTCCAGTTGCATGAAGTAAAGGACATACGGCATTCCCGAGAACATATGCAATGATAAGTTGAAACAGAGGAGAAACGCTCGCATTCTGCGGCTTCCAGTAATAGATTTCTGAGAGTACAGCACCGAAGGCCGACAGACCACAACCGAGCACCCAAAATCGGAATGTGAGCACCGGTAGGTCTGGGTCATCTTCCGCCGATATGATCTAGTTCGCATTCAGGATGGAACGTTTGACAATTAACTGGTTTTTCGTACCAAAGCCGCAATATCGTCGGCATTCTTGACAACCTCGGTTGTCTCCTCAGGAGGGGTTTCAGATTCGCTGTTCGTGTTCTCGATATCATCCACCTGCTTGGTTGAGACTTTGGCGAGCGAATATGCTTTCTTCGGAGCATCGTAGGTTCCATCATCCTTGATACGCCCAGATAGCTGTGACGTCGTCTTTTCAAGAGGACTATGTAGCTCATCCTGAGTCGAACTCTTCATCAGAGGCATTTCGGTCACTTCCGGGGAACCCATCGTGAGACCAGAAAGTGGCTTTGCGAACAGAGTACGCGCGACCAAGATACGAGGTTATATTGCCCATATTGCTGGTCTAGCGACATCAATATCGCTCCAGCGCATCATGACCCGCCCAGGACACCTCTCACGATAGATGAGCCACCGAGAGCTTGGACCGCTCATCCCGAAGCATGTGGCCGAAAGGCAGATAACGGATCCACAGAAGACTCGGATCAGGCGTACTCACTTATCGCAGACGACTTGAGAGCTTCCCAGCCAGTCAAGAGGACTTCAAAAGCATAGCCGCAAGCTGCCTCTTATATGCACTTCCCGAGCCATGTGGTATTCCAGTTATGCTGCGCATCCGCGGGACCAGTTCTGGTTGGGCGATAATGGGACTTCGGTGAGGCGCCTTATCAAGATCCAGCACGCGCGCTCACGCCGAGTCCTCCCCGTTCATGAAGACAGCTGAGGTGGGTGGGGCGAGGAGAACCCGGGTGTGGAGCGCCTCTCGTGGTGGTTCAAAGAAGCACAATTCCGAGACGATACCATCTTGGTCCATGTGCTGGACATCCTTATCGATAATATCACCTTGATTGGATAAACGTAGCGCCGCTGCTGCTCTCGCAGAAGACATCGATGGTTGCCTGAAGAAAATTCACGCAGAATCAGTCTGCCGCATCCTACTCTCCTCAACAGCGCCCGCAATAAACTCCGAGAACACTTTGGGCCAGGCATCCCGGACAGGAACAGCGTGTCCTGACCACACATCGACACCGATCAGCGAAACGCATGTGGGATAGGGATTGAACAGCATACCTTCGTTGTGCGACTTTCTGACCGCCTTAGATCCGAATAGACTTGATAACTCGATTGTGCGATGAGCGGAGACTCTCATGTCCCGGTTGTCGAATGCTATGTATCGAGAGAGATGAGATACCGCGGAGTGAGGCTGGAGTAGAGACTCACTGTGCAACGTGGGAATGTGTAGAGGGATGTCATAGATGTTCCGGTGGGGATGATGTTGGGAGACGAAACCGGAACAGAGGATGGCGAACTTGATCGGCTGTGACTTCTTCGGTTCGAATTCAGGCACGTTGTCCGCGTTGTTCAACTGCTCAAATAAGTCAGTAAGTAAGTTGACTCAACAAATGGTATTTGATGCTCCCACCATGGACAGTAGCAATGCCGTCATTGCCGATCCCTGGCTTAACCCAATGATGCCATCATACTCGTTCTCTGAGAGGTGTTCCGACCACCACCGTACGGTCTCGTCCCACCGATTCGTGGTATTATCAGGGTCAAGCCAGCTTTCGCCGCTTTTGATGACCCACCACGGGCGTGAGTCGCGCCAGCTGAGATCTTGCATCGGAGGACCGTCGACGTAGTGCAGGTTGGCGATGCGGGAAAGCTCTCGTTCAAGTGGGAGAATGTTGTACCTCAATGTGGCTGCGGTTTGAAGATATCCATGGATGACGAGTATGTTGAGCATCGTGACGCTGAACTGATCGGACGTTGTTGATGGATCGTATTGCTATATGAATTGCCACCCAACTTTATACCCCACACAACAGGGGTTAGTGTCCAATGGGTTACGCGTCTTGTCATAGAATAGTCGGCTCCCAACTTCGGGCATCAGAACACCCCAGTGCTCAGCATTCGCATATTCCGGGAAAAGCGGTTTGATCCCAAAACACAGGTTGAGCAAAGCACATCAAGCTTAGATCCTTCTCGAATAACGGACTGCAAGTGAGCCGCAGCAAGAACCAGCAGTATAAAGCAGATGATAGGGGTTTCCCAGCGGTTACAGAAGCAGAATTCAGAACGTCTGCACAGCGAGTCATTTTCCCGGACATCGCCCTGAGCGAGTCCAACCATCGTCGACGTTGCTATGCAAGAAGACACGTACCGCGTAATGCCGATATCGCCGTCGCTGACCTAATCAACCGGAGCCGAAGTTATTCCCATGTCGCCACCCTAGATTAATCTCTTCATTTTCTCTCTCCTCTCGCAGTCGCACGACCTCCCCCGCCAGCGAATCCCTCCTCCAACCCAGCACAAAATGCCTCCCAGAAGAGCTGCCGGCCGCGCGCCCGCTACAATTTCCCATGCTCCCGGCGCACCAGCAAACGAAACCGCCTGGCAACGATTCCTGCGCACGGAGATCTATGCACTGGAGAAACGGGCTGGGAACTGGACGTATGTGACCAGTGTTGGGTTGTTCGTGGGGAGCATCGTCGCTGTGAGGCTTTGGGGTACTGGTCTTGTACCTGTATGAGCATGCTTTGGTTGAAGTTGCACGCATGCTATACTGGAGCGCTGGCAGTGAGTTCCACTTTGTATGTGGTGCCCGAAGACAGCCACTAATTACATGCCAGGTTCGTTCGCTTGACGACTATTTGCCATCCACCCTACCGAAGCCGATCACCGTAGAGGATTGTGGGGTTTGCTGATGTATCTCTTTACATTTCACTGCATGTACACGATGACTCCTGACCCAACGGCTAATTCATTTCTCACTCCTCTGATCCTGTTCTCCGATATCTGCGCGATGTCAAATGACCGAGGACGTAACGTTGGGCATTAATATCCGGTTAATAATAGATAACCAGATGATTATGTAGAACTCGCCAGATGTCGCGGTGAGCTGGCCAGTTCCTTCCCCAGCAACCAGCAACGACGTGTCGTTGTGCAGCAACTCTTCATTCTCCTTTCTCTACATTCATTCAACACATTCTCATGTCATTGTAAGATGTTATTTGTCAAGTCAACATTCCGCGGCACGAACTGCGACGTTTCCGGAGTTAGACTGGCCGACTTTGCCCGCCGGCGACGTCTCGGCACTGACAGCAACTCCGGCGCCCTCCCCGCCTCTCTCCGTTGTCTACACACCGTAAAGGCTTGAAGCCAGCCTTCGGACCTCCCCATCATTCTTTCTCAATGTCTAACCGAATCCTTGAACACTGGCGTATTGGGACGAAGATGTGGCCTGTAAGACAACCAGTTACTCCTGTACATCGGGAGGGCCAGAAGACGTTTGGCTACTGGGGCCCGCACACGAGCTCAATTGACTGGTGTGAAGTACGCTGTCACTTTGCCTAAAGTCAGAGGCCAATGCGCTGACATGTTTTGTTATGGGAAGGACAACTATGTTAATCTCCCCTATATCGCCGAAACGTGGAACACGTTCTCCAACATCCCATATATGCTTCTCGGTCTACACGGTGTCCTTCTCACCCAAGGCCTACCACACCGAGCGCGCTTCGCCCTCCTCCACGCCGGCGTAGCGCTCATCGGAGTCGGCAGCTTCATATTTCATGCGACGCTCAACTGGTACGCCCAGGTGTTCCTGGACGAACTGCCCATGATCTACGTCAGCACGCTCTGTTTGTATGTTATTTTGATGGCTGGGAAAGACGCGTGGTGGAAGAGGCTTGTCGCCCCCGCGCTGGTAATGCTTGCTTTGGCGGTCACTGTGATCTAGTACGTCTACCCCCGCATATCGCTGTGCTATCCTGATACATTTGGCAGCTTCTGGTACCCCAATCCAGTGTTTCACCAGCTATCCTATGCGTTCATCCAATTCCTGACCACAGCGCGCAACTACGTTCTCCTGCAAACCGTTCCCCCCTCGGTGCGCAAACAATGTCATCGGATCCTCTGGTCTGGTGCAATCACCTTCCTTCTCGGCTTCGCGATCTGGAACGTCGATAACCAGTTCTGTGACACGCTGACGCAATACAGGGGACACTATGGGGATGTGGTAGGCGCTTTGACCCAGGGGCACGCCTGGTGGCACGTTTTGACCGGCATCGGCGGGTCACGTATCGTAGTCGGCGTTACCTGTGAGTTTGTATTTGTCATACGCGGAGGTCGGTGACTGATGGCTGACGATGGGATAGATCTGGCACTGTGCGTAGAAGATCCTGACGGGTATGAGATCGGCACTTCTCTAGGCTGTATGCCTTACGTGCGGGCGAAGGCGAAGGTTTCTCACAAGAAGGCGGAGTAACGTATCTCTCGTTGATTCGTTCTGGCAATCAAGGACTGTTGTCACAAGTAGCTTGCATATTTGCGGTATTAATGTACATAATTAGCTTAGTGTTCAACGATTGTGAAGATTATTCTTGCCTGGCCGCTCGCAATTGGCTGACCCTGAATTCACATATGGATATACAAATATATCAACAGTCTCGCGGGGTGTATTTGAAAGATAGATAACTTCCATTAGGGGTAGGTGTGCTACTGTATCTGGATTAAAACATGATGGATGACAGTAACACGTACTTTTACAAGGGGGGCGCAGGTAATAAGTAAGGAATGTTCGTAAGGAATGTCCGATAGGAGGGATTCACGCGTGGGCTGGCCACTGGGTGTGACAATTAGTGTCGATCCATTGTTGCATTTGGAAGTCCATAGTAACATCCGCATCGTTGCTCAGCATGAGCCCGCCGTCGAAAGAGATAGGCCCGTGCTCGAACGCCTTGGGTGTGATCTGCTCGTGTACACAGTCCCTTGCACCGTCGTTCTCGAAACCCCAGTGTCCTACATCGAGAAACGGATCGATAACAGTCGATGAGGATGTTGCAGCGCCTTGGAAGCTCCCGCCGACGGGGAGATCGGACATGGTTGGGGAGCTCTGCGATGAACCCTTGTCAGGTGTCAGACTGGAGGCATAGGCTTCGAAGTCGAAACATGCGGATGGTGACAGGGGCGCGTGAGTTTCGGGGAAGCCCCAAGGTGCCATGTTCATGCGGCCCGACGATGGTGGGGACTGATAGGCAATAGACTGTTGCGGGGATGGGAGCGTCATAGGTGGAATACCTCGTGATGCCACCGGAAAGGCCCCATGTTCGCCAAGGGAGTGCTGCGCAATGGTTCCGAATGGTGGTGTGCATAGTGTAGGGAACTGGAAGGGCATCGGTGAGTAGCTGAAGGTGGCCGAATTTGGCGAGCTCGCGCCAGAATGACCACGGCTGTGAGTGAGGAAGCCGATTGGAGCGGTGGGCGCACTCGCGCGCCGATTAGGGGACATAGGCAAAGACGTGTCAAGAGGTGTCAGAGACGGGCCGGTACGACGGACGGGGGATGTTGGTCCGGATCCTAGATTTCCGTTGACTGGAATTATCCCATTCATTGTGTTGTATCCAGGATGAGATTCCAGCCTTGGTGGCGCAATCACCCGCGATTGCAGACCCCGATGCGTTGTGTGCTGATCTTGGACGACTTGTTGGTGCATGAGCCCCGCAGCTGGTTCTGAACCGTTGGACCAGGTGCTGGATCGCATGCGACCTTGCCTGGGTGGCATGCTCGGCGGGGGTGATGGTATCATTGGACCCATAGAGTGGGAGGCGTGCGCAACATGTGACAGCGATCCTTGGAATAGGGAGGAGTCGCTCACAGCGGGAAGCTTGCCGCTGAGCACGTCGTCAACGGTGAAGTATGAAACGACGTGCCATTCTTTGCCGGGAAACTTCAGGGTAATTGTCTACACAGTCTATCAGCCTCCGTTTTAATTCTAGAGAGTTTTCTGTACCTTTTTGATGAGCACCTGAGTCGAAAACCCAGAGAGGTAGCGCAAGGGGCCAACAAGATTGCCGATTAAGTCGGACGGATCGCTCCGTTTCGTACGTTTTGGAGTCGTGGTTTCTTCATTGCTCAGGCCGGCTGAGTTCATATTATTCGAGTTGGTGTATTCTTCGAAGTAGACCTGGACAAAGTCCGCATAAGCAGGCAGTCTTGTTTGTACGTAGGAATAGACACTTACGAAGAACTTATCGGGAAGCTGCCGGCTTCGACTCCAACCTCTTCCGTCAGTCCACCGTTCCATCTCTGCAGTGCTCTTTTCAAAGACAAACAGCGAACCACTTGTCGCGAGTTGCTTTCGCTGCTGGATGGATATCTTCTGGGATGCCTGTTGTACGAGACCATCGTGTGCGGCCTGGCACAGGATGAGGGCGTCGGTTTTGTCGCGAACATAGGCACCATGGATGGGGCGGTAAGGACCGGCTGAGAGTGGAGAATCCATTGCGGCGTCAAAAGCTTCAATGGCAGGATGTTGAACGAGCGAGTTCAGCTCTTGTTAAGAGCACAACAGGAGAGAAGGAGGATAAGACGTTGGCGCAAATAAGAGTCTGTGGCAGCTCTGATCAACAGGGCGACGAATGCATGAGAAGATGTACGAAGGTCTGTTAAGTACTGTCGTATAGGCCGCGCAGATACGAGATGCAGTCGCCGTCGCTAGGATAGAGCTGACGACGGACGGCGTCACTAGCTGCCTAATAAGCAATGAGGACGAGCGGCCGTGCTGATAGAGATGATACAAGTCGATTTTCCCGGTCAATTGGAGCACAAAGGCAGCTGCGCCTTCAACATGGTTTTGAAAATAGAGAGCTCCCGTTCCGCCGTTCCAGGGGTTTCCGATAGAGCCGACAGGGATACTGCTACGTACTGCACATAGAAGATGTAATCGCAATCGCCGGTGCCGGCGTCGTTAGGAGCGACGTCTTTGAGCGATTGTCACGTCGGCGTGTTTCAGGAGGTCTAGAAAGCCTCAAGGCGTTTAGACCTCCAGGAAAAATTCACCAAGAATATGATGACAGGAGTTTCATCCCTTGGGTTGCGGAGCGCTCCGCCAGCAAAGGGCATAATGGGCAGCCTCAATGGACCGGAGCCATCGTTCAGAACAACTGCCTAGCAACCCGCCAATATCCGTCCCTGGGCAGAATATGGCATAGAGGAGCAATGTCGTACTGATATGGCACGCAGTAACACAAATTTGCTGAGCCCAGCCAACCGAGAGGCACCAGAGAGACCATCAGTGCGAGGACAAGGAGCGAGATACAGACATGAAGCCTAAATAGGGAAAAGGACATTATTGATGAATTTGATTCCATGTCTTCTGTTAATCCGCGCCGAAGGTTCGTTCGGCTCCTCGGGGCGCCTACTCGTCTCAATGCGAAGTGAATCGCTCACGGCAATGCTGAGCGTAATCTATGGTTATGGGGAGGTGCACTACCGACAAGGAAGCTTGAGAATATCTGGCTTCGAAGGAACTGACAACGGTCAATGTGATTGGTGTGCCTGATCATCGAGTTGTTCAGGCGTAATATCGACTCTTCTCTTGGAATCAGGACTGTCGTGCGCTCATGACCAGGTAATACCTTCACGATGGCAGTTTGTTGCAGATGAGACCCGGGCCCGGTGCGAAAACCTTGCGAACATTCTACAGTCGAACAACACTGCTAACAACGATCTTTCTTTGAGAATCAACTATAAATGTCCTGGAATTTCAGAGGTAGGATATAGTAAGATAGTTATTTTCTCCCGCAAATTATCTATCAATATTGCTTGTTCTTCGTTCGGTCAGAACAGCAAGTTATGGTCGTCGCACATCTGGAAAAGTGAATTTTCCACGTGACTCCGTGGCGGTGCACCAAGCAGTACTGCCACAGAGAATACCTCCGCATGTAACACACCAATCAACGGAGCAGTGCATTCTCAACATAGTCTCCTTACTATCTCTTTCTTAGTTTCTTGCTTTCGACGACTTCAGCTATGATGGCCCAACGGCGTCCCTCTTCGGCTGCTTCTTTGGCTCAGTATATTCATCAGCAGGACCCACCTGCAGATCCATCAGGTCTCGACTTTTGTAACGCTTTCTGGGGACCTAATGATGCTGGTTACGAGGTCTTGCTCGCCCGGATGCGGGGCGCAATGCGCACGATGGAGGAACTCAGAGCGTTCTGGAAAGAACGAACAGTGATTGAAAATGAATATGCCACCAAGTTGACAAAGCTGGCGAAGTTCACATTGGGCAGGGATGAAATTGGGTGCGTTTTGGCGCCCTTGGCTAAAATGCACGTATAGGCGCTGATCATCGGCATATATTCTAGAGAGCTCCGAAACTCGCTCGATACCCTTAAAATGGAGACCGAGAAGCAAGCAGCTGTTCACCAGGAACTCGCTGGCAAGATGCGCCAGGAGCTGGAACTTCCTGTCGCATCATTCATCACTCGACAGATCTCCCACAAAAAGACGGTATGAAACCTGAAATAACGCTTTCTAACCTTCCTCATTCTCAGTGAACAGATTCAATCCACTGTTGAAAAGTCTTTCAAGAACAAGCAGGCCCAGGAAGGCCACGTTTCGAAAGCTCGAGAGCGGTACGAATCCGACTGTCTCAGAATCAACTCGGCGATAGCACAGCAAACGCTTGTGCAGGGGAAGGAACTTGAGAAGGTTCGCATGAAGCTCGAGCGTGCTCAATCCACGATTGCCAACAACGAGAAGGAATATCAGAATTTCACGCGTGCTCTTCAGGAGACCACGAAGAAGTGGGAACAGCAGTGGAAGGACTTCTGCGATACCTCCCAAGACCTTGAAGATGATCGGATCGAGTTTATGAAGGATAATATGTGGAGCTACGCCAACGCCGTCAGTAGCGTTTGTGTGAGCGACGACGAGGTTTGTCTACAATCCCTTGATAAATTTCATTCCGATTGATAGCCACGAGCAGTCTTGTGAACATACCCGCGTGTCCCTCGAGCAGCTGGAGGTCGATCGCGATCTTGAAACCTTCATCAGCTCCTACAGTACGGGGTCGATCATCCCTGACCCGCCCCGATTCGTCGACTTCCGTGCCGGTGCCCCTGGCGATACGCAGCAGCGAAGGGGCAGACAGGCACGATTCGTTCGAGAAAGCAAGAAGATCGGAGCTCCCCTGTATGGTACGACCCCCGGGGAGGATTATGAACTGGACGAGCGTGCCGTTTCAGGCGGGAGTAGGGCAGCGACGCCGTTCGAGTCACACCCCGCGCTGCCGCCCTCCCAACCACCGCCTTCTGCCCAACAGCCACCATCGATGCAGCAGGGCCCCTATCCAGGACAACCAGGCGGTCGATCTGCTCCGCTTGAGCCTGTAATGCTGAACGTTGGTTCTGCAGCATATCACGTTGACCCGAACGCGGACCCACAGCGCGCACTATCTAATCGTCGGCCCTCAGTCTCTAATTCTATAAACGCTTCCTCTGCCGCACCTGGCGGGAGCGATGATCCTCTTGCACAGGCGATGAACCAACTGCGGCAAGACAGTGTGCGCCGAGGTACGACCCCAACGCAGAAGGGGACAGGCAATAGCGTTACGTCGCCTTCCTCCGCGTATTCCAACCATGCCTCTAGTGGTATCCCACCTGGAAGAGGGCCGGCCCAGCCGGTCAACTACGATTCAATCTCTGATTCTGTAGTCGGCGGTCCTCCCCCAAGTGTCACATCACCTGGCGCCAACGGGCCACCCATGGCCAAGTTCATGCAGGAGCCCGCACGCCAGGGGGGCGAACTCCCCGTTGACAACGTGCTGAGAAATTATCAGCAGTCCTTCCCTCACGAGCACAAGGGCTCGAGCCGCCCATCGAGCGCCTTGAGTCGGCGTAGCACGCAGGTTGTTTCGTCCCCGGGAATGAACCCACCTCAACAGCAGCAGCAGCAGCAGCGCCCTGTGAGCCCAGCACGAGAAGGGTTCTCCGGCATTGGCGCTCAGGGTCGCTCACCCAGCCCACTATTCCAGCAGAACCCGCAGGTGCAGCGTGCCATCAGTCCGTACGCTCCGTCGGTTTCCTCTGGCCAGCGGATGCCGCAGACCGAGAGCCCGGCAGCGATGAGTGGCCGTGCTTTGTCCCCCCAGCCGCCTATGAATGGGCATAGGCCAGTCTCCCCTGCCGGCGTATATGGAATCGAACTGGATGCTTCTGGGAAAGTGGCACGGGACTCGGTGGCCGAAGAGTACCAGCGCAAGATTAGGGAGGAAGATGAACGGAGGCGACGGGAAGAAGAGGAGCGCGTCCGCCGGCAGAGGGAGGAAGAGGATCGTGCACGTCGTGCGAGAGAGGAAGAAGAACGTCGGAGGCTGGAAGACCTCAGGCAGCGGCAACTGGCCGAGCAGGCACGTCTTGCCCAGCAGCAACAGCCACAGCAAACCGGGTACAACCAGTCAGCTGCCCGTGGGCAGTACTCCAACTACCCCCCACCTGGGCAGCCCCAATACCAGCAGCCCCCGCCCCCGCCCCAACCCACTCAGCAGCAGTTCCCGGCCTATCAGCAGCCCGCCCAGCCCCAAGGGTATGGGCCACCCGGATCACAGCCGCAGCAGTATGGCCAAGCCCCGCCGTCGCAGTTCCCACCACCACCGAGGCAACCGAGCTATGACAACTACTACCAGCAAGGACAACAGCCCCCACCTCCGCCCATTCAGCAAACATCTCAGCAGGCACCTGCCCCGCCACCTGCGAGGGAGATGCAGCCTCCTCAAGGCAATGGAAACCCACCTCCGACGGGCCAGTGGACGAGCACGGGAGAAGGCATTCTTTTCTATGGTACGTCCTGTTTTCCGCTGGCTACCTAACATGTACATATGCTGATCGCATTTGCAGTGAAAGCACTCTATGATTATCAAGCGACCATCGAGGAGGAGTTCGACTTCCAGCTGGGAGATATCATCGCAGTGACTGCCACGCCAGAAGATGGCTGGTGGAGTGGAGAGTTACTGGATGAGGCCAGACGGCAGAAGGGGAAGCATATTTTCCCAAGCAACTTTGTGTGCTTGTTCTAAGTGCGAGGTCGCTCTGTTTCTGTGAGTATATGATAGCAACGGAGAACGGCAGGCCGTGTCGGTGCATAATTTGTCGATAGTCTCTCGCGATACTGTTGGTTATATATACCAGTCAATATGACGCCTTTATCCATTCGAAGATCGGAATATCCTCGGTACCGACAGCAACGAATGATTTGAACCCTGAATGAGAAAAGTTATTATTTCACTGTCTCCTTTCTAACTGCTTGTCTACATTTCTTATTCCTTATAAGATTTATAATTTCCCAACATCAACATTCTTATATTACAGCAACGACTTTGGGCGATGTATGCCGCTCGAGCACGGGCGGCAACCACACTCGCGTGCTTCTCGCGCACGGTACATATCTGTCGCCGCACCGGTTCCTACTTCCCACGACATGTGTTCCCGAACAAATCCTACGCCGGCATAACTCTGCAGCAGAAACGATACAAGAGCGATGACTTGAGCGGTACTCTGAAAAGCCTGGATGTTGGAGGGAAGATGGCGGGGGAGAACGTGACTGAGCCGAGGGCGAAGGAGGATGATCCGACGCCTGCAGCTGCTGGGAGTGCTGAAGTAGAGCAGGTGAAAGGGAAAGAAGAATCAGTTGAGGAAAATGTGAAGAACGAGTCTGACTCTCTTGATGCGTCTCCAAAATCCGGGAGCGAGGAAGCAGGCTCCATTGAAGCGAAGGAGTTCGCGGCGCTATTAAGTGCTGCCGATGAGGGGCTTCTGGATGTGAAGGAGGATGCAGCATACGAAGAGGACGAGGAAGAAGAGGACGAGGAAGAGGGGGAGGAGGAGGAAGGGGAGGAGGAAGACGAACACGACGACACGAACGACAAGATGACTCGGCGCCCTCTACCGACCAGGACGCGCGAGACGGACACGCCAGAATCCCTCTTCTTCAACCGTGACGAGCTATTAGAAGAACGTGCCGCGCTTCACGAGTGCTACGCGGCTGGATGGACGCCGTACGAGTCCAAGTCGCCCGTCCGGCTCAGCAACCTCGTCGACAAGTACTTCACCTACCAGAGGAACCGGTTCCCGAATTCGGACCTCGGGCGGGAGATGCTGGCGGAGGTTATCGGAGATAAAAGAAAGGCAGGAATGAAGATGGTGGACTTTGACACTCGCGTATTGTTCTGTGCGTCTCTGCCCACAACCCCACAACCTCGTTCACCGGGTCTGTGACCTGAACTCACGTCCATACAGATCGGTACGGCGTTGGCGGGATCCGGTGGTCCAAGTTCCCCATCAAGCTATATCACGAACGCTACCGGATAACAGGCTGGCCGGACGACACACCTACGATCGGGATTCCTAAAGGGAAGGTTCCCTGGAGGGAAGCGAAGAGCGCGGAGGTGCTGATAGCTCTCTGGCATGACCAGATCAAGCTAGAACACTGGCATGAAGGTGCGTTATTTCCCAGTCATTGGCATGCATCATGGTCTGACGTGAGGTGATGAATTTCTGCTTTTGTGCACCCGTGGGTGATACAGCGGAAGTCCAAGGCAATTACCCCCCACTGCTGATCTACGCCTCTGAGCGCAAGTTCAGGCGGTACGACGACATGATCAAGAAGCACCTTCGGGAAGAAGCGCAAGAGGCGGCCAAGCTCGAGCGGCGGCGGATCAAGAATATCAAGAAGGGGGTCAAAGCCGAGCAGATACGACAGAAGCGGGCGGAGAGACGAGAAAAGCAGGCAGCGAAGGAGAAGATTGGCGGACCTAGGGTTGAGAGGCAGAGAGTGGACTACGGGGCGCTCGCTGGGAGCATGAGTGTCGCTCCTGACGAGGATGGGAAGGGGGGATTGGGGATCGCTGCTGAAGCGAGGAATACGGATCTCTGGAAAGTGCAGAGCCAGACGAACAGGAAGTTGCAGATGCCTCAGTTGGATATGGAGGGGTTGAACCTGCCTGAGAAGAAGGAGAGAGAGCCCACCCCGAAGTTGCCTGGGTATCTGCCGCAGGGCCCGCCGGAGGGGTGGTAGGACTACGAGTGAGCAGTGTGGTACTGAATATTGTAAAGTCCGAGATAATTCACCCCTGTCTTTTATCACCGGAGGGAGGGACGGCGACTGTGCATCCAAACTGGGTTCGGGTAATGAGTCATATACAGCTGTGGAGAGAAAATAATCGCCCTTAACATTTAGCCTTTTGGCTAGTGCTCGTAATTCGTGCAAAATAGTTTTGACTTGCAAGTAACATGATTTTTTCCAGTCCAGGAACATCTGTTAATTAGCCTTTCGGGTATTCCGGTGATATGAAGCTCCGGACATTGTATTCCTTTACTTTCTTTTGCTTCTTATTTTGCGGTCAGATTGATCAAATTATTCGGGCAGAATAGCCGTCATCAACAACATTTTCTATCATCTGCGGATTACTTTCAACGGGTTATAAAGGATAAGCTTATAATCTATACCCCCAACTTCAGCGAACAAACGACGAAGGAGTACACAATGACGATCTCCATTTACGCCCTCTCCATCGCCCTCATACCTTACACCACACTGCTTCTACCCACAAACATCCCAATCCCAACTTCTCTTATCCAACCGCTCATCGCTTTTATTTCTTTTCTGCTCCTCTCCACCATCCTCTCACACACCTACGACATCCTGCGGCGTCCTGCCAACCCACAGAAGTACAAGATAATCCGCTATCGCGACCTTCCAGGACCACGGGCAACCAGCCTCATCTGGGGACTCGAGAAGGACTTGTACGACGATTCCCCTCCAGGCCGACTACTAGAGCGCTGGTCAAAAGAGTACGGCGGGGCATACAGATTCCGGGGTGTCTTCGGAGTACGTCCTCCTCATTGCCTTGCTTTTGGGAGCAGCTAATCGAACCTTCACAGGCGAAAAACATCACCCTCACTACCCCGGCAGCGCTGCATCATGTCCTCACCACATCAGTCTATCTCTACCCTAAACCCCTAGGCGGCCGGCTCTGGCTAGGTAACCTGCTAGGCCAGGGAGTGCTCGTCTCCGAAGGCCAAGTGCACGCAAGACAGAGAAAGCAGCTAGCACGGGCGTTCACACCCCAAGCACTCAGGGGGCAGCATGCGATCTTCGAGCGTCTAGCAGAAGGAGTCGTCGATGCTTGGAAGTCTCTTCTTGCCCGCTCCCCCTCTTCAGGGGAAGGAGGGGAAGGGGAAGGGACGACAATCGACGTCCAGTACTGGGCTAACCGGCTTTCGCTGGATGCGATCGGCCTAGCTGGGTTCGGGTACTCTTTTGGCTCGCTAGAGTCTGCCGTTGAGGGGACAGAACAACATCCCCTGGCGAGGACGTTCGACAAGCTTACGGATTCGAGTGGGACTTATGCGGCGTTCGTCCTCCGGGCGGTGTTGTTCGTCTGGCCTGGCGTGCTGAGGATACCGAGTAAGAGGACGAGGAGCATCGGTGGGTCTTTCTTGCTCTTGTTTTGCCTGGGAGGGAGAGCTCATGCAAGGGTTGGACAGGGGAAGTCCGCAACTCTCTTGGAGGGGAAGTGAAGCGCGTACGAAGGGAAGCTGACCAGGAAGGCAAGACCGTCATCGGTATCCTAGAACAACAAGCAGCAGCAGAAGGGAGCGGGATAGCAGACGAAGAGGTCGAAGCGCAGGTTTGTCCCCCAATTCCGTCTCCATCTCCCTCTCCCTCCCGCCAGGACTGACATGGGGCAGATAATGACACTCGTGTTCGCCGGGTACGAAACGACGTCCACGGCCATAGCGTGGGCGTTGTACGAGCTCGCTCTCCACCCCAGCTCTCAATCCGAGCTCCGGGCCCAACTCCGGCTCTCCCCCGACTATCCCCTCCTGTTGGACGCAGTGATAAGGGAGACACTGAGGCTGCACCCGCCTGTGCTAGACTTGCACAGGATGGCAGAGCAGGAGGACCTTGTTCCTCTCGGTGAGGGGAAGGCGCTCTGGGTCGAGCGGGGAACGGTAGTGTACGTACCGCTCAATGTGCTCTCTAACGAGGGTCGGGAAGCTCGCTGGAACCCCGAGCAATGGCTCGTCCCCACTGAGGGGAAAGAGCGAGAGCGAGATATACAATGGGCGTTCTCCGACGGCCCGAGGGTGTGTATAGGCCGCGCCTTCGCACTGGGAGAGATACGCACCGTCGTCGCTGCCCTCCTGAGGGAATTCGAGTTCGCACCAGAGGGGGAGAAGGAAGTGGAACCGTTTTACAGCTTTGTGGTTAGGCCGAGGGTGAGGGGAGAGAGGGGGAGTACGCTGCCTCTCCGTGTGAGGAGGGCGGCGTGAAGTGAGGTGGGGACGATGGATGTACATGTTCACTTGGTTAGGATTGGGCTTGATGTCAACTTACATATCTAGGAAATCGAACTATTTCTCATTTCCCCTACCCCTACTCACTCGAGGCCCAACACCTTCCTCAACCCATCCCTCCCCACTCCACTCTCCGCAAAATCATCAAACCCTCCCCCTTCCCTAACCTTCACGATCCACCCATCGATCAGCAGCGCCCCCCTCCGCGCACACTCCTCGGCCTCCTCGAACGGGTCCTCATTCTCGAGCACTGCCCACCCGGGGAAGTCGTACGCTGCGAGAAGGGTGAACAGGGCTGGGAAGTCGATTTGCCCCTTTCCGAGAGCGCGGAAACGGCCTGCGCGGGAGGTCCAGTCTGCGTAGCCACCATATACGCCTGTCCGCAGTCAGCTGGTGTGAAGAGGACGACTCTCGACACAGGGAGGGGAGGGGGAGTGGGAGGGGGAGGGCGCACCTTGTCTCCCTTCAGGCCTAAACTCGGCGTCCTTAACATGAACCATCCTGATCCTCTCATGGTAAATCTTCACAAACTCGAGGTAGTCCATCCCCTGGAGTACAAAATGACTCGGGTCATACAAGATACACGCCCGCCTGTGTCCCCCCACCGCAGCCAGGAACCGGTCAAAGGACGTCCCGTCATGTAAGTCTTCACCAGGATGTAGCTCGTAGCACAGGTCGATGCCGCAAGCGTCGAACGCGTCCAGAATAGGGAGCCAGCGGTGTGCAAGTTCCGTAAAAGCCGTTTCTATCAGTCCTGGGGGCCGTTGAGGCCAAGGATAGAAGAAGGGCCAAGCGAGTGCACCGGAGAAGGTTGCGTGCGCCTTTAGCCCCAGATTCTTAGAGGCCTTAGCAGCGCATACCAGCTGGTTTCTTGCCCATCCCGTGCGTGCCTGTGTATCCCCCCTCAGCGCAGGGGGGGCAAACCCGTCAAACAGGGTTTCGTACGCCGGGTGAACAGCTATCAGCTGCCCCTGGAGGTGTGTAGACAACTCGGTAATCTCAATCCCGTACTGTGCGCACTCGGCACGGAGGGCGTCACAGTACGTCTTATCATTCGCGGCGCGGGTGATATCGATCAACCTGGGGTCGACGGGGAGTTGCAGGCCTTTGTACCCGAGGGAAGAGGCCCATTGGGCGAGGTGGGAGAGGGTGTCGTACGGCACTGTGGTGGAGAGGTATTGAGCGACGAAGATTGCAGGACCTTTGATTGTTCTCATCTTGTGTTGATGGGGAGGATGACGTTGACGTTGACGTTGACAGTGTGGAGTAGATATACAGAGTTGGAGGACGTTGGTGGTGCGTGGACGTCAGCGACAGCGTCAACGTCAGCGTCAACAGCTTTTGTCTTCTGCCGATGTTGACGGCGTACGAATCGGCAGGCAGAACCTTCTCCAAGTCTAAATGGAGCACCGTCCAATAATAGTCATCCACTGTCCACCTCCATCCGCTGTCAAACATGGAGGCGTCAACACCGTCCACGTCCACATCCAAATCCTCCAGGGTCGGGTCGGGTCTCCACCAGTGAGTCAGATGGAACGGAACGAACAGATTGAAAGACCCCAATATAATCGATTTTTCGCACATATCAGCTACTAGTATTTGACAATACAGCCCTTGTAGAGACAGACACATGCGAAGGAGAGTCGAGAGTCGAGCGTGCATGTGCCATGCGTGGTATCTTATGGGGACGGAGAGAGGGAGAGAGAGCAACAGACCGGGAGGGAGAGCGAGCGAGGCCGACAAAGAGGGAGAGAGAGGGAAGCAAGAAACATAGACAGAGACGGAGACGGAGAGACTGAGGCGCAGAGAGAGAGGGGACAAAGTCGTCCTTTACAGGGCTTGCTGCCGGTAATTAGTTATTCGTTCGTTGGGTGACGAGCTAGGGTGTCGAGGGTTGAGGGTTGATCGTAGGCTGGTCGAAGGCGACCGAGAGCGTACAGCGATGGAGGGGGGACGACATCGAGGGAGGATAGCACGAGCACTCTCCCACCGCGGCTAATGAGCGCCCTCCAGCACTTCATCAGACGGTACGATCATATCATGTTCCGCCTCCCTCGCATCAGCCTCATCCGCGTCGGCCTCCTCGTACGCGTACACAAACCCGCCCGAACTCCCAGGCGCGGTCGACGCTGCCTCGCCAGCCGGGCCCTGCTCGCCCACTTCCTGGAAACCAGGTTTCTCCGTCCCAGAAAGTGGGGACACTCCCCCGTTGTTGTTCCTCCTCGACCCACCGCCCTGTACCCCCGCCCTAGGCGGGTTCGCACACCTATCCTTGCCATACGACACCCTCAAGTGCGCATACTCCGGACGCACTCTCATCGCCTCAATAGCCTTCATCGCACTCGAGATATTCGTAAAGTTTACCCAAGCGCAGTTCTTCTCCCGGAGGGAATTGATCAGTTCTATATCCCCAAACTCGCCAAAGTCCCTCCGGAGCCTGTCTTCAGCCCATTTCTCCCAGTCGTCGATATTCCCCACATAGACGTTCCGCGTCGCCCCGCCCTGTACGGCGACGGCCAGAGCAGGAGGGAGGGGGTTCGAGCTCTTCCCCCAGCCAATCTTGAGCCTGCGGTTGTTCACGCTCAGCCCTTGCAGGGAGGCGATGTTGAAGAACGCGAGCGCAGCGGAAGGGTCGATGAACGTCACGAAGGCGATATGCTTATCTTTCATGTACCGGACGCTTTGGAGCACACCACCACGAACGGCGTTGCATAGATCTTCCGTAGTCGTATCAGGGTGGATATTCCCCAAGTAGACAGTACGCATATTCGGCACAGCACCAGAAGCGCCAAAGCCCGCAGCGAGGCTTCCCGGGACTTGCATAAACTGTTGCGGCGTGCCGGCAGGGTTGAACGGGATGTTCTGGCCCATGTTCACCGCGGCGGCGATAGCGGCAGCGGGGATGAGCGGTTGCTGGGGGATCTGGGGCTGCATCTTCTGCCCTTTGGGGACGTATGTGCACCTGTCCTTGCCGTAGTTCACACGCTTGCCTTGCCAGTTCGGCTCCTGCGCGAGCTGGGAAACCGCCTACATGCTCGTCAGCTCCGTTTCCCGAGAGAACCGCATACGCGTACCTTGATAGCGCTCTGCACACTGAGGAAATGGACAAAGCCCACGTTCTTATCTTTGAGGATCTTGATCTGATCAATCGGTCCAAAGCGGCCCAAGTCCTCGCGCAGCATCTCCTCCGTCACGTAATCTTCCAGTCCACCGAGGTACACGTTCCGACTAGCATTGTACTGCATGACCGCTGCTGCCACTGTGGGCGGTACGGGGGTAGCCTTTCCCCAGCCGATCTTGAGTTCCATCCCGTGCAGCTGGAGCTTCTTAGCACTAGCGTCATTAAAGAACCCCAGAGCGGTAGGCGCGTCGAGGAAGGAGATAAAGGCGCAGTTCTTCTCTGGGAGGAGACGGACGGACTCGATCGGCCCGGTAGAGCGGATGAGGGAGAGGAGCTCGTCGATCGTTCCCGTTGGGGGAAGGTTGCCGATGTACACCGTCCGCTGGTTGGGGTTCAGAGGTGCACCACCGAGAGGGTTCATCATCTGCCCTTGGCCGTAGAACGCCCCTGTGGAAGGGAGCTTGCCCATTCCGGAGGAGAGGTCGTACCCGTATCCGCTGAAGCCGTTCATGCCCATGCCCATACCAAGCCCAACATTTCCAGGGAAAGCGCCGTTCATGCCCATCATCCCCTGCATGTTCTGCAAATTCTGCATGTTTTGCATCCCCTGCATAGACTGCATGTTCCCCATGATAGGCAGGTTAAGCGGCGTACCCGCAAAGCTAAACGTCGTGCCATTGGGCGAAGCTCCAGTAGCGGCAGGGACGAACGGGCTGGCAGAGGTAGTATAGCTGCCGTTGATATTCTGCTGCGGTCCTGTCTGCTGGCCGGTGAGAGGTTGCACCTGAGCAGCAGCAGCAGAGGTGATGCTAGTGATCTGTTGTCCATAGGTCCCCTGGTTGTACCCCATGCCCATCTGCATCCCCTGTCCAAGACCGTACATGTTCTGCGATTGCTGCTGCTGCTGCTGCTGCTGCTGCTGCTGTTGTTGTTGCTGGGAAGCGAGTATAGCCGCCTGATGATGCGGTGCGTTGGGTCCGTAGCCGTAGTTGGCAAACTTGGCTGCTTGGGAGGAGTCGGAGGAAGTAGAGGATGCTAGGCCCGAGGGAGCACCTGGGAGGGAAGAAGGCGACCAGCGAGGCTTCTTGTTAGCCAGGTCGGTGGATGACTCGTGTGCGCGCTAAAGGGGGTCAGAAAAGTCTGAGATGGGAGAAGAGGCGCACCTTCATGAGGTCAAAGTCGAAGTAGTTTGGGACTTGGAGATGGTCCGGACTGGGAAAGTGGGCGTGTGGGTGGGGACCAAATGGCGCGTACTGGTCGATAGGGGAGTCGTCCATCATCAACATTTCGTGTTGTTTGTTGAAGGTACGCGAGGGGGAGGGTTAGGGGGGGCAAAAGAGTGTGTGTGGCAAAAGAGCGTAAACGGTCGAAGGAGCGACAAAGGTTATAGGATGGGGGGAAGTGATTCGCAATATTTTCAAGATTTCAAGGATTTGAAGGGTATCGAATGGGAGGAGGTTTTTTGAATGAGGGTTTTTTGAACGGGATTGTAAGTAGAGGGCAATGAAAGAGCAAGAGAACAACGAGTCAGAAATTGATCTCTGAAGTTGTTTGGAGAGTTACAAGGCGATTGTCGGGGGATGGCAAGATGGAGGGTGATAAAATGAATGGACACGCACAAAATGGAGCGCTGCAAAAGGTGAAATGATTTGTTGGAAATAGAATGGACAGAGTAGAGGAGAGATGAGGAGGAGGAGAGAGAGGAGGAGGAGGAGGAGGAGGAGGAGATGATGGTGGTAGAAAGGAGAGAAGAAGAAAAGAGGATGGATTGAGCAAGGGAATCAGACTACGACAGACCATTTCATCCGTTCTCATCAATAGTACAAGACCCATCAACACAGCAGTAAGACCCATCTCATTCCTTTCCTTTTAAAGGAATTTAGACCCTTCCCCATTTTACACCCGTCATCAGACCCACTTTCAATTCATTTACGACAAACACAACTTGGCAACGGCGCCTCTCTCTCAACTCTTTCCTGTCTCTTGCTTATGAACAACACTTCCTCCTTAGCCTCCCTTGCTTGGTGACAAGGCACCGTCGTCAACATACCTTCCATACGTCCTTTCTCAGAACAACAACGATAGAAACGATAGGCGATACAGTTCTCACCCACCCCGTTCATTCAGTGCAGGATGCCGTTAGATCGATATATATTTTGTATTTGATCCCTAAAGTCTGGTGGGATTCTAGCTCCGACTGCAACTCGAATGGCGGCGACTTGTGTCATACATATGGGAACAATAGTTGGTCATCAGTATATCAAATTCCACGATCTTACAACTTGCGCACTTGATGTCATCCCCAGTTCAAGGTCAACTGTCGCATCGTCTATCTATCGTTTGATCAGTACAATTGATCACCTCACCCCCAGAGCTGAAGAAATTATGCACAAAACGAGTGATAGACAAGTAAGCTCTCATGCAGACTACACTTCACTCGATCGCAGTGGTGAGGCAACCCCGCTCCGGTACACCTGAAGAAAGATGCGTGTTATATTACTACAATGCGAATGTCGTGAATCTACAAGAACGAAGAAAGCTCACTCATCATCCTCTTCCATCTCCTCATCTCCATCCTCCTCCTCCTCGTCTTCATCCCCATCCTCCTCCTCCTCATCCTCATCATCCTCATCCCCCTCCCCCTCTCCCAACCCCTCCCACCCCTCCTCATCCTCATCATCCTCCTCCCTCAAATCCATCACATCCTCATACTCGTGCTCCTCTTCCAACGCAGTTTCCTGCTCTGCTCGGAGCTGTTCTTGCTCCAAGGGGTCCGGTTGCTCGTCTAGCTCCAGTTGGGTACGGGACGGTGTGGACGAGACGTTCAGAGATGGAGTATCTTTCTTTTTCTTTTTCTCCTTCTCCTTCTCTTTCTTCTGCTTCTGGTCGGGCTTATCATCGCCTTCCGTCTTGCCCTTAGACTTCCCCTCAACCTCCTTCACCCCACTCCCTCCCCTCCCCTCACTCACAGCATCCCCCTCCCCTAACCTCGGCACACCCATCCTCCCGCCATCCATCTCCCGCCTCACCCAAGCCCTCACTTCCTCCCTCTCCTTGCTCGCCTCTGCCGTAGTCTCCTTCAACAACGACACGTATTTTTTCGATTTCGGGTAATGCTGTTTCATGTCAGTACTGACGTGTGAACCGAAGGACGAAAAAGGAAGACCAAAGGGAGAGAAAGAATGCGGTAAAGAAAGGGGCCGGGGGGGGGAGAAGAACGTAGTTAGGGGGAAAACGCACGATTATATAGCCCAAATCGACCCTCCTCTCCCTCACCTCCTTCTCCAACCTCCGTCTCTCCTTCCCCTCCTTCCCCGCCTCGCCCATCCCCCTCCCGTCCAACTCGCCCAACTCCCGCTCTGCCCTCCCCAAAGCCCGCTCAACCTTCCTCCTCTCGAAAAACCTCACCATCCGATATCGTTGTACCATCTCCCTCTCCCTCTGCCCTTTGAGCGCGGTCTGTAATTCCTGGTCTAGCGCATGGGCGCGCCGCTGGGTGTCCCTCTTTAGGGCTGCGTCGAGGTTTGGCTACGGGGGAGGGGTGCAGGATGAGCTTGCAGGCCATGGATGGGATGGGATGGGAGGCTTACCTTGAGCAAGAGACGTTTTACTTGCCTTAGACTGGATTTGAGCTTTGATATTCCGGGTTTTGTATCCCCGCCAGTGAGGGATTTGGAAGGTTTATCTCGTGCCATCTTGGTTTAGTATTAATGAGAGTGTAGTTGTAGTTGTAGTCGCAGTTGTAATAGTCGCAGTTGCAGTTGCAGCTGTAGTCGGTTGCTCAACTTTTGTAGTTATCCCCGACCGGACAAATACTCGGAATCAATTATGCCCTGAAATTCTCTTTGACAGTGAAGAGCGTCTACACAGCAACGGTCACCACGAGATGCTAGCCCTCACTGCTAGGAGGGTATTACTCCCTCAACGACTCACAGCGACGACGATGGTGACGGGGGAAGTGCTGCGTCGGTTGATGGCGACTGCTCAGAGTGGGAACGGGAATGGGAATGGGAAGAAACGAAAGGGACAGTTGGGTGGGCGGCCTAATATCCCACCACTGCCAAAGGAGCCTCAAGCGCAAGCAACACCAGCAGCGGAGGAGGCATCAGCGCAGGAACCATCAGCACCAACACCAACACCGGCAGAGGCAGCAGCAGAGGCAGAACCCACCGCCCTCCCATCGCTGGACATCACTTCCCCATCCATAACGCCCGACCAACGCACCGGTGCCAAAGCCGCCTCGACCCAAACCTCCATCGACAGACAACGGCGCACCTTCGCCCGTCTCTGGACGGGCATATTCCTCCTCTCCGCAGTAGGCGGCGTCGCTTACCTCAGCCGTGGGTGGACAGAGGCGGAGGAAGCGGCCGGCGTGGGCGAGGGAGTGAAGGACGCTTGGTGGGCTAGGATATGGCGTCGTGGAGGCGAGGCGATGGACTATTTTAATAGGCCGCAGTGGAAGGAACTCCTCCCCCCGCCATTGCCTTTTCCCCATGGGAGGCCGTATACTCTCGTGATCGATATTGACGACTTGCTTGTAGCGAGCACATGGGATGTGAGTCGCTTGCTCTCCCTGCCTGTTGGTGCTGGTGCTGGTACTGATGGGCATGACGGTAGCGACAACACGGTTGGAGGACGGCAAAACGGCCAGGAGTGGACTATTTCCTCGCCTACATGTCCCAATTCTACGAGATCGTAGTCTTCACCACCCAATACGTATACGTGCGTCCCCCCTTCCCTTCCTTCCTGCTCCCCCTCCCCCTCTCTCTTTCTTCTACTCACAACTCCTCTAGTCCGCCCAGCCAGTCCTAGAATCCCTCGACCCATTCTCCACTTTCATCCAATACCGCCTCTTCCGGGAATCAGCACGCACCCTTCCCTCCGGCCAGCTCGTCAAAGACCTCTCCTACCTCAACCGAGATTTGAGCAAAGTGATCATGCTCGATACCGTGAAGGATTATGCGGCACTTCAACCGGATAATGCGATCGTACTCCCGAAATGGAGGGGTACGCCAGGGGATAAAGGTTTGGTGGGGCTGATCCCGTTCTTGGAATGTACGTTCACTCCCCACTCTCTACTCTCTCAACCCTTCCCTATCACCTTCACTTCCATTACCCCCACCCCTTCTCTCCTTACCTGTTCCATAACAATACTGACTCCTAACCCCGCCAGCGATCGCCATCCACAAAGTGCCCGACGTCCGTCCAATCCTACACAAATACGCCGACCAAGACATCCCCACCGCCTACGCAGCGATCGAAGCTGCCCAAAAACAAAAAGCCGTCGAGGAATGGAATGCCACGCACTCGAGCGCCTCGGGCTCTATGGGCAGCTTCACCCTTTCCTCTATGTTCGGCGGTGCCCCTGCTGCACCGAAGATGCCCATGTCCTACCTTGAGCAGAAACGTGCTGAGGCACAGGCGATCTACCTCGAGGAACAGAAGTACTTCAAGGAGCACGAAGGGGAGATGAAGCGACTTATGGAGGAAGACAGGCAGCGGCAGTTGGGGGAGATGAGGGGGAGCTTGTTGGGTTATCTGGGGCTGCAGGGCCCCCAGGCGCCGGGTGCTTTGGCAGAGGGGGCAGGGGCGGCAACGGCCCCTGTTGGCCAGGGGAGCACCGGCCAGACACCCCCTGTTGTGGGAGTTGCAATGGGGGGGAAGAGCGCCTAGAAGTGTACTTGCGGACCGGACGCCGTAGGCGTGAAACGAGGAGTGCAGTGCAGCTTATGCCTGAAATGATGCGGGTTTAGTATGCAACTCGTTCTCGGAGCGTCGCTGCGTTGTGTCATGATACAAGCGGGTTTATAATGCGGTGGTGATGGGCAAGGAGGAAGGGTTTCCAAGTTTTAATCGTTGTTAACTGTTACATTTGTGTTCGAATGACTCTCAACTCTTGCATTCTCTTTATCTGGTTCAATATAGGGCACGCACTAAAGTCCTCCACAAATCCTCAACGGCGACTAACCGCGAACATGTATGATCATAAATCGAGTCGTTAAAGTCGTTACAGCAAGCCTAGTTCTACAACGTGTATCCGTCCTCACCACGTCAAATCCCTCACACCAGTCCTGTCCGCAAGTTCTTGCTACCGGATAAACAGCACCGACTGACCACAAAACTCCCTCGCCTCCTCCATCAGCCCTCGCAGTTCCTCGATCTCCTCGCTCGTGCCCCCGTTCACCTCTCTCAGATCGGAGATCACCGCCCCGAGCACCTCGCTCTCCCTTAGCAAGTCCTCCTTGACCGTCCCTATCAGCCCAACAAGCGCGCGTAAGAGGTCCGCGGCGTCGCTGAGCAGTATCGGGGGGCGGTCGTAGTGCATCCTCGATAGATGTCTCTTGATCGCCTCGAACGTATGGGCAGCGACGAAGGACTCGCAGTAATCTCTGAGCCTGTTGCGGCCCATGACTTGTACGAGCAGGTGCACGGCCGAACAATCGTCCCGCGTCTCGCTCGTCACGTGGAAACCATCAAAGTCCTCCACTACGCCATAGAGATGGCCGTTTAGCACGATCCAGTTCTGCACTCCCTGGCCGGCTGGGTCGCCGAGCTCGGTAAGGAGCATGAGGTTGCACAGGATCTCGCGCACTTTGCGTCGGAGTCTGCACTCAGTAGGCGCTGAGCCTGGTAGGAGCGGGAGGAGGGAAGAGAGCAGCCCGTCGGAAGGGTCGAGATATAAGTCTTGGTTGAGCTGTACCCAGCCTGCAGGTGTTAGCTTAGTAGTCTCGATGCTTGCACGGGCGACGTCGAGTGCGCTCTCAAGGACGAGGGAGGACGAGCAGGTTTTGATCACTGATGTTATTACGGTCAGGAGGTTGCGCAGGTTATCAGCTTCGATCACTCTCCATTCGGGAACTTCGGCAGAGCCAGGCATCGAAAGCATGTGTGCCGTGACTTGCAGAGCAGCGGCAAGGCTGGCGTTGTCTGCGAACCGGGAGGTACCGATCTGCTTCATGAGACGGGCAGTAGAGAAACGTGATGCGATCGGGAGGAAGAGAGCGTTCCGCTGGCGGAGGACGTTTGCGAACCGGATGGTGGAGCAGAGGAGCTCATCCGAGGACGAGGTCTGGAGGACGTTCCCCAGCTTCGTGTGGAACTCTTCGAGCAGCTCGTCGTCAGGGTTGAAGTTGGACATTATCCGCCGCTCCGGCAGTGACTGGTACACCAGGTCGATACCGCTGAGGATCTTAGCCGTGCGCGCCTCATCCTCACATTCGATGAACATCTTGCACATGACTGGCAGGACGCCAGGTTGCAGGAGGACCTTGCACTGCGCTTTTTGGGAGTCGAGGTTGAGCGCAGAGTTGATGGCGGAGACGGCGATGTCGTGGTCGAACGTCTCCTCGAAGAGCCACACGAGCGCACGCGCTTCTGCGAGTTCCTTCGCCGTAGCGTCGTTTCCTCCCACAGCGGCATACCCCAACGCACCTGCACCCTTCTGCATACGCTGAGCGCTGATAGCCAGCGATTGGCGAGCGTCGACACCGAAGAGCGCCGCCCATGGGGTGCGGAAGGGGCAGCGTGGATCGAACAGCGGGAGAATACAAAAGAGGGTATACAAGCCGAGAGCCAATACACACGTGCAGGTTGTGACGATAAACAGCATGCGTGAGTTGGCGTGTGCGGACATCTCAATCAGTCCCCAGCAGAAGAGGACGAAAGAGAGGTGCAGCAGCAGGGGAAGGATTTCCATTATACTCCCCATGCGCCACTGGCGGATTCCCTCGAGCCGGAACTGCCTGTGGTGCGCTTGGTCGTACGGTGCTGCAGGGAGGATGCGCATGTACTCGCGGATCCACGCCTTAGAGAGCATTGCGAACGTCGCTACTACCAGGGAAAGGACGAGCGATATCATCCACGCCACATTTATCCGCACTGCCCAGTCGGGAGGGACGAAGTCGCCGTCCGGGTTGAGTGATTGTGGCAGGGGAAGTCCGTGTGCTGAGGCGTACAGGATCTTCGCTGTTAGGGCGGGGTTGTCGTAGCTCAGCCATGCTGTGCACTTGTTAGACAGTGACACCCGCCGACGGGGGAAACGTACGCCACGAAATCTGTAGGAAACAAGTGACGACGCTGGAAAACAACCCCGCCTACAGTTCGTCAGCCTAGGGCCAGACTTGCTGCGAATTGACGCACATAAATTAGAAGCACATCCATACTCTCATTCCAATCTCCCGTAATCTTATGATCAAATTCGCTCGCCTCTTTCGCATATGTCGTCCATATCTTCCAAGTCCGATGGCTCTCAACACCACCAGGGTGTGAGCCCTTCTTGGAGGAAGCGACCGATACACCGGTCGAGGTTGGATCGCCCTTACGCAACCAGGAGGGACGTTCCAGCCGTCTAGCTGATGCAAATGGTGGGGGCCTCTTCTGCCTCTGCAGGGATATATCAGTCACACGACCTCACCATGCCTTCTGGGACGCACCACCCGCCTCATCGGCTCCTTTTCACTCTCGACCCTCGTATCGTCGCTATCGCTCATTTCGTTAAGTCAAGTGGTGTAAAATACTAATGCCTCCCGCACGCCCAGCAAAACTCCTGAGCTCATATACCATTCGCAGCAGGCGATGAGTGCATAGGTCGAGGGGCAGTGTGACGCGTTTCAGGAAACGGGGTTGAGTGGGTGATAAAGCATTGCTCCTTTCGCCGGGCACAGCTGATGACTTGACGACAGGTTGCGTTGGCATGATATATTCTCAGAGTTGCATCGGATTCAACCTGGCCAGAGATATTGAATAATAATCTTTGAAAGTAATAAAGTGTACAAATGGTCGTATTTCGAATTCAATGTAAAGGACAGCCCTGAGGACCCAATTAAATTATTATTTAATTTAGGATAATATGTACGTATTGGAGCTCATATGGCTGTTGTAATTTTAGGTTTATTTTCTAATACTGTGCAGGGTATAGAAGGTGCCCTACTTCAATTACAATCACGTGATGCGCCTCCCTCTTGCCAGCTGCTGAGTTGACTATGAGCTCCTCATCACTCTCTCTGACCACCATCACTCGTCCTTATGCGCCTTGTCCAGCTAACAAGATGTGCGCGTCGACAACAACTTTGACTGCCACTACCTCGCGCGCAGGTCTGATCTTAGTACCGTCTAGATCAGCCTGGGTGCGATCTGTAATCGTCCAACGAAGATATGTCACTACTTCGAGCGAACCAAGCACGGTGAACAATCCACCGTCCAATTCATCTACTGGACCTACAGCCTCCTCACCGAGCCCTGCAAATATCTCAGACGTGCGATCAAGCCCCTACCGCCGGCAGATCAGGCTCTCTATCATCCACGATCCGAAGCCGTACTACCAGCAGCCCGGGGAGAGTCAGCTCCCACCACCTGCACACTATCAGCCCCACGCGTCCCAGGAAAGCTGGATACAGAATGCAAGAGCTACGTGGCGGTTTGCGCTGAGGGAATCGGATGAACAGATGGAGCGAGATCGGAATAGCCAGTCCACGTCGTCAAAGGAGAATGAGAGGGAGAACGAGAACGAGAGCGAAGCCAAAGAGAAAGCAGCAAAGGAGAGAGCAGCAATGGAAGAGGCTGATGTGCGGACAAAACGGCTGGAGACGGAGCGCGCTGAGCTGATGCGCAAAGCCCGAGCTATGCATGCCTCTGACAATGCCGATATGGACCAGGAAGGGAACTGGACCACAAGCCCCCACATGACCTGGGTCGATTGGGCGATCGTTAGCGGTATCATATGGGGTGCGATCATATGGATGACAGGGAAGGACTTGCGGGACGAAGTGGAGAAGAAGAGGAAGAAGAAGGTCGACGAGGCGCTTGAGAAGGAACGAGGGAGAGAGACGAAGGGGGAGGAACAGGAGGTTTCGCAGGTGGAGGGTAGGAGGGAGAAGAGGGAACGGGATGGGTGGGAAGGGACTGAGAGCGAGTGGACGACGGATCGTTAAGCACTGGAGGATGTGCAGTGATTGTTGGTTAGCTGTTCTTCGAAAGGGTATTTGGTCTGCTTGTAACATCCTATCTCTATGATCATGTTGTTGACAATTCTTCCGAGTGCCTCTCATTACAGGCGCAACGCGCGCGAATGCGATATGAAGTTGATCGATCAATTCAAAGAGCTTCTATCCATACATACATACAAAACAAAAGGAAATAGAACAAGAATCAAGACCGCTAGGCAGCATTATGATCGTACAGTCCGTTCCTCCAAGCAAGGGGGTGGTATACTCTATCCTCCATCCCGAACTTCAGTCGCAGTTCCCCCCAAGCAAGTCGTCCAGAAGCCTTCAATACTTCATATGCTCGTTTCCCGTGCTCCTATGATGAGTGAAACTGTCTTCCTCCTTAACCCACGCCTTGACACCGGAATAGATCCCGAAGCCGCTGCCGACAGCGACGACGGCAAGGAGGGGATAGACCTCAGCGGGCGGAGCGGGCATGGCATTCTACAACCTTGTCAGTACGCAAGCTTGATACAAGAGGAGGATGACGCACATGACCGTGTTTGGCCGCGGCAGCGAAGCCTCGCTTGATGGTAACGGGCGCCTGGCGAGCGGCGACACGGGAGGATTGGGCAAGAGCGGGGAACATCTTTGTCTCGGAAGGATGTGGGAGTGCTCGACTCGAGGGGTGAGGTAGTAGTGCGTTTGGGGTCGCGGCGGGTTGTCGTGAAAGTACCAAGAAAAATGATAGCTTTTATCCTCTCCGGTTTCTCATGAATGCGGCCGGGCCCGACTCCGCAGGGAATCAAGTCATATACAACAGACTAGCACAGAACAGAATAAAGGCATGGAACACGGACGGCACAGAGGAGTCGGCGAGCGCCGCCGTCCCGCCTTCCTTGCTTTCCCGCCATTCCGCCCGTCGAGTCTAAGAATGCACAGCGAGAGAGAAGGGCATCATACGTTTCATGTCGTGAGGTAGAATTGCTGGAAAGGGTAAGATAACGCCTTTTGGTCGCAGAGGGCGCTCACCGATGCGGGGGCGGAAAGTCCACATTTGGAAGTTCATCCCACCCCTAAGTGGCTGTACACCTGGATGAACATTCACCCGTCCTTTTGCCTTCTGACAAGTGGAACGTCCATTCTCCTCCAGACCGGCCAAACCGCAACCCAGCGAAAATACCGCCTAATCCCGGCGGACCCGGGCGCATAACCCTACCCGGCCCTTCCGTCACCGAGCAACTTGAATGCTGGGCATATCCCCTACCGCCCTCCGTCAGCCAACGGCGGCGGCTCCAAAGCACGCCATGCCGGGCTCGGATTAGGGATGATTTGCCTGACTTGTGTGGCATGTGAATGGTCGGGGTGATCCGCCAGTTGTGGTGGTTGACTGAGCAGGGTGTGTCCGAGAGTTTCCGACGTGGATACGTTGTATCCTGATCCATGTCCTCCTCGAGCCACCGCCATTGCAAGCGGCTCGCCAATCATATCGAGTGCGTTACGTCGTGATGTGAAATCGAGTAGTGGGTGAGGGGTCCCTTGCGGACGCGGTCTAGGACAACCGTGACAAGGCTACAGACGCGTAGAATTCAGAATAGTAGATGACGCATAGGGGATGAGCCATTTATTCTGAAAAATACCAATGAAGTACGGAGCCGCCTGCCTACCCTGTTCACAACAATCGATCTATCCATCTCATCACTGTATTGGCCATGTAGCGGGGACACGAGTTTTCCGGTTCGCTCAGGTTTGGTGCAGGCTCATCTGCCACTGGCCGGCCGCAGGCTCGGGACTGGACGACAGCGGCATTTTCTGTCATCAATTCTGTTATTGGAATCCGAGCTCAAGCAGGTATCGGAAAGAACATATCGCATCGATAAGGGCAGTGGGGAATGGGTGAACTCACAGCTTCGCCATAGAGGATAATTGGTACTCGACGGCAACAATTGTGCTGCACATTCGAATTTCAAGTTCGAATCTGAGCCTCTTCGAACGACATGTCGAACTCGGCCGGCCGGACTATTGGAAGCAAGAAGTGGACCCTAGACATAGCATTAGGTAATATAGATTAGGTATTGATTAGGTAGTAGTCCGAAGGTCCGAACCGCTCCGAAACGTATATAGGAGGATTCGTGTACTTCGGATAACGCTCGGACTTCCCTCTCTCACTTACTCTCTACTCTCACTCGTTCAAGTCAGGTGATCACTAACTTACACCTAATACTACTGCTTTACTCTACAGTCACTCTCTATTCTATTCCCTACTCGAACCGTCTCGAGTCTCGATTCGAAGCCCCCCAAGCCGAAGCCCCGACTTGATAGCAGCACACTCGCTCACATCCCTTCGAGCCTTGTACCGACTCCCCTCTTCCGGACTCTCTTCGGATAGCCTGAGTCTGGGTTCGGAACGTGTACCGGATTCTCGAATTGACCTTCGTGTTGCTCTATACTTGGGGTCAACTGTCGATTCAGAACTGGTTATTGTCTCGAATCTACTACTACGAGGCACAGGCCACCACAGTCGACTCCCCCTCCAGCGGACCTTCTCCTGACGCCTTATTGGGAGGTGTAGAGTACACAATTCCCTTCACGGTTCGAGAAAAGTTGCACAGCTGCATAGGAATACAGTCGGTCATATCTGAAGGGTGCGCGGTTCCGGCCTGTCTTATGCTGTGAGCAGAGGTTCTCAAGGCGTACTCAGGTTAACGCACGAGATATTTTCCTCCGTGCAAGAATAACATGACCCTCTTGCCTTCCTGACCCCGTAGTCATGCCAATACATTCTCACCTTGACGCGCTTTATTGCTGTCCTTTTCTGATCTTCCAATTTCGCCTGTGACAGTGCTATCCATCACCCCGGTTGTGGAGAAGCCGACATTCCACCTGCGTAGCCCGTCGTCACTTGGCTCGTTTTTGATATCCCGAGTACACAGGCATTGGAACTTGGGACCAAATTCTGAGACTGCCCGTCCAGAAGGCGAAAACCAACCGCTCGGCGGAGTGTCCAGTTCGGATTATGACGCCAGGATGGGAGGAGGTTGCTGATGATCCAGTGTGCCAACAAGTGTGCTGCACATTCCAATTTTGAAGTCGGATTCGATGTTCAAACGGCACTCCGAACGACACTCCGACCGACACTCCGAACGACACTCCGAACGAGGTCCGATAGGACTACGACAAGACAATAGAAGGAAGCACAGACCCTATACACAGATTAGGAAGGGAGTTAGGATAGATAGTCCGAAAGTCCGAACTGCCTCCGAAGGTATAGGGAGGATTCGAGTACTGTGGAATAGGGACCTCTTCTTCCACTGCTTTGCTTTCTCTGATCTTTACCTTACACCTTACACCTTTAACCTACAGCCAATCTTTACACACTCTCGCTCTAATTCGACCAATCCAAACTGTCGTTCGGACCTTCGAACGGCACTCCGATGCTCGCGTCCTCTCCTCTCCATAATTCCTAGGTAGCCATTCGACTCGGACCGCATCTCCAAACGCGCGTGGGGACTTGGGATTTCACCTCCGAAGATTCGGAACTACCAGCCTCCCCTTCGGAACGAATTTCGATTATTGCAAGAAGTATATCCACGGACTACTATCTACTTGATTTCAGAAATTACTGTCGACTCCGCCTCCAGCGGACTTACTCCTGACGCCTCATTGGGAGGTGTAGAGTACACAAGATCAGCTTGGCATACCGAAGTGAGGCGACAGCTGCGAGCTTGTGCTGTAGAGAGATGGAATCGGTTCATGTGTTAATGGGATCGAGAGTTTGGGTGTTGGTATTGTCCACATTCGATGTTCGATGGGCGACATATATATATAACTGCTAGTGCCCGCATGTGGAGGGTCACATACCTTCATGATCTCGTTCTCAGAGCGTCGCTGCGCTCCTTCGGGATGTTTTCAGGACGTCTCCGTTCAAGATCAGAGAAAATGAGCGATGGATGGCACGAACTGAAGTTGCAGCTCGGAGTATAATGCCCAATGGTCGGTCCAAGGACAGGCGTCTACTAAGGGCCAGCGGACAAGGACAAGTGGCTGGACCTTGTGAGGTGTGCTGCTTTCGTAACATGGTCTCAGAGTATGAGCACAATATGGGTTATGTCATGGAATTTGTGACGGTAAGGACAGTTACAAATGCGATACAGAAGAAAACTTATATGTAGCTAGTTGAGGGTATGGAAAAGCTCAATGATGTTGGAACACGAAAATGAAATTAGGGCAGGTCGGATATGCCCGACTCTAAGATGACGAAGAGGTACAGCACGGGGAGCAAATTAGTGTCAAGGAATGAGAAGAATCAAAATTATTAGAAAGAGGTGTAACGTGGGGAGAACAAGGAAATCAGAGTCAACGAGCGACAAGAATCAAAATCATCAACAAGAGGTACAATGCGGGCAGGACGACGAAATCAGAGTCAAGGAACGAGAAGAATCAAAATCATTCAAAGGTATAACACGGGGAGGACGGCGAAATTAGTGGTGTCAAAGAATAAGAATAATCAGAAGAATTAACGCAAGCCAGCTCCCCATGCGCAGAAGGAAGGTATGGGATCTTCATTATGTCTACGGTGCGAGGACTTCTTAACAGCTTCCTCAAGCTCTTGCGAGAAGAGCTGCGTACTGCCGTGCAGCAATATTTGATTCCGTAGGGCCTGGGACCCCAGAAAGTTGACCCCAGGCACCACTCTTCTTTATATTTGCCTCACTATACTTCACGTGAATAATATGTAAGAAAGTGAACATGTATGAGACGCTATACATCCCTGCTACATGACGAATACAGCGATGAGGTGGATATATCGAGAACAGGATAGACAGGCGGTGTACTTC